TCAGAATGCCTGGCTTGGGCGGCTCCCTTGGCCGCCTGGCACCCGGAAGGAGGTGCCACAGGCCTGTCTCCTCGCTCTAAGGCTCCTCTGAGAGCCCTGCCTGTCAGGACGGAAGGGGGGTGCGCGTAGCCCCCAGGGAGCTCTGCCAGCTGGGCATCACGCGCCACCGGAGTGCAGGGAGGTGCAGGGTGCTGGGCCAGGAAAGGCCTGGTGCCCCGAGGCCAGGACAGCGAAGAGCATCGGAGAGGCTGGGTGTGGGGCAGGGCGGCAGCTGGGTGCCCTGGGACCCCCGCCCAGACCTGCCACCCTGGCGCTCCTTGTTTGGGTCGGCCATGCCTGTCAGCCTGGCACCAGGTGTGCTCCTGTCACGCTCCATCTGTGTCTCTCTGGACAGAGGACGGCCCTCTGGGCAGTGCAGTGACAGGCAACAGCTCCCAGCACACCTGGTGTCTCCGCGCAGGCACAGCCTCCCACCTCCTACTCCTAGGGACGTACATGGGCTTCTGGGCGGGGCCAGGTGCTGGGACCTCCTTAACCCAGCACCACATGGCCGGGCCCAGGCCCCGGCTTCCAGGATGGTGAGGTCCTTGGGGCCGGGGAGGCGGCCTGCAGCCCGAAGCCCACGGTCCTTGGCCCGGCCTGGGCCTAGCCTGGGACTCCGGTGGACCAGGTGGTTCCCACAGCTGCTGCCGCCCGCCCGCCGTGGAGCAGCTGGGTGGCCCTCGGGGTGGGGCCGCTGGCTCCTCGGTCCTGGGCACAGGGTCTCCTTGCTGCCTGCCACGCTTCCCGGGGAGCAAAACAGCCCAGGCCCACAGCCCCTCTTTGCCTCGGGTTTATTTTTGTTGGCATTTTTCCTTGCCTGGAGCCGTTGAGCTGCAGGCTATCTGCTTGAGGTCTGGCTCACCCTCGGCTGGCCTCAGGCGGCTCCCTGGCCCGGCCAAGCTTGGGGAGGAGCTCACAAGGGATGCAGCCACTTCCGCTCCCTTGCTTGTCCCTGCCCCACCACAGGGCACAGCCACTCTCCCAGGGCTGGCATCTCCCTATTGATTGCACCGCACCGGGAGGATTGAGGAGGGGCTGGACAGAGCCAAAGCGAGGCCACAGCCGGCGGCCAGGGAGAGGGCTGGGAGATCACAGAGGGGGCACGGCGGAAGTCGGGGTGTGGGGCCCTGGGTGGGCAGTGCTGCCCTACCCACCTCTCGGAGCACCTGCTTCCCCAAGCAGGAGGACCAAGGTTGGGAGGGACGCGAGATCCAGAGTGTGGTCTTCAGGGCATGGGGCCGGGCCAGGGTCTCTGCGTCCCCCATCCGGGCCCAAGCCCCACGGAAGCAAGCACCCCACCACCTGCACCCCACTGCCAGGGCTCTACAAGGAGAGGGCGCCACCCGGGGGAAGGCACCTGCGGCCAGTGGAAGCGGAGCTGAAGGTGCAGGTGGCCCGCAGGAGCCCTCAGGGTGGGGACAGGCGGCCCCGCCCAGCCCCTCGGCTCCCTCCCCGCCCCGCAGCGCGGGCTGCACCCCCAGCCCTCCGCTCCCCACTCCCCAGGGTCGGACGTGGCCGCTGCGGTGGGCGCCTATCCCCAGCCTCGCCTCCCCTCCGAGCGGCGGTGACATCACTGTGGCGGCGGGAGGGGCCTGGCGCCCCGCGCACATCACTTCCTCGGCTCCTCCCGCGATCCAGACGCTCGGCTCTGCTCGCTCGCTCGGGCAGACGGCTGACGAGGGAGGCCAAGGCCGAGCCCGGGCGGCGCTCTCTGCTCCCCCATGGCAGGCCCGGCCCCGCCCGCAGCCGAGGAGCTCCCGGGCCCGGCCGCCAGGCGCCTCTACTCCAGGTAGGATGGGGCCGGACAGCGGGGACGGGCGGGGGCGGTCGCCCGGAACAAAGGCGGCCCAGGCGGCGGCGGGGCGCGGCGTGACCGAGAGGCGGCTCCCTGGCTGCCGGAGCGGCGCGGTGCGGGGAGAGCAGTGGACCAGCACGGGCTTGGCCCCTCCCCGAGCCCGAGGACCCCGACGGGCCTCGGCGTCTCCCCCGGGCTGCGCTGGCCTGGCCGCAGGGCCCGGCTCCACGAGGGGCTCACTGCCCAGAGGCCGTTCCAGCCTGGCACCGCGCGACAGTGCTGGGCGGTACGGCCAGAGACCGCAGGCACAGACAGGGCTCCCGCCCGGCCGCCTGAGCCCCGGGCCGGCGGGACCGGGCCGCAGCGGGCCGCCAGGTGGGCGTGTACCTGCCGGCAGACACTGGCTTCCAGCAGACCGCAGGCGGCCTGGCATCTGATGCTGCTGCATGGCCCTGCCCGGCTGCTCCTGCCAGTGACCCCCGCCCGGGAGGGTGCTCCCCAGGGGGTTGCCCGGGCAGCTGCAGCACCTGGTCCCCCAAGTTTGTTCAAACCGCAGGCAGGCAGGGCCAGGCCGGCCTGGGGCTGGGTGGGCGCTTGTCTCAGTAACAGCCCCTGGGGCAGAGCCCGAGGCAGGCCAGTCCCTGCAGTGGGCGCTCGGCCCTGACTCAGGTGCTGCGGCTCTCGTGCCTCTAGCCACTCTGGGCCCCGGGGCTTCCCTGCTGGGGGCCGGGCCACACCAGCACCTCACATCAAAGGCAGCCCCTGGCCACTTGCTCTGCTCTTCCCCCCCGCTGCCCAAGGCAGCACCCATTGTGTGGTTCCAGGGCCAGAGCCGGCCAGTGCAGAGGGAGGGGCAGGGGCAGGGACGGGTCCTCCGAAGATGCAGGAGGCCCCAGCCCCCCACAGTGCCCCCGGCCTGGCATTTCCTGAGGGGTGGGCAGGCTGTGCAGGGTGGGAGGCAGCTGTGGCCCTGGGAGAGAGACCCTCATACGGACCCCGGGGGCCGGCACCCAGCTAACACCCATGAGTCACCCATGGGACGCCCCAGCCAGGGGTCCTGTAGAAACGCACCAGGCAAACCCAGCTCAGGGAGCCCTCCCGGCTGGGACAGCTCTCGGGACAGGAGAGGCCCTGGGCCCGGCCTGGCATCCCTTCCTCCCAGCTGAGGCCCAAAAGGTTGAGCCTGGCCAGATTCGGGCTGAGGGACCATGAGCCCCCAGGGAGGGCACTTGGGCCTCCCCTCGGGTCCCTGGGGGCCAGGCAGATGTGGGGGGTACCGAGGTGGTGAGGAGCAGGGAGGAAGAGATGCACATGTCACCTGTCCCTTCCAACACAAGTCGGCTGCCGGCATGGGGGCCAGGGCTGCGGCTGGGCTCATGACACCAGGTGGACGGGGTGCCCTGCGTTTTCTGGGGGACCCATGTCACTCCCCTGCCTGGAAGGGCGTGGACTCCAGGAGGCAGCTGTGCCTGACTGGCACCCTGAGATGGGTCCCACACAGAGTCCCCAGATGGGGTGGGAAGGGCCACTGGGGAGCCAGGAGCAGTGGGGGCCAGGTGGGGTCAGCAGGGCTCTGGGATGGGGGCCTCCGAAGGGGGACCCGGGTTCTTCTCCCGGCCTCTCAGACCCCATGGGCCAGCAGATAAGTGATCCGGCTGGGCCCATCCTAGCTATTCTCACTCTGCTCCAATAAACCCCAGGTGGCGGCCACCAGCTCCCAGAAGGAGCAGCTCGGGCGCGGCCCTGGGCTCCCTATGGACCCCCACTCACCCTGGCCCCCACCCGGGCGCCACCCGACAGGCCCTGGGGAGTGAGACCCGAGGCCCCTTGGCTCCTGGCCCGGGCTCCCGCCTAGGGCTGTTGACTCTGAGGTCTGTCTCCCAGCGACTCCTGTTCCCAGAGTCCTGCCCGAATCCAGAGTGTCACTCCGTGGGACGCCCTCCGGGAGACTGGACGGGGTGGGGAGTTGGGGCCCTGTGAACAGGGGTCTAGAGGGTTGGCCAGGCTCCTGTGCCTCAGAGTGGGAGGCAGGTCGGGGAGGGGCTGATAATCCATCTTGGCGTGGGCACCAGGGGACCATGGAGCCAAGAGGGGTGGGCAGAAGGGTCAGGGGCCTGGCCAGGGCCAGCGGGTTGGGGCTGTGAGCCAACGGCTCCCCGGGGCCTCTGCTGGTACTGAGGCTGGGGGGGCACAGGAAGTGGTGGCCATGGCAGCCATGCTGGCCTCTCCACTGACCAGGACACCGGCAGGCAGCCACGGAACCTTGGCAGACGGTGCCCTGGCTCCTGGCCTCTGTGGTCTGGCACTGCCACCTCCACAGAGAGAGGCACGGGGAGCGATCCTGCCAGTGAGTCGGGGAGTGAATCTGGGTCAGGACCCCAGGGTGGGACTGTCAGGCAGGGCTGGTTCCCAAAGGGTCAGGGTCTTTCTCCTCCAGAGAGGCAGAGGTGGCTGCTGTGCCTCAGCTCACCGAGGTGGCAAATCCCAGACAGGGACTGGGGTCACATGGCCTGGGGTGGCGTGGCTGATGGGGCCCGTCAAGCCCCCTCCCCAGCAAACCCCCATCTCTAGCCCTGAGCGTGGGCTTTCTGGCAGCCCTTGGGCTACACGGGCCTCCTGGGGGCTCCAGACAGCCCAGCCCAGGTGGCTGCAGCCTCTTGGGGTCCCCAGTGTCCTGGGGCACCTTGACAGGTGACCAAAGCCTCAGGGGCCTGCAGCATGCTGTGGAGAGGGAGAGGGTGGCCTGCAGATCTGCCACGGGTGGGTCTGGGGAGACCAAGGGCCTGGCCCTACCCCGCCGACCTGTCCCTGAGTGAACCGTGGCTGGCCTGATCGGGAGCTGGGAGAGGACTGCCCCGGGCCTGGGGCCTCCTGCCCTTAGCTGCTCAGCCTCGAGGACCCCTGCCACTCAGCTTCCCCAGTGGCCCTGGGTGGGCAGGTGGGGGCCAGCGAGAGGCCAGACTGCTCTCAGCACCCTGCCCTGGTGGCCTGGCATGAGGACCTCGCCCCTTGGAGCCCCTGAAGCCTTGTCTGTAGCTGGACCCAGTGTCTTCTTCTGCACTGGGGGATCCCCCTGTCCCCCAGAGGGTTCCACACTCAGCTTCCTCAAGGCATTGCATGGGGTGGGGGGCAGCGGAGGAGGAGGCCAGGGCCTGGGGTGTTTGGGGACAGCCTAGTTGGCGAGGGATGGCCTCCCCTGACCCGTGTGGCCCACACACTGGGTAACTGGGGCCTGGTGCTCGCCTCGGATCCCGGGCAGGAAGTGGGGCATCAAGGACTCTGTGTCCTGTGTCAGCATGGCCTGCTCTGCTGCAGGCACCTGCGCTGGTGCCCACAAGGCTGCAGCAGTCGGGCCAGGCTGGGTCAGGCGAGCAGCAGACCAGACGGGGGGTTCCACAAGGACAGGAGAGGACAGGTGCCAACCCTATCAGAACCCCATCTTGCCCACCTGGGTCAGGCTCCAGTGGCCAGGCAGGTGCTGTGGTGGAGCTCACCACCTAGCATGGGCAGCCCCGGCCTCCCAAGGACCAGGGCTGGGACACAGAGCGGGCCACAGGGCTGGACTTGCGCATAAGCTTCCCGAGGAGCTGGCAAGGACGCTGGGTGGCCAACGCCACACACTCTGAGGGCTGCTGGCTTAAGCACTGAGCTCCTCCTGGCCCCCAGAGGAGGTAGGAGGATTATGCACCGGCCCCCTCGGCCTGCCCAGCCTCTGCCGTCAGTGTCACCCACCTCTGAGCTGCCCTTGATCCCTGGATCTGGGTCAGGCTGGGATGGAGGCCCCAGAGTACCTGCCCCAGGTCTCCCAGAGCCAAGGCAGCCAAGCCTTCAGCCTGGCTCCCTGGGGCAAAGAGGACAGGGTATCCGGAGGCTGGCGCATCCCTGGGGACCCAGGCCCGGCGGGAGAGATGCCCACGGCCTGGTGCTGCAGCCCCAGCCATGGAGGGCCAGCCGCTGGCCCTGAGCTTGGCAGAGAAGGCTGTGTGCAAGGTGGTGTATGGCACCCTCCGCCCACGCCCACTGCTGCTGCCCGTGGGCCTGGAGCTGTGGCCATACGTGCAGAAGATGCGGAACATGCAGAGGAAGAGGTGGGACAGCCCAGTGGGAGGGTGGGGGCTTCCCCGGCATCTGGAGAGAAGGCTCCTGGCCACATGAATCCCCTCCCTGCACCTCCCCATGCCTCTGGCCCAGGCCCTCAGAGAGACAGAAGCCTCCTTTGCTGAGTTCACACCTTGTCCCCAACCCACACTCACGTCCCCAAAGGACAGTGGCAAGGGCCCCTGTCCAGCTGTTCAGAGACCACTGGGCAGGGACAAACAGGCTTTAGTTATGAAGCCCTGCGTGGTGTGGCCATAGGAGTGGAGCTGTATTGTGGCTGGTTGCCACGCCGACCAACTTGCCATCGGGACGGCCACCCCCAGAGGGCCCACCAAGGTGGCTGCGGGATGAGGATGACCCCATCCCTTCTCTGCTAGCCTCTGGGGAGCAGGCAGTGGTGGGCCCCCAACTCTATCAGCATCCACTGTGGAGGAGAGGAGTTTGCTGTCCCCCGGGCAGTGACCCCGGGGTCACTCAAACGCCTGAGCTGCCGTGTCCCCATGTAGGACATCTGCCTGAGGGTCTGCAATCCTGGGGAGCAGTGCCCCGCCATGTGCCCAGGGGGAATGCCATGCCCACGGCCTCCTGTGGCAGGGAGACCAGACTGGGGCCTTGCCATGGGAGGCGCACCCCAGCCAGGCCCGGCCTGGCACTGCGTAGGCAATGCCCCAGGGCCCCAGACGCTCAGCGGCAAGGCCACAAGCTCCCAGCACCCCTAGTCCAGGCCACCCTGCCCTGAGCAGGGGCCACTCCCCTCTCCCAGGAACGGCCCAGCTGCAAGGGCCTGGTCTGAGCCCGAGGCTGCTGACAGTGGAGGCGGCACTGCCAGGAAAGGACAGTGCCTAGGTCCCCGGACTGGCAGGCCCCAAGGGTGGGGGGCTTGTCCCTCATAGCCTCCACCAAGGGCAGTGGCACCGAGGTCTGTGGCACCTGTGGGATGTGGGTGGATTCGGACCCATGTTGGGCTGGCCATGCAGCGGCTGGGTCAGCATGGGACCCGGCTCCATCCTCTCTTTCCTGAGCTGCTCCCAGCCAGCCTCAAGGCCCCCGAGCCTCCATGGTCCACCCCAGGGTGCCATGGTGCTGGGGAGCACGGGCCCCTCCGCCTGTGCTGCTAGTGGTCGGGAGGTGGCTCCTGCCCCAGCCTGGCCAAAACTGAGCCCCAGTGCTGGCCAAGGGTCTCCTGCAGTCCTGACTCCGCCTCTCCCTGGGCGCCCGCACCCCAGTGGCAGGGGCAGAGGAGACTGGAGCAGAGGTGAGCTGCACAGGTGCCCGTCCAGGCCCATGGGCAGCAGCGCGGCCGGAAGGTGGCCCCGTCGGGGTGGCTGTGACACCCCTTCTCACCCAGGATGGAGGCCTCGTGCCTGGAGCTGGCTCTGGAGGGTGAGCGGTTGTGTAAGGCGGGCGACTTCAAGGCGGGTGTGGCCTTCTTCGAGGCGGCGGTGCAGGTGGGCACAGAGGACCTGAAGACACTGAGCGCCATCTACAGCCAGCTGGGCAATGCCTACTTCTACCTGAAGGAGTACGGCCGTGCCCTGCAGTTCCACAGACATGACCTGCTGCTGGCCCGGTGAGTGCTCCAGGGCCGGGCCCTGTCCTGGGGAGCTGCTGGGGCCCAGAGAGCAAGGGGGCCCCAGTGGCTGCTGTCCAGCCAGATGCATCTGCCCACGTATGTGAGTGGCCAGCTCCATGCCTGCCTGTCCATCTGACCGTGTCCCGGGAGTCTCCTGCACACCCGGACGTCCTGCCCGCCCTTCCGTGGCCTGGGACTCTGGCCCGTTTCCTTTCCCTGTGTTGCCCCTGCTCTGTAGGTGTCCAGGCCCCTGGGGACCCTTGTGCTCCCTGGGACCCAGGCTCAACAGGCTTGGGCCTCCCTCCTGCACCCTCCACTCCCGCCCACCACCCCACGGCCTCCACAGGGTCCCCTCTGCCCAAGCTGTTCCCCTTCCCTGCCTCCCGCCCTGCCCAGGTGCTCTCCTCGCCCGGCCCCCCTGACCTGATGCCCCCCCCCAGCCCAGTTCTCAATCCTGGGCCCAGGGTCTGGGCCAGGACCTGGCCACCAACCTCACTGCTAACACTCTGGCCCGGCAGGGGAAGTGGCCCTGAACCAGGGACCCCAGCCCGTGGCTGCCCTCGGGCCAGACCCACCCGTCCCGATCTCCCACCTTGTCAGCCCGAACGCAGGCTCCTTGGCCAGCCCCAAGCGGCCGGTCCTGGCCCCTAACTCCTTCCTGCCCTCCAGGACCATTGGCGACCGCACTGGGGAAGCCAAGGCCAGCGGGAACCTGGGCAACACACTCAAGGTCCTGGGCAGATTCGATGAGGCTGTCGTCTGCTGCCAGCGGCACCTGGACATTGCCCAGGAGCAGGGGGACAAGGTCAGTTGTCATCTCCAAAGCAGGGGCACAAGGGAGGTGGCCGTCCCAGCCCCTGGGCTGCTCGCCCTTCCCACCCACCTCTGTCTGTGTCTCGATCGAGCCCCACTGCATGTCCCCTTCAGGAGGGCAGGCAGGGTGACCCCCAGTGCCAGGAGTCTGAGGTCCCTCAGGAGCAGGGGCCACTTCCGGCTCATGCTGACGCTCAGGGCTGGGACCTGGCTGCCCAAGCCGCCCGCCGAGTATCCTCACTCAGCTCCTCTCAGCCCCTGGGGCAGGGAACCTGCGGCTTTCAGGGGCCAGTTGTACCCCTGCTCTGCCCTTAGGGTTAGGGACAGAGCTGAGGGCCTGGCCACCTCCACCACCCCCGAAGGCAGAGGGGAGGAGCAGACCTGGGCTCCCCTGGCTCCCTCCTCACCCTGGGACAGCCAGGACAGTGGGCCACGGGCCCTGGGGGACCTAGAGGCACACCCAGCCCCTCACGCCGTGCACAGGTCGGGGAGGCCAGGGCGCTGTACAACATCGGCAACGTGTACCACGCCAAGGGCAAGCAGCTGTGTTGGAGCTCGGCGCAGGACCCTGGGCGCCTCCCGCCCGACGTGCGCGAGACGCTGTGCAAGGCCTCAGAGTTCTACGAGTGAGTGGGCGCCGTGGACGGGCAGGGCCACAGGCAGGGGCTGGGCAGAGCTGCATGTGCGGGCCACAGGGATGGGCGAACATCCGGGCACCGAGTTGCCCACCTAGCCCCGTGCTCCTCACCCCAGTCCCACTGTGGGGCGGGCCAAAGCCTCAGCCACCGGGCTCAGTGGCCCAGGAGCCAGGGAGCCTGTCCTGCTGCCCCCTTTGGCTGGCACATTTGGGAGAGCCCAGTGCCTGGCACCTTCCATCTGAGGCCAAGTGGGTGGGGGGCCCCTGCGAAGGGGGGACATGGCTCACGCCGCCTTCACCCCAGGAGGAACCTGAGCCTGGTGAAGGAGCTGGGTGACCGAGCAGCCCAGGGCCGGGCTTACGGCAACCTGGGCAACACCCACTACCTGCTGGGCAACTTCACGGAGGCCACGACCTTCCACAAGGAGGTGAGCAGCTTGCACACCGGGTGGGCTGCGCTGGGCTGGAGCCTGGTGGTCTCCATCAGCCAGGCAGGCCTGAAGGACAGGCACCGCCGACCCCTGCTTTACCTGCGCTGGCTGCCGGGGCTCCTCATTGGCAGGCGTCCTGGGCGGGGGCAGCACCTGCCTGTCCCCTCAGGGCCCGGGGCTGCTCTGTGACCCCGGCCTCGGGCCCTCTCTGCAGCGCCTGTCCATCGCTAAGGAGTTCGGGGACAAGGCAGCTGAGAGGAGGGCCTACAGCAACCTGGGCAACGCGCACATCTTCCTGGGGCGCTTCGATGTGGCTGCCGAGTACTACAAGTAGGCGGACCCCGCCCCGCCCACAGTGGGGGAGCCGAGGCGGAGGCGGGGCGGGGGGAGGGGGAGGACCCCGGGCTGGGCGGCGGCGGGGGGGGTGGCCGACCACTCAGCCTCCCCAAGAGCCAGGGCACCAGGCAGGCGTGAGGCGTCGGGGTCCCTGGCTGGGGCTGCTCTCCGGGCCTCCTGGCCTGTCGTGCTGCTGGGTGGCACAGGGCTGTCTGTCAGGGCCAGGCCCTGCCGTGAGCCCCGGGTGCTCACCTCAGGCCTGGAGTGGGGGGCGTGGCCATCCCGGACCCCCGCAGAACTCTGGAGAGTTGGTGGGGACCCAGGTCCATCTGCTGTGGCCACTGTAGGATGAACACACAGCCAGAGGCCTGCAGTGGAGACGTGCACAGGCTCCCTCCCTGCCACGCGCCTCTCCCCGGCTGGGGAGCAGGAGCCCGTGTCTGTCCCTCTGCCCCTCTGCCCGGGGGCTGACCCTCTGCTCCCTCCGCAGGAAGACGCTGCAGCTGTCACGGCAGCTGCGGGACCAGGCGGTGGAGGCGCAGGCGTGCTACAGTCTCGGCAACACCTACACGCTGCTGCGGGACTACGAGCGAGCAGCCGAGTTCCACCTGCGGCACCTGCTCATCGCCCAGGAGCTGGCCGACAGGTGCGCAGGCCTCGGCTGGGCTCTGGGACCCCGGGGCCCCCACCACGCTCATGTCTAGGCCACCACCCCCCTGGGAGACAGGTGCTACACGGGGCTGGGCTGGGGCCTGGCTGAGAGCCCCAGGCCCGAGAGGTCCACGCAGGACTTCCAAGTGGCCCCGGGGTCCTCTCAGGGCGATGGAAACGTCCTGGGGCAGACAGAGGCGGCAGCCCCACGGCGTGTGACGGCGTAAATGCCACCACCTCCTCCCTGTGCAGTGCTTAAGCCCCTGTCATGAGCGTCTCCCCTGCACTGGAAAACAGATGGCCTAGGGGCCCGGCTGCCTGCTCTGGACACACAGGCGAGATCGCCAAACCGACCACTAGGGGGCGAGGCAGGCCGAGGGTCTGAGCCCAGTCAGCCCCCACCCACCCGGTACTGCCCTTGCCCTGCACAGAGGGGCCCGAAAATCCCCCTAAAGTCAGAACCAGCTCCCGGGAAGAACTTTACACTCAGGCTTTTCCAGGGTTTTGTTGTTTTTCAGTACCGGGGATCAAACTACAGGGGTGTGTGTGTGTGTGTGTGTGTGTGTGTGTGTGTGAACTCAGCCCTGAACCCAGGGCCTTTGAACTAAGCTACGTCCCCCGCGCTTACTTTACTGTATGTTTTGAGACTGGGTCACAATAAGGAGACAGATTACTTAGACTGGGCTCTAACTTGTGACCCCCCTGCCTCAGCCTCCCAAAGTTTGGGAGAAATAGGCATACGCCACCAAGTCTTGCTGTGCTCATGATTCTGAGCGGGTAGGGTTCCTGCATCTGGTTGGGGCTGCTCCCTGACAGCAGGAATTTGGGGAGGCCCCGGCCCGTGGGTGTGGTGGGGGTTCCACCACAGCCTAGGACATGCTGTCCTGCTACACTCTCAGCGCTGCTGGGCCTGGGGGCCCTGTGGCGATCCTTGCTGCTGGCACAGGACACCTGGGGTCACAAGGTGGTGGCTGCTGTTGGGCCCTCCTGGGGCGGGGGGCAGGTGGGAGCGCGGGCACGGACCCTTCCCTCTCTGCAGGGTGGGCGAGGGCCGAGCGTGCTGGAGCCTGGGGAATGCGTACGTGTCCATGGGGAGCCCGGTGCAGGCCCTGGCCTTCGCCAAGAAGCACCTGCAGATCTCCCAGGAGGTGAGTGCTGCTGCAAGCCCCGTGCCCTCCTGCCTGTCCCTCCAGCCTCCCCGGGGAAAGTGGGGAGCGAGGCGACTCCACCCCTAGGGTACTGGCTCCCTGTGGGCCCTTCTATTGCCCCTGCCCTTACCCCAAAGGAACAAGGCCTCGGGGCAGCGGGGCTCACCCAGAGAGTAGATGTACACCCGCAGTGTGGATCCCCGTCTCTGGTGCTGAGGAAGGCATAGCCGGGCAGGCTAGGCCGCCTGAGACCCTGAGCACTTCAGGGGACGCCCAGGGACAGACCCACAGACTCCACCCTCGGGGGCCAGCCTGGGCTGTCCAGCCCTGCCCTGTGGGGCCAGAGCCCCCCCTCACCCCTACCTGCGCATGGCAGATCGGGGACCGCAATGGGGAGCTGACGGCCCGAATGAACATTGCGCAGCTGCAGCTGGCGCTGGGCCCGCTGAGCAGCCCGGCGGCCACAGAGAAGCTGGACCTGGCCGGCTACGAGGCCCAAGGTGAGCTCCCAGCCCAGTGTGGATCCTGTTCCTCACGCTCCAGCCTCAGCCTGGCCACAGCCAGGGTGCTGTCCACGCATGAGTGTGGCGGGAGGGACCCTGGGGAGCGAGGGGAGCTCATGCCGGGGCCTGTGCCCCGTGCGGCACCACTGGGTGCAGAGGACAGGCAGGGAGCTGCCGCTGGCTGCTGAGGAAGGAGCCCACCAAGGGGCATCGAGCTCCCCGGCCCAGGATGGCACCCACAGCTGAGTGTCCACCTGTCCTGCCTCCCAGTGGCCCCCATTCAGATGCCCTCGCCACTCTCGGGGCTGATGGGGGTGGGTGAGAGGGCAGAAAGCTGGGGCACGGAAGCATGCTGGGGGACAGGCAGGCCATGGTCCCCGCTGGGCAGCTCAGGGACCAGCGGAGGTTAGAGCTGGGCAGCAGTGTGTGCTCCAGAGGCAGGGGCAGCGAGAGCAAAGGGCGGCCAGCTGGATGCCAGCACCCTCGGGCCCCACTGTCCCCAACACCAAGGACCTGTGGTCTCCCTGAGCCCCTTGGACCCATGGTCCCGGTGGCACCACAGGGCCAACAGCAGGGAGAACGGGAAACCCACTGCTGTCCACAGCCACGCAAGAGCTTCCCAGGCCAGGGCCAGCCACCAGGGACGCTGCCAGCTGGGGCTCAGCCAGGAGCCCAGCCACGCGTGCCCAGGGTGCAGATCAGGTGCAGCCCCAGGTGGAGCAGGCAGGGCCGCTGGTGACCTCGTTCTCGGGCGGCTGGTCGTCCGCCGCGCTCCCCAAGGAGTAGACAGATGAATACGTGCAGGCCGGGGAGGGCACTGCGCCAGCTGGGGGAGTGAGCAGAGCTGCCCGCCCAGGTCTCCAAAGCCTGGGAAGGGCTGCGTGCAGCGGGGTGCTTCCCTCAGGGATCTACACTGGGATGGGTGCTGAGAGCAGAGGGCGGCCGGCTCCGTCCCCAGAGTCCCCGGGCGGCAGCCATGTGGGTGGGGTGTGGCTGCGTCTGTCCGGCTGTGGCTTTCTACCCAGAGCCCTGGCTCCCTGGCTCGGCCCCCACCCGAGTCCGCTGGCCAGCGTGGCCACCCCTGGAAGCCAGGCAGCAGGTGGGGGCAGGGCTGGCAGCTCCTGGAACAGCTCCCGCAGCGGCCCACCGCTCTGCGTCCTCATCCGTCCGAGCCAGGAAGGGGGCGCACGTCACGGGTGAGCAGCCGGGGACAAGACCGCTTCTGTCCTCCCGCCTGCCTCCCTGCTCTGCCCTGAGCAGTGCCAGACCCTGCCCGCCCGGCCAGCAGAAGCCTCCCCCACAGGCCGCAGTGGCAGGGCTACAGTAGGCACGGCAGCGTGCGTCCTGCCCGCTGCTGGGGCTGGGGGCATCCGGCTGGGATGCAGCTGCTCAGGACAAGCCCGGGCCCTGAGAGTCTGGGTGGCCCTGGGGGAGGCCCCCACTCAGGTGAGCGGCAGGGCGGGGGCTGGGGACCACGAGGTCTGAACTCTCGGGGAGGGTGCGGAGGGGCTTTAGGGGCACAACATCATCCATTCTGCAGCACTGGGTGTACCTTCCAGAAGCTGCCTGGAGGCCCTCAATGGTCGGTGTAGTTGGAGCTTGGGGAGCTAGGTGGGCATCAGCGGCAGCAGGGGGCTGCAAATCTGGCAGGGCAGGGGTGCAGGGGTGGAGGTCTCGCTACAGCGGGTGTGGCCCGGGTGGCCGTGGGGCCCCTTGGCTGCTGGCCTCGAGGCCAGCATCCAGCACTGCTTGCCCTTCCTGCTTAATAACCACAGGCGACCTTTGTACAGCTGGACCCGGCCCTGCCCGGCCAGCAGGGGCTCCTGCATGTGGCCCGTGGGCAGGGACCCCGTGGGATGGCTCACTGTCCCACTCCTAGGGCTGCCCGCCCACCCCACTGTGCCGTTGAGGACACGAGGCACCAGCGCAGGGGAGCAGCATGACCAGTGTGTCACGGCGAGGGCAGCTTGGGCCCCATCGTGCTGTCCGTCCTCTGCCTCGCCCCCAGCAGGCCTGGGCTACTCTCTGGGCCTTGGGGCAGGCGCCCTCCACCCCTGTGCCCTGCCTGCGGTGCAGCAGCGCATGAGCCATCACCTTGGGCCCGAAGGTCTGGCACCAGCAGAGCAGAGGGGAAGCTGGGGGCAGCAGGCGGAAGGGGACCTAACCCGGCTCTCACTGCATCTGTCCCGCGAAGAGGAGGGGTGAGGGGCAGGCTGGGCACTGAGCAGGGTGGGAACAGTGGGCGGCACAGCTGCCGTGGGTGAGAGGGGATGGGCCCGGAGCTTTGGGGCACAGGGCAGCTGCCCTTGGCTGGCCAGGGTGGTGCACTGCCCACGGACAGGACTCGGGAGCCCGCCAGGGACAGAGACAATGGCGGAGCCAGGGAGCTCCCAGACCTCTGCTGGGTAGCCGGAGGGACAGGAAGCCAGCGGGGGCCGTGGGGCCCTGGCGGACTCCAGACAGAGGGTGCATTTAGCTGGGCCTGGAGCCTCCGCCCTGCCCGCCCGCCACACGGAGGAGGTGGCAGTAGGGTGCAGGACAGAGCGCAGAAGGCCCTGCCTGTCTGTGCAGCGCGGTACGGGCTGCAGCAGGGCCCGAGGCCCGGCACACGTGGTGGGACCAAGTCTCGCAGCAGTGCTCCAGGGAGCCGAGAAACAGGCCCTGCCTGGCGGGGCCTGAGACGGTGTAGGGTCCTGGCTGGGGACGGTGAGTGAAGGCCTGCAGCTCCCGGGCAGGGTTGTCCTGCGTCCTTCACGGAACATAGGGTCTCAGAAGTGTCCCAGGCTCTGTGTGGCCTGGGGGTGGCCACTGTCCCTTCCCCCGATCTGAGGTGGGGTCCCCTCAGGACCCCAGCCCCTTCCCCATCCCGACCCCTGCAGCGCAAGCTGCCACACTGGGCCTGGGGGCTGCTCTGGGCACTGTGGGGCGGAGGGGCAGCAGGTCGCCGTATCCTGGGTGCTCTGGGCCGCGGTAGCGAGTGTGGGGTAGGCTGGCAGCCTCCTAGTCAGACCCTCCGAATCGAGGTCACTTCATTTTGTGACCACTGGACCGCAGGGGCTAGGAGTGTCTTTGTCAGCGCCCCAAGTGGGACAGGGGAGGGCAGACCCATACCCCTCAGGTCCCCAGGTCCCCAGGTCCCCACACCCTCCCTCTCCTTGCCACCTGTCCCAGCCACTCAGAGCCACTGCCTGCTCCTCAGGGTGCCCAGCACATTCACTGTGGGCTGGCCTGGGCCAACGGCTGGACAGGAGGGGCCTGGCTGGCCATGCAGGTGTGTGGAAGCCCCATGTGGGCAGTGCCAGGCCCAGTTACCAGAGTGTCCTCCTGGCACCAGGAGTGCTGGGCTCATCACACTTTGCTGCGCTCCATGTCCACCCACCTGCCTGCGTCCCACACGTGTCTGGATAGAGGGGGCTTGGGCCCTGGGAGGACAAGTTGAGGGGTGGGCACGAGGTTCTTATAGGTGGCCACAGGGGCAGTGCAGAGGCTGGGGGTCCTCAAGTTGCCTGGCCCTCTCCACCCTTGTCCCCAGCAGGAGCGTGTGCCGCCTCTCCTGAGGCTGGCTGGGTGCCCTGACCCTGGTCCTCCCAGTCTGGGCTCCCCGTGTGGGGATCCTGCCAGGCTGGCTGTCCTCAGGCCTTGTGCCCCACTCCTCGAGCGGCACCTGAAGCTGGCCTCAGCTTCCCCAAACCTCCCGCCTGTGTGGGCAGGGCTGGAACTGGACCCCAGGGCAAGCTGCATCTGCCCCAGCTAGGGGTGGTCTGGGGTGAAGATCAGGGGCCGTCCAGCTACCTGGGACCTGGCTCTGCCACTGAGCATGCGTCTGGTCAGTCTGGCTGCTCCTCCACCCTCTGCTGTGGCCAAGGACACGGGGTCGCATGGCTGGGACAAGTCCAGAAGGGAGCCAAGGCTGGCGCAGCCTCGCCTTGCCCAGCACAGCTGCCGAGTGTCTGAGAGCTGTCGCCTTGCTACAGGCTGTGATTTTGGGAAAGGCCCTGCACGGCCGACCTGGGGCTCATCTGGGGCCTCCCCCTAGCCCACCCGGCCTGGGTTGCCCATGGTGGACCCAGAGGCCCTGCCTGCCCCAGGCCACCATGGAGTGACTTCAGGAGGGGAATGGGGTGGCCCCATGGGCCCGGGACGGAGGCAGGAAGAGATTCCGGGCGGAAGTGGGTGAGCTGATGTGCCAGGGAGCCTGAGACATGGCCAGGAAAGCCCTGTGTTCCAGGATCATCCTGGTGGGGGCACCAAAGCCAGACACCCCCACCTGGGCTGGCATGTCTGCTGCCAACCACCCTGGGACACAGAGACACGGCGATCCCTCTCGTGGGGCTGAGCTGCGAAACCCCATTGCTGGTCCCCCAGGGCCCCTGCCTAGGCCCCAGGCTCAGGCCCTCACTGGTGACCCGGCCACACTGTCTTCCAGGGGCCAGGCCCAAGAGGACACAGAGGCTGAGCATGGAGGCCTGGGATCTGCTGCGGTTGCCCCCGGAGCGGGTAAGTGGGCGCAGGGAACAGCAGGCACACGCCAATGTGGGAGGCAGGCTGATGGCCCTGGGGAGCCGGTTGCTGAGCTCTCGAGGCATGGCCTGGCCCTGTCTGCTGGGAGACAAATGTGCCCTTGGCCACGGGAGGCCCTGCCTGGGCCCATCTGCCACCAGGCCCCCAGCGGCCCCGCACCTGGCCCCCCCACGGCCCCGCCTTCCTGCCAGCTGCGTCACCAGGGCCCTGTGATCCTCCCTAGAGGCTCCTGGCTGCTCCCTGCCCAAAGGGGAAACAGAGGCATCACTGGTGAGGAGCTGGCAGAGCACGGCAAACCCCAGACAGTTCTGGGGACCATGTGTGGTGCTGTTCAGGCCTGGCTGGGGGACCTTGGGTTCCTTGGCTGCAGCACGGGGTGGGTGTGGACGCCTGCAGGGCCCAGCATGGGTTCCAGGCTCAGGGCCACCATGCTCCATTATTTCCTGGGCGACAAGGCCGACAGCCCTGTACCCAGAACCCCACCCTTCCCCTCCTCCTCCCTCTGGGTCCTGTGTGCCCTGTGGGAGTGGGGCAGCACCCCCAGGCCATCCTGAGCTAGGGAGGTTGGCTGGAATCCTCCCGCCCGTATCTGCCCTCCCAGGAGCAAAATGGAGACACCTGCCACAGCGGGGACTGGCGGGGGCCTGGCAGGGACTCGCTGCCCCTCCCTGTGAGGAGCCGGAAGTACCAGGAAGGGCCGGATGCCACCGAGAGGAGGCCTCGGGAGGGCACCCATTCTCCGCTGGACAGTGCCGATGTCCGTGTGCAGGTGCCCCGCATGGTAGGTGCCCTCAGCTAGGACAGGGAGGGGAATGGCGGAACCAGGCTAGCCTGGTCACTCTGGGAAGGCAGAGGTTCCGGTGGCAGCCTGGCCCTCTCAGGCCTCAGTTTCCCTCTGTCCCTCCCCTTCCCCGGCCACACTGGGCCTCCAGACCTGTCTGCCAGTTGCAGGGCCATGTTCCCTACAAGGCCCTGGCTGCCCTGGCTGAGGTAGCTGGTCCCTCCACCTGGGGCCCCTCGGGGATTCCGGGCCAGCTGGCAGGGACCCCAGCCCTGAGTGTCCCACAGGAGCCTCTGGGAGGTGGGGCAGCCAGCAGCCCCTGGGGTGTCCTGGAGCCCCCCAGCGGAGATGCCCGGGACTGCAGCTCCTGCTAGGGGGAGTGGGGGGCTCTCGTTGTCCTTTGAAGGGGCCGGGGGCTGGGGACACATTTGGGGCCGTGTGAGGGACACGGCTAGAGCACAGAGCTCTGATGGAGAGGACAGCAGGAGGCTGACAGTGACCCAGGGTCCCCGCTCCCCTAGCCAGGTGTGAGTGGGCTGCGGGCAGGGCAAGTGGCTGTGCAGCCTGGGCCCACTGCTCGGCCTGGGGCCTGGGGTCTGGGGTGCCGGGAGCTGTGGGCGCCTGCCCTTCCAGCCCCAGTGTCGGCTTTATCAAGTGGGGAGAGGCAGATGGCCAGGGCCGGCCGATGGCCAGGTGTGCGGATGGAAGCAGGGGACACAGGCTGCTGCTCGCGCCCCCTCGGTAGGCACCGGGCAGCCAGCGGGGTTCTGGGGTGCACAGAGGCGGTGTGCAGGTGTGGAGAGCCCAGAGCTCGGGAGAAGGGTCCCCGGGTCCAAACTCCCAGAAATTAGCCTAAAAATAGTCGCTCCCGGGCCTCATCAGTGTCCCAGCCTGTGGAGGGCATGGGCGGGCTGGGTATTCTTAGCTCCGTGCCTGCCTGCAGCCCACCCTTCCCTCCAGCCTGGGGCCGCCCCCGACCTTCCATCACAGGAAGAAGACAGGGACCCTGGAGAGCCGCAGGCCTCTTCAAGTGCACCCTGTTTCCTTCTCACAGGAGCCCCAGGCCGTCATCACCAGCCACCGACCCCAGAGTTGCCTGTGGGGTCCCGTCTCAGAGTGGAGCGGGGGCTCCCTTGGCCCCACCTTGCAGGGAGCCCCAGGGTGGTGAGGGTGAAGAGGGCTTTCCCAGGGGCTGTCCTCCCCACGGCCTCCCTGACGCCCGCACCGAGGGGAGGGAGGGGCGTGCTGCTGAGCTCAGGAGCCCTTGGAAGTGTTTATAGAGCAGCCCGGTGTGTGCGCGTGCGTGCGTGCTTGTGTATGTGTATGTGTGTGTGTGTGCGCACACGAGAGAGAGTGTGTGTGTGTGTATGTGCCTGCGCGCACTCTCGTGGGTGTTGTGTGAGATCCAGCAAGGGCGGCGCTGGGAGGGCTGAGCCCTCTCCCTGGGTCCTATTTAAGCACTGAGTGAGCGCGGGGCCCCGGCAGCCAGCGGCAGTGAGGCAGCGCCAGGCACTTGGGGCAGGTGTTGGCGGCGGCAGCAGCACTGGGCACCTTGGCGTCCTTCCCAGGCTGCCTTTGGCCAGGCGCCCTGTGCAGCTCCCGGCTCCTGGCTGCTGCTGCAGGAAGGAGCCCGTGGTACGGCGTGAGTGTGGGGTCCCCGACCCAGGAGAGGCTGGGGGGCACAGGGGCCTCTGCTGGCCCAGGTGGGGCAGACCTGACCAATCTGTGCCCTCTCCTGTAGGAACCAGGCTTAACAGACAGCAGGGCAGACTACAGCCAGACTTCAGGAGGAACTCTGGGAACTTCAGGGGAGAGAGTCGGGGTTTGGGGACAAGGAGAGGCTGGGTGGGGGGTGACGCCCTTGCTCAGAGTGCTGCTCCTGGGTAGGGGTGAGGCCCCCTGCAGCTTTCTACCTGGGCCTCAGGACCCCACGCCTCACACCCAGCAGCGGGGCTCAGGGTTGGGGTCGGGGTTGACCGGTCCAGGACCCCGGAGGTGGCACTGCTGTGATGGGGGGGGGCAGGGGCCCTGGGCAAACCTTGCTCCCCTGAGGCTTCAGCCCAGGGGGCCCCTGACTTGCCTTTCCCAGAGGGCCTGGCCGAGCAGCCCCACCTGCCTTGTCGGGTTGGGGCAGACCGGGCTGGGTCGAGGCCCCACAGCCTCCTGCCTGCGCCTGTGCACTCTCGGCTGAGGGTCCCCCTTCTCTCCTAGCTCCTGACAAGCGGGGAGGGGTGCTGCGAGCCCCAAGCAGGTGGGGCTTCCTTTTCCAGCTGTGGCTGCCTCCTGCCCCCACGGCTTGGCTGGTCCCAGACATCACCCTGGAGACCCGTGCCTGGTGCTGAGCTGGGACTGTCCCCAGGACCTGCTCTCTTGCCACTGGGTGACCTAGGGCCAGGCACACGGCTTTCCAGGCCTCAGACGCTGGGCATAGGGCTGTCTCCAACACATGGGGACCACAGGTGGCAGAAACCTCAGGCCGTGTCCCACACTCTAGATCCAACGCTGTTGTTCAGCCCTCTCCTGGCTCTGGGCCAGGGGAGCCTCCACGCCCCTGTGGATGTAGGAGCTGAGGCCAGGGCTGGCTCACAGGCCCAGGGACCTGGTGTCAGGCTCTCCCCTTCCGCCTTGGGCAGGTCACCCCTGGCAACCCTGGCCCAGGCCCCGCTGGCCAGGCTCCTGAGCTCACCCCGAACCCCAACGGCGGGCAGGACTGGTGCTGGACTCGGGCTGTGGGGGTGGGGTGGACTGACGGGGCAGGCAGCCTGGGGACCGCCCTGGGTGGTGGCCCCACTGGGGGTTACTATCTGTCCCTCAAGTCTGCCCTCCAGCCGCCCCTGGCTTACAGAAGGAGGGCTGGAGCCTTAGTGCCTCTCCCACGTTCGGAGGGCCTGGACCCAGCCGCCTGCGCCCCCACTCCAGGACATCGTACCCCACTGCCCCCACCCTGCCCTGCCTGGGAGGGCCCCGTGCCCTGGGTGAGGTCGCTTGCCACTGGCACCTCTGTCTGCCCGTGACTGCTGCCACGAGGCCCACTGCTAGCATATGAGTAGAGCCACCCAGGCTCCCTCCTGCCAGGGTCTGCTCACGTGTCCGTCTGTCTGTCCCCTGGCACGGACAGTGCTGTGCTGGGGGCCTGGACAGGTGCAGCTGGGCCCAGGTGGACAGGGGCTCAAAAGTGGGGCACAAGGAGGACCCAGAGGATGTGGGCTCCTGACCCAGGGGCAGCCAGGGAGCCTCCGGCAAGGGTGGCCAGGGAGGACAGCTGAGGCCTGGGCGGGAGAGGGGGCAGCATCCTGGGGGAGCGCGGAGGGTCCTGACTTCTGCCGGTGGCTGGTACATGCCCTGGGCTGCCCTGACCCCATGCCCGCCCGCAGAGCATCCCGAGGGCCCCGTCCTCCGACGAGGAGTGCTTCTTCGACCTGCTGAGCAAGTTCCAGAGCAGCCGCATGGATGACCAGCGCTGCCCGCTGGAGGAGGGCCAGGCAGGGGCGGCCGAGGCCACAGCCGCTGGCTCGCTGGAGGAGAGGGTCGGTGAGTCAGGGCCCAGGCTCCATCCCCTTTCCCCACAGGGCCTCTGGGGCAGCCAGGGTCTCCTGCCAGGCCCACTGGACCCTGGGGAGCCGGAGCAGCTCACCGTGAGGGGTGGGGCAGGCCAGCTGCAGAGCCCCCACTTGTCTCCGCGTAGCACGTGATCACCCGCCCCAGAACGTGTGTCGGGGTATCAGCAGCCTCTGGCAGCCAGGTCCCTAGGAGCTCAGCAGGTCTCTGCCCAGGCCTCACCCTCTGCCCCCGCAGCCCAGCCGTCCATGACAGCCTCCCCACAGACCGAGGAGTTCTTCGACCTCATCGCCAGCTCCCAGAGCCGCCGGCTGGATGACCAGAGGGCCAGCGTGGGCAGCCTGCCTGGCCTGCGCATCACCCACAACAATGTGGGCCACCTCCGCGGTGATGGGGACCCCCAGGAGCCAGGGGACGAGTTCTTCAACATGCTCATCAAGTATCAGGTGGGTCTGCAGCCTAGAGGCTGGGCGGGGGGCTTTGCCAGCTGTGGGGAGATGCCAGGTGGGCCTGCAGTAGCCCTGGCCCATCTCAGGCCGTGTCCTGGGACCCCTCGCCTCCAGGGAGCACAGCGACAGGCTGGTGGACAGGGCTGCGTGGCCGGTGTCACTGGACACCCATAGGAGCCAGGCCTGGGCTTCTCCAGCTCTGGGACCCTCACGCTGGCCTCTCATGAAACCCGCCCCACACAGGGGCCTGGGGAGACTTCTTGGGGCTGCCAGTGACACAGGCACCCTTACAGCAGGAAGGAGAGCTGGGGTTGGGGCTCAGGAGACTCAGGAGGGCTGGGCCGGGGGTGCGATGCCGTCCCGCACAAGGCCTGGCAGTTTCCAGACGTGATGTTCGTTCCCACAGAGGAGGCAGAAGCAGGGCCATGGGCCAAGCGTCTCAGCCGCCACCCTTAAGCCAGCCCCTTCTAAGAGGCCCAGAGCCCCTTGGCCTCTCGCACGCACACGCCAGCAGCTGCAGAAGCTCCCATCCCTCCTGCTCCAGGCCCTGCAGAGAAGCCTGGGAGCCCCCCAGGCCACCTGGCGTCCAAGCCAGGGCACCAGGCCTCAAAGGCTTGGCCACTGGCCCGAGGGGGAGCCCCGGGGTGCTCCTCATCACAGGCTCAGGAGCTGTGTACCCCAGGCCCCCCAGGGTCCCTCCAGGCCAGTGCCAAGGGACAGCCACGTCCCAGCCAACTCCCGGGGGTCAGCAGACCCTGGGAGTGGGACCTAGGGGGGCCCCAGAAGCCCAGTCCCAGGCTCGGCTCACTCCACACCCAGCAGGTATCGCTTGACCCATTCTGGCTGGGGGTTGTGGCTCCAGGAGACACTGCCAGGGCTGGGGGATGTGGGGGCATGAGGTGGCAGTCAGGCCTGCAGGGCCCTCTGCGGGCCATGGCAGGGTGACCCCAACCTGCCACGTCTGCCCAGTCCTCCAGGATCGATGATCAGCGCTGCCCACCCCCTGATGTGCTTCCCCGGGGCCCCACCATGCCAGATGAGGACTTCTTCAGCCTCATCCAGAGGGTGCAGGCCAAGCGCATGGACGAGCAGCGTGTGGCTCTCACCGGGAGCCAGGAGCAGGAGGCCAGCGGGCCGCCCCAGCCCCCCCAGCAGTGCCAGCCAGGTGCCAGCTAAGGCCGCGCACCCCACCTCTGGACGCTGGGGAGTGCCCTCACCACCCACACTGGGACAGCCCAGGAAGCCAGGGCTGAGGGCCACTTCGAGCCCTCTAGCCCTTCCTGTTGAGCCGACACCAGGCACACGGCCCCCCAGCAACCCCTCCCTGGGCTGCTCAGCCTGGAGCTGCCCACCGTCCTGGCTTCCTGCAGGCCTGGCCCTGCCTTGCCCTGCCCTGCCCCAGCCAGGCCCTTGGCATGTGGCCCTGACCCCGGTGCTGTCTGGACCCCTCTTGGACTCCGCTATGCCCAGCCAAATGTGAATCCCGCCATCTCCCCAGGGCCCACGTGGGGGTCTGGGAAGACCTCTCGGGGCTGCCAGCAATACAGGCAGCTTGTCCCCAGCTGGTCCTGGAGGACAGTGCTGTCCAGGCTCCTGTCCCCTCTGTCTCCCTGCTCCTAACCAGCTGCTGGAGGAGCCAGGCAGTACAGGGGGCCCAGCATTGGCAGCCTGGCATGGCAGTGGGACAGGCAGGTCCTGCCCTGGGCCCTGTCCACAAGGTAGACACAGGGCACGAACTCCAAGCCCCCATCCCACCCTGGAGCCGACAGGCCTGGTCCTGGGGTGCCAGCTTACAGCAAGTGCCACACCCACTTGGTGTGGGCGATGGCTCAACTCAACCCTGGGGACCCCATGAGCACCTGCCCCTCACCAGCTGAGGGGGGGTCCAGGCTGTGGCACCAAGCCAGGGACCCCAAGATTTGGGGACCATGGCTACCCACTCTCCCAGACCCCTGCCAGCTCTGGGGTACACACAGCCCCTCAGTCCCAAGGGCATGTGGCAACCACAAGGTTCCCAACCCCGGGCACAGAGAGGTTTGAGGGCCAGCCCTGCCATCAGCATGGGGACCCCGCTTCTAAGAGTGGGCAACCCTGGGGCTTCTGGCAGGGCGCCTGATACTTGAATGTACGTGTGTATTTATTGCTCACTCTCATGTGCCATGTCATCCATGGGTTCACACCCCCCCCCCAAGAGGTACGTCTGCTTTTGGTTTTCCTGAAAAATAAAGTTTGCCAAGTGACTGTGGCCACTGCTGGGACTGGGGCGGGGGGGTGGCTCTTCTGGGGGTCCCAGGGCTGACCTAGCCCATGCTAAGCATTCACTGCCATGCAAGCCCTCCTGGATGCTGCTGTCTGGAGGCCTCTGGGTTTGAGGTACCTGCTGTGGTTATGGGGGGCTGGGCTCAGCCCAAGACCATCAGAGCTGTGTCCAGCACCAGGCCTCTGCCCCAGCTTCCCAAGGGCAGGTGGCAGGAGCCAAATGCTCAGAGCAGACTGGGTGCCACCTGCTGCTGCTGCCCCCCAGCTGGGGCTTCAAACCCGGAGTCCAGTTCCACGGGATCCACGTGGGGCCGATCCAGTCAGAGGAGCTCGAGTGCCCAGGCTGGGGCACAAGTTCAGGGGCGGGCATGGGATGCGCCAGCAGGGATGGGCCTTTGCCACAGCAGCCCTGCTCCTGGCTGACCCCGTGCCCTGCTCGAAGGAGGGGGTGGGACAACCCTGTGTGACCCCTCACCCGAGGTCCAGGCAGAGCCAGAGCCCCCTTCTCCAAGAGGTCGCCCCAGGGGCAGGCCAGCTGAGCGTGGCCAGGGCTCCCTGGTGTGAGGGCAGCTGAGCCAGGAGGGTTCCAGTGAGTGATGAGCAGGAGGGTGCTGGCAGCAAGCAGGCTGGCGGAAGGAAGGTCATGCCTGTGACTGCCAAGCTGGGCTGCATCGAGAGGCCCCTGACCCCTAACCACCCACCTAGACCCCAGGAACCCTGACATCCTGGGGGGCACCGCCCTCTCCAGAAGCCGGACATGCCGGGCACTGGGGGAGGAAGGCGGGCAGCTCACAGGTGGTGGCCACTGTCCCTCTCAAGAGTGACAACAGGAGAAAGGCGAGGGGGTGAGGTGTGGCCGAGGCAGGCACTGCCACGAGAGCCCCACTGAGGATCCTTGGGGGCTCATGATGCCAAGGACAGACTGCCCCAGTCCCACTGGTCCCTAGAGGCTGAGACGCCCTGGGGAAAGATCGCAGAGGACATTGTGTGGGCCGCGCCCCACTGGCCTCCGGACCTGGCCTGCCCAGGCCTGTGGACCCAGAGCACAATGTCACTGCCTGGATGGGGACAGGGACATGCAGGGCCTGGGCTGGGCAGCTGCTGCACCCAGGGGCCCTGCTCAGAAGACAGAGCGGGGTGCCTGGCCCTTACTGTGGTGTCCACTGGAGGCAGGGACCACAGGGCTGAGGGCCTGGCACTGGCTGGCCTGAGTGATGCCAGGGTCTGGGCACACACACGGGCTGGCCCTAGGTGAGGCAGGCAGGGCACAGCAGCCCAACATGAGCCTGAGCACCCTGCACTCGCAGTCTGCACGTGGAAGGAGATGGTCAGACCCTGGAATGTGGAAAGGACAGGGGGAATACCCATGTCTGCGTTGCGGGCCTGTTTCCCCATCCTAAGCACAGGATCCAGCCTGCACTTCAGGTGCAGCCAGCACACTGACCTCAAGTGCCAGCCAGAGCCTCAAAGGCACAGAGGAGCCCAGGCCCAGCCCAACTGGCCCACCTCACCCACTCCAGGGCCCCTGGAAGCCCCAGCTGGTTCCCTTCAACCTGGGCCTCCGTGAGGAGCAGGCTGGAGGCGGGGGGCAGGCCCAGCCTGGAGGCCAACAACAGCTACACAAGCGACAGGAGGCTCCGGGTGGGGATAATAGCAGGCTGCTAGTGGAAGGAAGGACAGGGGGTAATCGAACCAGGGCACACACTGCACCCGTGGCAGCCTCCCACGGCTGGCATGAGCTGGTAATCACTAGCTGGTCCCACGGGGACAGGCGCTTTGTGTCCCTGTTGCTCTCAGCTCAGCCGCCCCCTCCACCCTCTCTCCTTTCAGGTCCCTCCCTGCCAGACAGGGCTAATGATTAATGCTGAAGGTCACACAGCAGAGAACACTTTTGGAAACAGCCACCACCACGTCTGCGATCGCTCACTTCCCTAAACACAGGAACATCCTGAGAGCCAGTCAAACAAAGCCTGGAGATGAACCATGTGCAAGAGGCAGTGCCAGGGCCCAGGCGCTTGGGACCCTCTGCCGCTCAGGCTCCTCTCCGAGCACGCCCACCCTGTGCAGGGGCAGGAGACACAGGAGGGAGGTGGGTCAGCGTGCCCTGCCCAAGGCCACACAGGTTCAGACTCCACGCCCAGCCCCTGCCCACCTGGACGTGGGCAGCCCAGCCTCGGCCAGGGGCAAGATGGCTTGACGGCACCGGGGAAGGGGTTCTGACCCCAGAACAGAGACCAGGGAGCCAGCCCCACGAGCAGAGGCGAGCTTTACTGACGGGCCAGACTGTGTCCAAGAGGCCCAGAGGAACCAAGTGTCTCCGATGAAGGCCACACAGGCATGGGGACGTGGAATCAGCTCCGCTCCATCTCACCAGCGTGAGTGGGATCCTCACTGTCACCCTCTTTCAGGCCCACAGGGGACTTGGGGGCCCCTGCCATCTCCACAATCAGCTCCAGGGCCCCCTCGATGGCCACCCGGTGCACTTCCTCCCCTCTGGCTGCCAGGATCTCTTCAATGTTCCTGCAAGACAGAGGTGGGGTCACCGTGCACACCGCTCCCTTGAGGGCACCGACGGCCGGCTTCCGCCAGGAGCATGGTAGCAGGCCCACTGAGGTACACCACCAGGGGACCGCTAACCAAGGGCCACTCCACAGCCCGGTCCTGTTTCCCCGGGGGCAGAAGAGGAAGGGGTCTGCACTGGGGTCTGACGGACCTGGCCCAAGGCCCAGCACCAGTCCAGCGCCTGGCACCGATCTCACGGGACCGCCGCCACAGCCCTGCCAGGCGCTGCTCTGTGCCCACCCCACGTGGGAACGCAGCTCAGAAGCCAGGAGCCAGCACCGAGTCCTCAGAGCACCTGAGGGCTGCACGCAGATGACCAGGCGCAACGAGGCCCCGCAGGGGAGCAGCCCAGGGTGGCCGGGTCCACAGCTGCTGCTTGGGCGGCGCTGGTACCAAAGGGCCGCTCCTGGGCCATCTGAACCTCAACCTGAACGCGGCACCGGGCGGACAGGAGCCCTGGCTGCCGGGGTGGGGCGGGCCTCGGGCGCGGCCAGTGCAGCCCAACGCCCAACGTGAGGGGGTCCGTCCCAGCCTTGGCCTTCCCCCCTTCCCACCAGGGGCCTCACCTCTTCCCGTCCAGGTCGGAGAACCAGCCCAGGTTGTCTGCGATGATGTGGTGGTTCTGGCAGCCCGGGCAGGTCACAATGACCACACCCTGGTGATAGGCCAGCTTGGAGATGCGCTTGGAGGACCGAGTCCCACAGACCTGGCCGGGGCGAGCCGGTCAGGCTCCCGGAAGCGCTCACGGAGGACCACCCCTGCCCCAATGCAGTCACGCCCCCCACGACAACCCCACCCTCTCAGAAAGACCGACTCCCTAGCGACAGTCCCACCCTTTCAGGGCAGCCCCACCCCCAGGTACAGCTCCTCCCTTCGGGAAGGCCCCGCCCCTGAGACAACCCCCTCAGGAGGCCCGCCCCTGAGACAACCCCCCTCAAGAGGGTACCGCCCCTCAGGGATAGCCCCTCCCCTCAAGGCCCGCCCTCAGGCAACCACCCACCCAAGAGCCTGGCAGGAGAGCTTCGAGCGCCAGGCTGGATTCTCGCTTGGGCCGTGTCCCTTCCAGCGCCCTCCAACGCCCAGCGCGGCCCGCCCTAGCCTCGTGCCCACCTTGCAGGTGTAGACGAGCTGGTAGTGCGTCGCCTCTAAACGCCCCAGCCCTGCCGCGGACTCTGGCCCGCAGCTTAAGTGTCGCCAGCCTCGGCCCCAGGCCCAGGCCCGCCGTCTCCCCGCGGCCTCCGGGTGGGCTGGGCGGACCCACAGCCTCCTCAGGCCGGGTTCCCAAGGCCGCACGCCGCCCAGCCGTACCGGAATGCGGCCCAGCGCCTTCCGCAGCATTCTGCCTGCTGGCCTGGGGTGCCCTGGCCGCCTGTCGCGGCCCCGCCCCGCGCGTCCGAGGCTGTGCCCGCCATCTTGGAAGTGGGCAGGGCGAGCGGAAGCGGCCCTCTAGACTTCCGGGCGCACCGCCCCTGCCGCCTCCTGCGTCACCGCGCACTCTCCCTCGCAGGTTGTTTTTATTTTTTTAGTTGCGTCCTCCAGATCGCTACAAAGCAGTTAGCATACAGTGCGAATAGGAGGCCGAGCCGAGGGACACGGACGCGCGCCCGGCACGGAGAGAGCCCGCGCGTTCCCGGCACTCTAGGCGCCCTCGGTGTCCGTGTTGTCGCTGCCGGTGGTGTTCCCGCGGTCGCCCTCGCCCTGTTGCCAGCTGCTCTGCACCTTCCTGAGCGCTCGCTTCCTGCGGGAGCGGGGGCAGGTGTGGGCCGGTGTCCCGGGGCGGCCGCGGCCCCGGCCCCAGCCCCAGCCCGCGCCCCACCTGCGGTAGTTCTCGAAGCTCTCCTTGAGGCGCCGCCGCTCCTTCTCGGGGGGCTCCCCGCCGACGCTCGGGCCCGCGTCCTGCGAAGGCGAGGCCAGCTGCACCGCACGCCTTTCCCGCCCCGGCTTCCTCGCGCCCCTTTCGGCTGCCCCGCCCGCCAGGCCTCCGTGTGCAGGACCAGAGGGGCGCCGCTGGTTTTCCAAACCCTGCACCCCAAGAACCCCCCCGCGGGGACCTTAGGATCAACCCCACGGGGTGGAGCGGCCCAGGTGGAGGCCCCACAGTCGGTCCCCGAGAAGAGCGGCCGCGGCCAGTGGGACACAGAGCTGAGGGGACCCCAGAAGCCTTACATGGGGGCTCAGCGAGAGCGGCTCCTTCCGCAAGGACACAAAAGGCTGCTCCGGGTTCTCTCCCTCGGCCAGGCCGCCTGCAAGACAGCGGAGCTTGTGATCGCCGCCCCTGCCCTCTGCCAAACCGGCTCTGCCCAGGCGGGTCCAGGAGGCCTCGTGGGGTCCTCACGATGGCCCAGTGAAGATTTCTCGCCTCACAGAAAAGGTACAGGAGAAGACCTCACCAGCCCTCACCTGGAGTAGGGCCCAGCGCTGCCACCATTGCCAACCCCCTCCTGAGCTGCCTGCCCCTAAATGACTGAGGCCGCAGGCAGGAAAGACCCCCGACGCCAGGACAGTTGGGCCACGTGTGCCCCAGGCAGTATCCCAGTCACTGAGCAGTTTTGGGCAAGGTGGTGCCCAAAGGTGGGCATGGGGTGAGCAGCAAGGCGCTACTCCAGAGGCCAGGGATTTAGCTCAGTGTTTTCACCGCCTGCTGCACAAGCGCAAGGACTCAAGTTCAATCCCTGGTACAAAAAAAAGAAAAAGGTGGATGCTCCATGCTGCTGGAGCACTGGAGTCCCCCAGGGCCACGGCAGACCAGGCTCAGGCCCCTTGGGCAGAAGGTGCCAGGGCCTGGCAGGGCTGCAACTGTCGCGGGGAACCCTTGCCCTCCCACCTTCGCGCTGCCTAGCTGCTCCTGGGTCCTGCCCGCCTCTGCCCACGTGGCTCAGCCACCTCAAGTTCACATCTCTTTGGCTGTGGCGGGCGGTCTGGGCCCCACTTCTCCATTTGCTGCCGCTTCTTCCCCCTTTTGCCTTTGCTTGGAGGCTGGGTCAGGCTGATCTGGGGAAGTCTGACTTCCCACACAGCCTCTAAGCCCCCAGCCCCTCCTCCCTATGCCGCCCCTCACCTTCCCACCAACCCCCACCAAAGCTCCTCCCACCTCCAGGTCTCCCCAGGGGGCACCCTTCTGTCCTAGCCAGCCCCAGGCCCAGGCCTGTCTCTGTGATGAAGAGCCCAATTTTAAAACCAGTGGCAGTGGGGTCCTGCCCAGATGCTCATCCCCCACGGCCCCAGAACTATCTATAGACAGCACGTACCCATGTCCCTCCCCTACTGCCGGGGACACGGTGGGTCCTCACTTCCTAGCCTTGTGCACTAGACAGTGGCCTACTGCCGCCTCCCTCTGGAGGGAAGCTGGGTGAGGACGTGAGGGGCGAGCCCTGGTCCCCTCTGTGATCCCAGGGCCTGCACAGGGAGGGGCTCCACAGCCAGTGCTCTGTGAACATGTTCTCATGGGCAACACGCCCATCAATTGGGCCCAGGTTCCCATCAGATTCTCTCCTTGCTCTCTGGGTGTCCTTGACCTGATAGCTTATCCCCCAAGCCTCATTTTCTCCATCTGCAGAGTGGGTGTTTGTCACCTGGCTGTGCCTGCCTAGGGCCAGAGGCTGTCCAGGACCCTCCCCAAGGGGCACACTGTGTACCCCCCGCCTCCTCACCTTTGTCCGAGAGTTGGCCATCGTCCTCCAGATCCTGGGGCAGCGAGAGCTTCTGGAGAGAGGCAGGTTGTCCTGTTAGGCACTGTGCAAGCCACCACTGCCCCTCCAGCCCAGGACCTGGCCCACGCTGTCACCCTCTGCACAGAGCAGGGGCCTCAGGCTGCTACGCCAGGTAGATGGGGCAGAGAGCCAGCCCTGGGCCCCCTCTGACCCTGACTACACAGAGGCCCCAGTGGCCAGGGAGCACAGGCTGGGAACGACTCACCTCCTGGGAGTTCCTGGGCGAGCTGTCCTCCAGGTCAGAGCTCTGGGTCCCAGACAAGGGTTGGTCAGCAGATTGTGGGGTCCCCCACTCCCTCCCCACCCTGTCAGGCAGCCTAAGGGCTGCCATTCAGTCTCAGCCACTCTCCTGCAGTACCGCTTCCCACTCGGGCAGAAGCCATGGCTGTGCCTGGCCCACCACAAGGACACGCCAGCCTCACTGAGGAGGAAGGGGCTGGCAGTGGGGCAGTGGCCAGGCCAGGCCAGGCCCAAGCACCCCGCCCAGCTCCCTCTGCACAGACGCCCAGGCCCCCGACCCAGGCCCACCAGGACCAATGTGTCCAGCTGCTGCTGCTTGAGCCGGGCCTCGGCAGCCAGCAGCCGGCCCTCGCACTGGAACAGCTGCAGCTGCAACTCGTCAGCCTTCTCGCCCAGCTCGCGGACCCGTTTGCGGAGCTCGTCCTTGTCCTGCAGGCTCTGGGCGCACTGCGCGTGCAGCTCCTCCCGAGAGGCCATGGCCTGGGGGACGTGGGCACAGCTCAGTGGCTAGCTGCAGGCAGGCACCCCTCCCCAGCAACCCCCAGAGCCACGGCCACACAGGCCTCTTCCCCTGGCTTCCCCTTGGATGGCACTGCCTGTCCGGGGATTGGAAGAGAGCGCAGGGGGCTTCTGACACAGAGAAGAGTGCCCATGTTCTCAGCACCGAGGCATGGTGGACGGGCAGCTCACTCCCTCCCACCACACTGGCGTGCCCTGTGAATCTGGGAGGTGACATGATCACCAACGCAGCCTCAGGTTTTGTCACATGAATGTCAGGCTCTTCATGCCCACCCTCCAAGGGACCCAGGGCTGTGGGACCGCTGTGTAGCTGAGGAGGGCCCTACCAGCCTCAGGTCAGACAGAACTCGAGCCCAGCGTGGGTGAGGTAGCGGGTAGAGCAGAGGGGAGTACGTAACAGAAAGCGTGGGACAGGAATGGAGAGAGCAGACGGAGCAAGGATGACTGTGTCAGCATATCAGAAAACCAGCCAGGCATGGTGGCACAGCCAAATAATCCCAGCACTTGGGAGGCTGAGGCAGGAGGATCACTACGAGTTAGAGCCCAGCATGAGCTACATATTGTTTCAAAAAACTAAAAAAAAAAAAATCAGAAAACCAATAAAGATCACCGTCTCCCCTAAGATCCCTAAGGCCTGTGTCCACCCTCATTTGCACTGTGGTTTTGACCCCCACCCAGTGGGCTTGGGATGCCATGACGCTTCCTCTGAAAACCTTGTGTGGTCAAAACTGCCTTCAAGGGGCCGGGGATGTAGCTCAGTGGTGCAGCACCTGCTTCACAGGTGTAAGGTCCTTCGTTCGATCCCCAGTACCAAGAAAAACTCCCCTCAAGACAGGCAGGTGAGTCAGGTACCATCCGCCGGGCTGCAACTCCTGTCCACTCCTAGCTCACGCATCCCAGGACCGGAAGGGACGCGGGGCCTGTCCAATCAGGCAGGGAGCTCTTCGGGCCACTTGCACCATGAGTGGATCTTCGCTTCTCCCCACTGTTGTTTCTCCACTTTAATAAGTCTTATCCTTGCTACTCTTTCTGAGCATCCTGCTCAATTCTTTGTTCAGAACACCAAGAACCTGGGCGGCACGCCTGACAAACTGCACCCCACCCCACCTTGGATAACATGTGGGCCTCAGCCCACTGGCCAGGACTTGACTAGGTACTGGCAGCTGCCTCACTCTGTCACTTCATTGACTTAGGGGCACCTGGAAGGAGCCAAGCCGGCCCTGATCGATCTGGGAGGCCATGGTAGGGAGCTGCTGCCAGCAGCCCCATCCGGGAGAGCTGACACAGGGCCTCCCCACTGGGGAGCCCCCCCACCTCCCCTGCCCCGCACAAGGGACGTGGCGAACTCAACAGGGGCCGAGCTCGAGCCACTACCCTGTGTCAAGGCTGCTGGCCCACATTCCCAGGCCATGCCCTTCACTGACTGGAAGCAACCTCGAGGACACGATGGGCAGCTGCAGCCTTACTGGGGACGCTTTCCTATGCACTCAGGTTCTCCAGCCAGCGCGCCCATGGTTACGTTAAAAAAACTATTTGCAAAACAAGACAAGTAGAAAGCTCCTGTTTTTGTAAAATAAGATGTATGAAACAGAACTACGTGTACCGCAGCGCTGAGAAAAGTGGGGAAGGAAGGGGCTAAAGGCGACCATGGTTTTCCCTGAAAACGGGAAGGGACAAGGGCATGGAGAAGGGAGAATTAATGTCACCATCGTTTATGTGCTTTGTTTTTTTTCCCCAGTACTGGGGATTGAACCTAGGGCCTGTGCACTGAGCTACATCCCCAGCCCTTTTTAAAATTTTGAGACAGGGTCTCATTAAGTCACTATCATTGCCCAAATGGGTCTGGAATTTCCAATCCTCCCCACTCAGCCTGGGATCACAGCCAAGCCCCACAGGCCTCTGGCCCTCCCCACGGTGCCCACCTGGTCCCGCTCAATGGCAACCTCCTCCATCTGCTGCAGGACAGCCTCGATGCGCTCCTTGTACATCTTGGAGTCCTTGCGCAGGGCCAGGCACTGCAGCTGGACCATCTCCCTCTCCTCCATGCACTGCAGGATGTGGTGCCGGCATTAGTCCCCCCAACCAGAGGGTGGCCCCTAGCGGGGACATACACAAGGCTCAGCCCTGCAAAGCCTGCATCTCGAGAACGGGCATAGGGAGCCATTCAGCCAGGCCCCAGCACCCCACGCCCAGCTTGGCCCCCACCTGTCAATCCTCCTACCCGGGAGCGGAGGGCCTCGGCTTGGCGGAGGTCCTTGCGCAGGGCGAAGATGGTGGTGGCTTGCTCCTGGTGCTCGCGCAGCGCCTGGCGCCAGTCTTCCTCCAGCACTTGGATGTAGGGGCTGCTTCGCTCCAGCTTCCCCTCCTGCGGGCCACGATGGGCCTGGTGGGAGCCCCCGCCGCCCACGGCACCCGCCCAAACGCGCCTGCCCACGCACCCCACCTGCGCCGCGGCCTCCAGCTCCTGCACCCGCGCCTGCAGCAGGGCCTTCTCCTGCTGCAGCTCCCACAGCCGCTCCTGGCTGGGCCGCTGCTCCATGGCGTGCCGCAGCTTCAGTGTGTGCTTGCGCTCCACCTTGCAGTCGTCCTCCGCCTTCATGAGGTTGTGGCGCAGCCGGTCCACCTCCAGCTGCAGGTCACGGGTGCGCATGAGCGCGGCGCCCTTCTCCTCGCTCAGGCGGGCCAGGCGCATGGCCAGGTCGTAGTTCTCGTCCTTGCAGCGCTTGAGGTCGCGCCCACCGGCCTCGCACTCCTCTTTGAGCCGCCGCACACGCTCCTGGTGCTTGCGCAACAGGCTGTCCTTCACGCGAAGCTCCTTGATGAAGTCATCCTTTGAGCTCAGCAGTGCCGTCAGGTCTTGCACCTTCTTCTGTAGCTTCATGACCTCCGTCATCAGCAGCTGTGTCAGGCCCGACTCCCCAGATGCGTCTGGGCCCCGGGAGGCAGCAGGCCGAGTCAGGATGGCAGAGACCCAGCGATCCCGGCTTGCTCAGCGCCTGGCCCCCACCCCGACCTGGAGCCCCCTTGTGCAGGCTGGAACATATCTGATCAGGCCCAGGAGACAGGGCTTCAGGGGCTCCGAGCCACTTGCCAGTGACGGTGAAAGGCCGGGAAGCCCACACCGCTGCAGCCACTCTACCGGCCTCCTCTAGAGGCCAGCAGGACCCCCACACACCGAGAGGCAGGACAGACCCCAGGCACGCACCTTCATGCCCTAGGCTGTCCTTCCCACACAGGGCCCACTGGGGTTTGGTGGGCAGGGGGGTGGGGTGGGGCCTGCTTCAGCCCCGCCCATCTAGGCTCCACCCCCAGCATAGGCCCCGCCCTGTCCACACCTCCACCCTGCTCCACCCTCCCTGTCTAGGCCCCGCCCCTGTCCCCCCCCCTCACCGATGATCATGGAGAAGACGCGCGCCGGCTCCTTGCCTGTGACCTTCTTGTACAGCTGTGGGTAGTAAAGCTCCAGGCTCTCCAGGAAGGCCACGTAGCCCTTGTGGCCAGTCCGCTGCAGGATGTCCAGGAGCACACCTGCAGGCCGCAGAGCAGGCTGGGGCCGGCCCGGGGCAAGCAGAGGGAGGCCACTGGCCAGGGGACTCTGGGCAAGGGTGGACCCCAGGGCTGCCAGGGTCCCCTGTCAGGCCCAGGGCCCAGCAGGCAGAGGACCAAGTGCTGCCCGCCCATGCACGACAAGGCAGGCCCGGGCCTCCCTCAGCTCCCTCCTCCAGCTTGGCTCCCGGGGTGCTGGGTGTGACACTGACCCACTTTGCGCTTGCGGATGACCAGGTTGGGGTCGCTGAGCACCTGCTCCTCATCATCGGGGTTCAGGACCTTGCACTGCCTCAGGTAGGGCGTGATGCGCGAGGGGTCGATGACGGAGATGAGCTTCACGCGGAAGCCCTCAAGGGCGCTCCAGCACTCATCATCGTTCTCGTAGTCTGACATGGTGGGAGCCTGGGCTGGGGGCGGGGACAGCTGCTGAGGTGGGTGAGGCCTGCAGCGTGGGGGACGGCGAAGGCACAGTGACCGCCGCCCCTCGGGGCCCAGCCATGCCCTCACCTCCACTGCTACAGCTACTTTCGTGGCCTCAGGAAGGGGCAGGTGGGTCTGCGGGAGAACTCTCCCCAGCACTAGGACCCCCCTTTGCCTCTGCCTCTGCACCCCAAAGGGTCCCGCTGCACACCAGGCGGGAGCACAGGCAAAGCTCCCCCCCCACCCCCCGCCATGTCCAGGCTGGGTGACTGGCAGGGTGGCGGTGGCCCTCCCACTTCCTCATTCCCGACAGGCCAGTGCCCTCCTATCCTTCCTATCCCTCGCTGGTGATGCAAGACTCAGCAGCTGCTTGTCACTGAGCTGCCCCAGGCCGGCTGGCGACCTCTGCCCGTGGAGCGTGCCTGTCACCCCTCCAGGTGCGGGCACAGGGAGAGGCTGGCTGTGTCACCCACACCGGGGAAGCTGCTGCGGTACCTTCTCAAGGTTCTCAGCCATCCCCGGCTCTCCTGCCCTGATGAGCCCTGGCCCCAGCCACCTGCTTGGGGGCAGTCACTGGGAGCCCAGTGACGGTGACGGTGCTAACAGCACACGGGTGAAGCCGCTACTTCAGGACCGGGGTCAAGGGGCTGCAGCCAAGGGTGGTGCCTCTGACTCTGGGTCGAAGCCTAGAGATGTGGCTCCAGCAGGCCCAGTCCTGAGGGGTTTCTCAGTTCTTTTGTACCTTCCTGCCATCCTATGCAGACTCCCAGAGACAACTGCCATTGCCTACATGTCCGGTCCCAACCCCCCTGGCCCCACACTGGACACCCACCATTAATTCCCTGAAGTGAACGAGAATCTACCAAGTGGCTGTGAAGAGCAGGGCAGGACCTGGAGGCCGCCGGGCAGCCTGTGGGGGCTGAAGGCTGCTCTGGGGCACCTGCCCAGGACCCAGGCGGAGCTGACGCTGGTTCCCCTAGCCACCTTTTAGAAGGGCACCAGCCCGGCCTACCTCAGGGTCCTGCCAGAGCCACCTGCCCGCTGGCCCTAGCTGCAGTTGCCGGAGTGTCTGAGAGATGCTGCAGGCCTTGGGGCTGGAGGGAGTGTGGAGCCAGGGAGGGAGGCTGTGCACTTCCTGATGGTTTCTGGGTCCTCCCGCAGGGGGACAGTCCCTGCTGGCCTGCTGTGATTGGCCAGCCCAATGGCTCAGGGTGGGGCCCAGGAAAGTGGAAGTCCTCTGGGGAGCCGGAGCCTTCCCTCCTGCCCAGGGCCAGGGTCCTAGGTCCTGGGTCACCTGGAGTCCCAGCCTGGCACCTGGCAGTGTAGAAGGGAGGCAAAGGAACCCTGGAGCTGGAGGAGGCCACCCCCGCCCAACCGATGGTGGCCTAGACACAAGTTCTGGAGGTGTCTCCACCAAGGTGCGCTGTGCCCAACTCCCCCACCTGCTGGCAGGGGTCATGGCACAGAGGTCAGGCCTACAGGGCCTGGGCCGGGCAGGGGGATGCGAGAGCTGACGGTCCCCCGAACGCAACCCCAGAGGGCAGCCAAGGAGTGGGACGTGGGGCTCAGGATGCCGCTGCAGCCCATGGGAGGTCTGGGCCCAGCCTGCGAGCTTCACACGGCAGCCAGCCCAGGCCAGCCCAGGCCAGCCCAGGCCAGGCCGGAGTCCCCAGACCTCCTCAGGGTCCTCATTGTGCGGGGACCTTCAGGACGCATGCGGGGGTCAGAGCCAACTCCAAGAGGCCGCTACTGACTGGACAGGGTCTTCTGTGGACTGTGGGCCTTGGTCCCCACCTCAGGCGGCCCTCAGGCCTCAGCCCAGAGATGGGCAAGGGGAACCCCCAGGCCACACCTCAGCCGGTGTAGCTGGTTGCACAGCGCTGCCACCTGGCCTGCTGGGTTGGGTTGAGGCAACAGCCACCAAGGAGGCAGCGGGCAGGAATGCAGGAAGCTGGCACACAGCAGTGCTCCCGACGGCCGACGGCCCCTCCTTCTGCCTCGGAGCCTCAGGCAGCCCGGCCGCTGCTGGGCTCCACAGGTGTGGCAGTGACCCCACATCAAGCCTGGAGGTGGCAGGCAGGGTCCCTGGGCCCTTGTGGGCAGCACTGCTAGGCATCCCGCCTGCCTGGGCCTCCTCGCTGCTGGCACAGGGACCAGGGCTGGGAAGTGGGCGCTGGGTCCCCTGACCTAGGGTGTCCCGCCTGTGAAAGGACAGCACATCTTCCTCGGGGTGCATGCTCTGAGAAACGTCACCTTCTCTGTCTCAGAATGGAGGTGCAGGCCAGTGACTGAAAGATGTCTGGAAAATCCCCAAATGTCTGAAATGAAGAAACCTCCAAACCACCCACAGGCAAAGGAAGTCCCAAGGAAAGCAGGTGCTGGGCAGAGGGCGCAGGCCCTGGAGAAGCACCCAGCTAGCGTCTGTGGACACGGCCGTCTCACTGTGGGGGCCTCGGGCTGGGACTGCGGGGGTGCCAGCGTCACAGGGAAGGGAGGATGGAGGGGGCCGCGTGGTGCCAGCACAGAGGACATTGGAGAGGAAGGGAGCTGCTGCCGACTGCAGGAGCCAGTGACCCAGCCTGAGCAGGGTGTGGGCAGAGCCATGGCTACTCGTCTTCTCCCCAAGCTCCATGAGGCGCAGGGTCTGTGGCCAGGTGCAGGAGGCTGAGGATGCCATGGTGGGGCTAGGGGCACCCCCGGAGCTGACTGCAGTGACTGCAGAGGCCCAGGCTGGTAACCTGAGATGGGCACACCGCCCAGTGCTCAGAACAAAACCACAAAAGCCTGTCTTGCTTTTCATTAAAAAACGGCATTTAGTTTGCTCCTTCAAACACCTGGACTCGCGCTGGGGCCAGCTGTGACAGGTTGGTCACCGTGTGGAGAGGTCAGTCTGTGGCCAGCAGCCCCTGGCCTCCAGCTGCGTCCTCTGCAGAGGGGTGGCCTTGCCTCTGCTGGTGGCAGGCGTGGGCTTCTGCGCCCCAGGAGTCCTTGTGCTGAAACGGAGGAGCTCTGGTGTGTGCGGGCCCAGGCTCCAGCTAGACGCCCAGCCAGCTGCACTGTCTGGCCACCTGCAACCTCCTGGACAGCCTTCAGGGTCCCGCTTCCTCTCTGGCCCTGCCCACTCCAGCCCACCTGCCTTCCCTCTGGTCTCGACCAGGATGCGCTCAGGGCCCCAGGCATCTGTGTGCAGGCCCTGGGTCCCAGGGACTGTGCAGTGCTGTGGGCGCGTGGTCGTGGAGGGGCAGCGGGTAACCACATGGACCGACCATGTGTATGGCAGGCAGACACCGTCGGAGGGATATCAAAACAGATGCCAGGCTAGCAGTGCCACCTTGGGAGAGGCCAGGAGGAAGTCTGAGGTGCTGAGATCATAGTCGGGGAGGGAAGGGGTCTCAGTCGGCGGGGTGCTAAGCAGCCGGCAGGAAGGGGTGGGAGAGCCCTGGGTGGGGAAGATAGGACAGGGTGGGATAAATGACCCAGGAAGGCCTCTGAGACAGGCCTAGCCCGCCCACTGAACTCCACTGTCCTGTGCTCCAGGCACTGCCTCTTCCTGGGTGCGGGCTGCCTCCGAGGGCCTCACCTGTGGCTTACAGCTGCTGCCTCCGCTTCCGGGCGTGCCGGCTGTGCCGGGTCCTGAGCACGTCCAGGTCGTCAGAGGCATCTGGGCAGGAGACGAGGCCCTCACTGGATTCTAGAGTTCCCTGAAATAAAACCCCAGGTAAGGGAAGAGTGAGGCCGCCTGGGGACAGAACAGGGAGTGGGGTGGGGAGAAGGAGCTTAGGACAGTGCCCCTACCCAGACACCAGGGACGCCTGAGCCCCAGCAGGAGGGCTGAGCCAGGCCTTCCCGGGTCCACACAGGCCCCAGCTTTCTGCTGTCCTCTCCCCTAATGGGGTCTCCAGTCCCCTTAAAGGAGACCTGAGTGGGGGGCGGCCTATTTTCCAACGTAGGGCCACTGGCAGAGGAACAGGGGTGGGCAGCTGCAGAGGGGCACAGGAGCCTCCTTCCCCAGGCCACATGGGCCTGGAAGCCTGGAACCCAGGGTGGCACCACCTCACACTGGCCAAGGACAACCAGGGACAGAGGCCGTGCCACCTGCGGGCTGGGCACAAATGCCTGAGACCCCCCTGGTAACGGGGAGGCTGTGTGGGGGCCCACAGTGTAGAGCCAGGAGGATAGACAGCCCCACACACTTCTGTTACCAGTTCTTCTTGGGAGGCTGCTTCTTCTGAGAACCTGCAGCCATGCAGGCGCCCTGCGTGGGGGAAGGCCAGGGCTATCAGCGTGCTCACCTGCTCAGGGCTCCTGGGCACTGGCCTGGCCTGCATCCCATGGGATGTGCAGCACGGCCGCTTGTGCCTGTCCCCATCCCCGGGCTCCGGCTCGCTCAGGAGGTCCTCGTCCTCGGTCTCAGGGCCCGTCCTCGTGGCTGCCGAGAGGGTGGTGGGGATGCCGTTGGGGGGCAGGGTGGCCAGGAGCGCAGGGAGGGTGAAGACCGCCAGGAAGCGAGCCTTCAGTAAGAGGTAGGCCGGGTTGTCCTGCAGCTGCCTCCGCACCCACTCCAGTGAGGCCTGCCACGCTCCAGGCCCGGCTGCCCCATCGGACGCCAACGAGGAGGCCTTGCGCTCCAGGGCCGCTCTGCGGAGCAGGAGGCTGGACAGGGCCCGCAGGGTGCACAGGGCAGGGGGCTGGTAGGGCAGCCTGGTCTCCAGGGGGGGCACGCACACGCCCCGTCGACCCCGCAGCCACGGCTCCCATGTGGCCACCTCACTATCCAGGCAAACCAGGGCCAGGTCCAGGGCCTGCTTCTCGGGCCCAGGCAGGGGTGGCCTCTCCAGGCCCAGCGCCCCGCTGGATGCTGCCGTCGTCCCTCCTGGGCCACTCCTGGGGCTGGGGCCATCACCGGTGGGCGGCTGGCCAGGCTGCGGGGCCTTCATTTCAGGGTGGTTGGCCTGGGAGGACATCCTGGGCACCGATGCCTGCTGGGCCACCTGGGCCTCCCCAAGGACACGGGGATCAGCACCATGTGCTCCTGCACAAGTCTTGGGTGGGGGGCACGCCGGGGGGCCTGAGCGGTCTGTGCTGGATGAAGGGGCTGCCTCGGTACCCACACTGGCAGGGGGCTGACCAGGGGGAGCAGGAGTCTCGGTGGGAGGGCGTGGCGGTGGTGCCGGCCTCTTGGCGGGGGCGGGCATCGGCCCCAGCTTGGGGGGGCCCAGCACAGCAGGCACCTGCACGGGGAGCAGACCTTGGGCTGTGAGCACCCAGGTGACAGACAAGGGGAGGCTGGCGGCCACGGCAGGTGTCAGGCTGAGGGGCTGCATGGGCAGCTGAGTGGGGCTCGGGGCTGCAGGCAGGAAGGCTGGAACCTCAGGCAGGCCTTGCTTCCGAGTCGTGGTGGGGGCCTGAGACTGTCCTGGGCTGCTCGAAGGGCAGTCTGCAGGGACCTGGCCAGAGCCCAGGGTGGGAGCAAGTGGCAGGGCTCGTGCGGCGGGTGGGCGCTGGTCCTTCTCTTTGGCTGAAGTCCCCACTGCCTGCCAGGAGCCAGCAGTGCCTGTGCTGGCAGCCGTGGACCCAGAGAGCCCTGTGCCTGCGACAGCGGGGGCCACGGCTGGGGGACCCTGGCGGGCGGGCAGGAGGGGCTGCTGGAGGACCACAGGTGAGATCAGCAGCTGGGGTGCAAGAGTCCCGGGGCCCGGGGGGGCCTTCCTGGCGGGGGCCTCGCGGAGCCGCTTTTCTCGGAGCAGCTGTGACACAGTCTTCGGCCTGGGCCGGGGCCCCTGCGGGGCCGGCATGGGCGCTTGGGCGGGGGTGGACTTGGCTGGGCAGGAGGACCTGAGCCCTGCGCTCCCCGAGTCCGTGCTCTTTGTGACATTCTGAGCTGGCGCATGGTGAGGGTGGCAGCCTGCGGAGGACGGACACCACCTGACGGGGAGCCCTGCTGCGGCCGGGAGGGGCTCCAGCTGTCCAGTCCCAGGTCTCTGGCCTCGCAGCCCCTAAGCGCCCTGAGCTGAGCCTCGGCCGGCTGCTCTTGCCCTCGACCCAGCCCCACCTGGCTCTGCAGCCAGCAACCATGGCAGCCAGCAGGGCTGGCCCTTGCTAAGGTGGCCTTGGGCCCTGGGACTGACAAAAAGACACTGGGCCATTACCTGGGCCCAAATGCATGGCAGGTGCATGAGCCCCCCGCACCCCCCCCCCCGCCCAGAATGCAGAGGCGGTACCTGGGGGGGTTGAGGCTCCAGAGGGCACCTGAAAAGGAAGGGGTGAGTCAGCCAGCACAGTCCTCCGGGACCCTGCCACACCCCACCCTGACAGCTGAGAGCCAGGTGCTGCAGCGCCTCCCACAGGCACCCTGGCCAGGTGCATCCTGGTGGCCGGGGCAGTGCGGGTTTGTGGCCTGCAGGGACCAGAGTTGTGTGTGGCCCTCAGACACCAGTGATGTGATTTTCCCTACCCCTAGGTGATGGGGCTCCGGGGCAGGGCCTCCCACCGCCTGCTTGTGAGTCTGGCGCCCCAGCTCCCACGTGGTGTGTGGTGGGTGGGGTCGTGGGGGATGCAAGCTCAGCACCTGTACCCGGCCCACAGCACATGTAACAGCTGGAGCCAGGCCCCAGGCTGCACCCACCCTCACCCCTCACCCCTGACAACTGTCCGCTACCTGCAGAGGATGTGGTGGGGGGCCCTGGGCACCAGGCGGGGGCAGCGTGGGCAGCTGGGCCTTCCTCTCCCGAACAACCTCCATGCAGCCAGCAGCATCGATCTGCAGCAGCTGGAGGGACAGATGAGACATGGGGTGTGCAGTGGACAGAGGCAGAGCCCGGGGAGCACCACACACTGCCTGGGCCTGGGTCTGGGTCCGCAGGCTGCTCAGTCCTCCCTTCCTTCTGACAGGGCCCAGCACGGCTCCCCCAGGTCCCCACCCCATCTTCATCCCCCTGCTGGGGACGCTGATTCATCCATGGGGGCAGGGAGTGCTCAACGGCCAGCTGCCCCTTCCACACAGCTCTGCGGGGAGGTGCGGCCACAGCAGTTTCCCAGGGTCTAAAGCCTCAGATAAGCAGACTGCAAGGGAGAGCCCCGCTGCCACCTTCAGACCTTCACCAAAGAACAAAAGCTGTCGCCGTGCGTGCTGGGAGCTCACCTGCATGCACAGTGTGAACACGGGGGTGCTGGCCAGGTGGACTTGCTCCAGCTGTGTCCTGATGCCATCGGCTAGGGGACAAGGCCACATGTGGACAGGGGCTCCGGCCACGGAGCTGCCCTCCTGTCACCCGAGAGCGCCCCACAGCCATGGGTGGATGGAGGGCAGGTCCCTCTATGTCTTCCCCCACATCCGGCTGCCCTTCCTGGCCCTGAAGACAGGGTGGAGGGTCCTGACCACTTCCTCCTGCCTTCAGAACCGAGGGCCTGTCTCAGGCGTGACCCACTGCCAGTGACCCCCATCAGACCCTGTGCCCTGGGCGGGATGTGCCCCTTCCCCCCATCCCAGGTCCTCCCTCAGACAAGGGCACCTCGAATCCGTGCCCCCACGGGCCTCTGGCGAGCCTGTGTGCAGGGCAGGGTGACGTCGCCCACCCAGGGCGCCACGGCCAGCAGCAGCCTGTGCTCCAGGAACCGCCGGTGCAGAGCGCGTCTCCGGCGCTGCTGCCTGTTCTGCAAGGTTCCGTGCCACAGCTGCCGCAGGTGCGGGTGGGGCCCAGCCTTGCTGTCACCAGGGCCAGGCCCAGGGGGTGAGCCAGGCAGTGGCAGCTGCCTCAGCCTCTCCTGCGGGCAGAAGATAGGCATGTGGGCTCCCAGACGTGGAGGCATCCAGTGGCCCCACTGCCTAGGCCGTGGCAGACAGGACAGGGGCACTGGGGGGTAGAGGTCACGAGAGTGAGCGTGCGCCCAGGCCCTCACCAGTGTGTAGCTCCGGGCGGCCGTGCTGGTCCTGAGCACCCCCTGCACCAGCTCCAGGGGCACTTTCAGCAAACGCTGCCCACCCTGAAAAGACCACAGGCCTGAGGCCACCGCATGGACACCTCAGGTGGACACCTCTGGGCAGGGCCTAAGTGCATGTGTGGGTGCTGCCTGGGAAGAGTGTGCGGTGCTCAGGCAGGGCCTCCCGTGAGGAGGTGGCAGGTCCCCGAGGCCTGGCTCCCAGGACAGCCGCCTGGCCCCGTGACCGCGGTGGGGTGGGATGTGCTCTGGGGCTACATTGGCCCTGCCACCACTGCCAGGCAGGCCAGGGATGCCAGGGCTGTGCCTACACCCAGCGCCCAAGTCCTCAAACACAGGGGCAGGCAGAAGCGCACGGACAGGGCCCTGTACGGGGAGACCACACGGGCCACAGCTCCTGCCTGCACCGGCCCTCTCCGAGCTCAGAGGCCAAGCGTTTCAGAGGCCCTCCCGGCCCGGGTGTCCCTGAGCCAGCCCGCCCTCGTGGCCTCCAGAGCAAACGTGTTGGCAGAGCAGAGGCCGCCAGCTGCTACGAAGGCCACTGCCGCAGGCAGCTCTCATTGGCCAGAGGCAGGACAGTCTAAGCAGGGGACGTGGCCGGGGACCAGGCTGCCACACTGCCCCAAAGTACCAGCCTCCGTGACCCCCGAGCCCAGCACCCCCCTCCCTTGCACACATGCGGGGCGCCCCAGGGCCCACCTCTCGGGCCGGCTCCTCCAGGCTCGTGCGGGGGGCATCTGCTGAGTGGGTGCCGTGGACCCTGGAGGACACCTGTGCCTGCCTCATCTCCTCCCCGGGAGCCAGGGCCATCGGGGAGGCTTCAGGCTTTTGGCTGGCGCTCTGCCGGGCAGGAACCCACAGGTCCATATCAGGCACCACGTACTGCAGGGATGGCGGCACGCTGCCTGCCTCCTGGGGCTCCTCCAGCTCCACTTCGGAGTCCTCACTGCTGCTGCTGCTGTGGCTGCCATCGCTGTCCCCACTGCTGCTGTGGCTGCCATCGCTGTCCCCACTGCTGCTGCCGCTGCCACTGCTGCTGGAACTCCACCAGACCCTGGGGCGCGGCCGCCGCCGCCTCTGCACCCTCTGCTTCTTCTAGTTGGGGAACGGGCCACTTAGGGACAACAGGCAGGCAGCCCGGCCCTGGGGACAGGACAGCCTTGGCGGCAGGGTGCCCGGAAGAAGACACAGCAGGGCCAGAAACTACATGCCACCACCTTCGTCCTGGTCCTCCCCAGCAGGTCCCCAGGTGACAGGGACCCGTCTGACTGGCAGGGAGCCCCGACTTGGGCAAGCACCTCACCCCAACCATGATCTTCCACTTGCTCAGACACTGGGAGCCAGACCGGTTGGGGAGTTCAGAGGCAATTTTGGCCCAGTGACCTAAAAGGAAAAACCACATGGAAACTGTTTCCTGCCAACAGTCTTTGGTGGCACCCAATGACCAGCTTGGGGAGAAGGGCACCTGTGTCCCAGAGCCTGGGCCTGTCCACGGGCTTCCTGCCCCCCTCACAGGCTCAGCAGAAGTGGGGTGCACCCGCAACATGGCAGCGCCTGATTCCCAGGGGGCGATGAGCCTCTCAGGGCAGCTCCGGCAAACGTACAACTGAGTGAAACCATCTATATGGTCCCCACCTACCGTGCACATCTATCCCCGGTTCCCAGGGGACAGTAGGGCAATCTGTCTGTCATACAGCACTGGGTGGAACGTGGCTCTCTGCTCCACAGCGCAGTAAGACCACGGGTGACGGGAGTCTGTATTGTGTGTGCCACCCTTAAACCTAGCAATTCCATGGCTAGGGTTTATTCTAAGGAAATGCTATAAAAGTAAGCAAAGCTTTAGCTAAAACCACTTGCTCACTCCTCCCTGGGGGCAAAACAATGAAAATTAATTTGAACATCCGCTGATGAAAGGTTGGCTGCATAACTACGAGCCACTCTTCGGGGAAATGGCTGCGGCCCCTGCTACAGGGGCAGACACAGGACTGTGAAGACACAGGGCACGGGCGGCAGCCGGGCGTGACTCTGCGCAGGCATAGCAGCTGGCGGCACAGGGTGGCAGCCTGGAGGACACCGTCTCCCGAGGGGATCCATGCACAGGCCAAGGAGCGGGCGTGGGGCGCAGCTGGCTGAGGAGGAGCCTTGCTCCGAAGTCCTTCCTTCTGCCTACATGTGCGAGTTCCCCAAGGCAAACACAAGGTCTGCAGCAGGTGTGGCTCGGTGGCAGGCCGCTCGCCTGGCCCGAGAGTGAGGCCCTGGGTTCCACCCCAGCCCCGAAAACAAGCACATCTGTATGGGGGCCCAGCCCCAGTCAGGACAGTGACAGAGCTGACCCGGCAGGAGCCTGGGCCCCCAGAGCCCCTGACACCTCTGCACATCTGCCCCGAGTGTGATGCCCGCACAAAGCACACAGCGCCCTTCCCACACCCACCAACGCCATGCTTTTCTATCAGCTCAGTCAGCTGCTCCTCCTCCTTCGCACTCCATCGGCCCTTCTTCAAGCTGCCGTGTAATCTCCTCAGATACCTGAAAGGGACGCCGAGACGAAGGGACGTCTTAGACACTGAGGCCTCCCACTGCTGCCCAGCTTCTGCCGTGATTTAGACGCAGCACCCAAAGTACAAGGACAACACATACATAGGACTTCATCGAAAATTAATACTTTTCTGCTTCAAAGGGCACCATCGAGAAAGACAAGCCACAGGTGGGCACAGTAGCTGCTGAGGAGCTGGGTCCAGAATGACAAGAAACGAGATGGACACAGATGGCCAGCAGGCGTACGCTGGACACACTCCGGCCAGCCAGGCCCGGGAAACACAAAGCTGGGTCACACTGAGGTGCTGCTTCACCCCAAGAGGCCACAAGGCCAGCTGCTGTCACAGGACAGTTGAGAATGGGCGTTGGCATGCATGGGGGAAACGGGGCCCCTCATGGCTGCTGGTGGACATAAGGTGGTCTGACTACTTTGCCAGAGTCCACTGGTCCCTCGAAGGATCAATGTGGGGACTGTCGGTCCCAGCCACTCCACCTGGAGGGCTACACCCGGAAGAACCAGCTTCCTGTCTACGTGAGAACCTGCAGACTCGCTCAGAATGCACTTTGGATTCACATGTGTGGCCTCAAAGTTCCTCCAAAGGCTGAGCAATACTCCACTGAGTGTCTACATCACTTTCCTTGTCCACCCTGTGGACCACACTGTGAGTGTGTTGAGCAGCATCGGTGTGTGGCTGGGCTACCGTTTCCCTGGGGTTCACGCCAGCTGACTGTCTGGGGCATCGTCCTGTGTTCCACGCTTTGAGGAACCTCCCGTTTTCCACACACCATCCAACATGGCTGCCAAAGTACATGAGGGCTCCAACTTCTTCATGCCCATCGCTCTCTCTCAGGAAAAAGCCACGCTACCCTGAGGTGGTAAAGTGGATCCCGCTGTGACCCTGTACTTGAGATGCTGGGCATCTTTTCGTGAGCCCACTGACTATCCTCACAGAGGCGGCCATTCAAGACTTTGGCCTTGGCCTTACTGAACTGGGTGCTGTGTAACTGTGGAGTGGAGTTTCTTTCTGGGATGGTCAAAACGTTTTAAAGTTGATAGTTGGGCGCGGTGGCGCACACCTGCCAACCCAGCACTTGGGGAGGATTGCATTTTGAGCCCGGCCTGGGCAACTTAAGTGAGACCATGTCTCACAATAAAACATTAACAAAGGGCTGGGGGCATAGCTTAGTGCAAAGGCCCTGGGTTCAAAGCCTAGTGCCACAAAGTTTTAAAGTTGACTGTGGCAATGATCACACAGCTCAGTGAACATTAAAAACCGCTGACCCACACACTCTAAGGAGTTGTGAGGTCCACGAGCTGCTAAAAGGGAGACGAGTGAGGAAAGGAAGGAAGGAGGCTGCAGCTGCTGCGTGGGGCTGGCCCACCAGCGACAGGGAGGACTTGCCGGCCGGCTCAGGAGAGCTGCGCCCAGGGAGCAGGAGCAGCCAGCATCTTGCTCTGGCTGTAAGCGGCATGAACACAGAATACAGGAAAAACACCGCGGAGCCCACAGCCCCCTTCCCAGCTGGGTGGACCTCAGCAAGTGAAGCCCCTCAGGCCACGTCCCCCCCAGCACAGCCACCACTCCGGGCCCGTCACCTCGCCTGCCACCCACACAAGCCCCCGTGCAACTCACCGATCTCGGCACTGGGCATCGCTCCTACCTGGCACCTCCTCCCGGATCTTAAACCAATCCTGCTCCCCATACTTGGCAACTGCTCGCAGCAGCTTCTGCAGGGCACAGCAGGCGATGAGCGATGCCTCGTGGGCACAGAGTCACCCAGGACAGCAAGCCGGCCTCAGGGGACAGTTCTCCGTGGACTCACAGCATCTTCATCTGGGGCCCAGAACCCTTTTCGCAGGTTAGGATCCAAGCTCTTGGTCCACCGGTAGATCAGCTGCATGGAGTCTCTCCCTTCCATGTAGTAGACAACTGGGGACAGAGGGGTCAGGTGGGGACACAGGGGCAGCTGGGGACACGGGGTCGGCTGGGGGCAACTACAGATAGGGTCTCTGGGGCGGAGATGCTGCCTGCCGCATAGCAGACAACTGGGCAAAGGGGGACCCGTGGTGGCCCAGACATGGCCACCCAGAGGGGCCAGCGGAAGTCTCTGGTCTGCAGAAATCAAGCTGCACAGAGCCTGGGGAAAACAGCCCTGCCCTCCTCTGCCCCGGGCCTCGCACACGCGGCTTACTCTTGCGGTAGGGGACGTGACTCCCCACGCGCATCTGCTGCACCAGCTGCGTGAGCATGCGGTCCTCCTCCACAGTCCACTCACTGCGCTTCAGGGCTTTGTTGTGCTGCTGGAACTTCTGCAGGCACTGGAAGGCGCTGCGGCCGGTCTTCCCAAGACCAAGAGAAACACAGGAATACTGGGCTTGGGCCTGCCCCAGAGCAGCTATGGGTGCTGAGGGAGCCTTCTCTTCCAGCCCCGCCAAGGTGGACACAGCGGACCCCTACCCAGGACCAGGAAGGCCAGAGGAGAGGGCGCAATTGTTTGCACTAAGCTGCAAGACTAACTCGATGCCCTCAAGCACACCAGGACTGCGCACGGGAAGGGGGAACACCTGTGGAGGGCACCATGCAGCCTCTCTAGCTCCCAACCACCAAGGTGGGCAGCTGCGACACAGGACACTGGCACTGTCCTGGTATGGAGCCTGTAGCTCCGGAGACGCCCTTGGGAGGGTGTGACCCCCAAACAGACCTGCTCTGCACCCTCGACCCCTCCTGGGAAGGGGCTTCCCAGGGCCCGATCCAACCCTCACCTTACCCCGTCCCCCAGGCATGCTGCCCAGCACAGAGGGCTTCTGGGCTGTGCTCCCTGAGCTGTACAGCAAAGGTCCCCAGGACTCTGGCCACCACCCTAGCACGTCTACGCATAGTGGCCTTCCGGCTCAGGATGCACCAGCAGCATCCCAGCCAGACTGTGTGTTGCAGGCACCGACACATGCGGCCCAGCACACAGGGGCCTGTCCCCTCCCTGCACCTGGGCAGGCAGCTTTCTGAACCATGAAAATCAGAGACCCCAGGTCGCAGGGCCCCAGCTGTCAGCGGCCTGGCACCCTCTGAGGAGAAAAGTCTAGGCAGTGGTGAGGCTCTCGGCTGCAGCCTGTGTGGGGAGCCACAAACAGAGGGCCTGGATGGCTGGGCCTGCCCAGACCTTAGGTCGGCTGGACTGATTCTCGGGGAGGAAGAGTCCCAGGGGGAAGCTGCCGACCACAGGAAGCAGGTGTAAGTGTGTAGCCCATGGACAGCAGACCCAGTGGCGTACAGAGCGGATGGCCCGGCAGCAGCAAAGGGCAGGAGGATGCCGCCAGGGAGGGTACAGGGCCCAAGCCATTGTGCTCACACGAGGAACACCAATGGGTGCCCCACACAGCGGCTGATGGCAAAGGCTGGAATGTCAGGGGGTTGCAGGCCTGTCCAGCCCCACGCTGCTTTCATAAAAACACTGGGGAGTGGGGCCGGGGATGCAGCTCAGCAGCACCGCGCCTGCCTGGCAAGTGCAAAGTCCTGAGTTCGATCCCCGATACCAAAAAAAGAAAAAAAGGAAGAAACCGCAAAGGTATGTGCACCAAACTGCACAGCAAGCACAACTAATAAGATGCATGAGAGAGCCGACCCTCAGCGCTGCTCTGTCAGGTTGTACATGACAGCAGAACACAACTTTCCAAACACCCACGCCAGAGGGCAAGGGCCAGGATAAGCCAGCTCCACTCCAAGGCCTGGCAGAGCCCCAGGCCTACAGTTTGAGAATGTGCTTTCTTCTCCTGCCCTGAGAAGATGTGGAGTTGCTATGCAGCCCAGGCTGGCCTCAAACTCAGAATCCTCCTGCCTCAGCCCTACCCAGTGTTGGGACTACACGGGTGTATCACTGTGCCTGCTGAGAACATGCTTCTTTTTTGGAACCGGGGATTGAACTTGGGACCTTGGGCTTGCGAAGCAGGGGCCATAACCACTGAGCCAAATCCGTGGCCCGAGAACATCTTTTTTTGAAAAAAGTTGTTTTGCGAGTTCAGTTTTGAGTGTTACAACTGTGTCCTCTGCCACAAAGCAAGTGACACAGCTTTTAAAAATGGAGACTCAGGCCGGGGATTTAGCTCAGTGGTTTTGCAGCCTGCTGCCCAAGTGCAAGGACCAGAGTTCGATCCCTGGTACCAAAAAAAACCCCAAAAAACAAAAAAAACAAAAGTGGAGACCGCACACCACGTTCTTGGGGTATGACTCAGTGAACACAGAATAAATACTGCAGGGGTTCCAGGAAATCTACTTAAAGATGGGAAACCACATTTCCAGAAAAACCTCAGGTTCAAAGGGCAGCAAAAGCCAAAATTATAGATTCTCTAGAAACTGACGGAAAGAATGCTCCATGCCACACTCTTCTCAGAAGCCTGGCCTCAGACGCCTTCGTCATTAAAGACCAGAGGCCCCGGAGAGCCCTTGCAAGGTCAGAAGATCAACAGTAGCTCTGGCAGGCCCAGGCACTCGCGCCTGAGCCCAAAAGTGGCGGGAAGCCGAGCCCCACGCCTGCTCCCGGCTGTGGGGTCAGACACACAGCCCGGAGGGTCCAAGGGCCCGGTCCCGGCCCGTCCTTACCCCCAGCTCCTCGGCGACCAGCTGCCACTGCAGGTGCCCATGTGCAGCAGCAATGGCCATCAGCTGCCCCATCTCCTCCTCGCTCCACTCCTGCTTGTTGATGCTTGGGTGCTCAGAGCTCTGCCAGAACTTCTGGATCTCCTCTGCACTGCGGCCACCTTCAAACTGCACAGGGGGCACAGCCTGCTGGGGCTCCGACCCGAACCCCACGCCCAGGACGACTCTGGGCTGAGCTGCCTCTGTGGCCAGCACATCTGGCCCAGCAGGAAGTGGAACCTCCGTCCAATTCACCTGGCCCCAAATGCAAAGCCAGGAGCCTCTGAGATCACCCACCTCAGAGGGGCCTCAGGTTGGGCAGGGAGGGCCCAAGGCTACGGCGGCTCCTCCTGACTGCTAGACACACACATGGCCAGAGGACCACAGTGGGCTGGGGCACCAGGGCGCATACAGCCTGACTTCCTGCTCCGACCCATGCTCAGCCTCAGGGAAGCTGGCCTGGCCCCACCCCCACTTACATTGATTTTGGAAATCTTCTCCCAGTCGTGGGGGTCCAGCCTGCTCCCCAGCAAGGCCTCCTCTGGGAGCTGGCTGGAGGAAGGGACAGGGTGTTGGTGTCACGCTGGCCTGTGGCCACCCCCAGACCCAGAAGGCCCCGCTCACTTGATGTCCTGGATCTCCTGCTCTGCACACCTGGCCTGCTCCTCCAGGGCCTGCCTCTCTGGTGAGCCAGAAACCCGGCTCTGCTTCTGGTGCAGGTACTCGAGCCTGCAAGGCAGGGCAGAGTCAGGAAGGCTATGGACGGTGCTGCGCGGAGGGGCGCAGGGCTGGGCTGGGCCAGGCTGGGCCTGCGCTCACACCTGCCTTTCTCTGCTGCCTTGACCCCTCACTGCAGCTCTCCTCTGGGGTGTCCCTAGGACTGGCACGATGTCACCCAGGGCACCAGCCTTGGTGCCTACCAGCTGTCCTGTATTTCACAGCCTGGCCAGGGCTGCTGAACAGGGGCAGAGCAGACAGACACCTGCTGCCCTGCAAGGGCCAGTGAGGGAACCCATGGGAGGGACCGCCCTACACCATCCACCAGGGCCACAAACCCTGACCACATGGAAGCCTCGAGGGGGCTGGGGAAGCACCCAGTGCCCAGACCCCGCCTGCCCTACTGCTGGGTCCCAAAGACACTGACCCTGACTCTGGGCCACGCAGGTGCTGGGCATGGGTCCAAGGGTCATGAACAGACAGGTGCCACCTGACTCCAAACACGTGACCCAAACACGATTAGCACATGGCAGTACCCCGCACCCCAGGTGGCATGGTGGGTGCCCTGTGGTTAGTGGTTACACGATGTCCCCATCCGCACATCCACAGGCTTTGTGGACAGCCCCATCCTCATGGGGGAAGCAGAAGCCAAACAGAAACTGCTTGAGCCACATAGCTGAGCACTTGGCCAGGACACAGGGCAGCTCCTTCACAGGTGGGCGGAGCTTGGCTGTGGGGAGCCCTCCAGGTGCAGAGGGCAGCGAGGGGCAGGAGCCTGTCTGTCCCACCCCAGCCTCAGGAAAGCTGCAGGGCCCCTTTCCAGACTTACTTCAGCAGCTTGGGCTGGAGCAGGCGCTGCAGGCGGTCGCTCACCACTGACTTTCTGAGCAAGGCCTTCTCCCAGTGCTTCCCTGAGGAGGACGGCACGTCAGGCGGCCTCTTGTGTGCCTGGGGTGCACACTGCGCCCTCCCTCCCCAGTCCTGGGCCCCGTGGGAGGGGCACCACACTGAGGCCCTTTCAGACAGAAGGTGGGCAGCAGCCAGGCCCACACTCCAGCCTCTGTCCAGCCAATGACCCAGCCAAGGCCCAGCAGGAGCTCCCAGCAGGGCCTTTGGGGATGGCTGTTCCCAGGGAAGGTGGGAGAGAGAAAGGAAGCGGGGGGCGGCCTGGCCCTGGTGGCCAGCATCTTCAAAAGGACCCTGCTCGTGGTGGGGAAGCCAGGGGTCAAGGCCGCAGGAGACGGGTCTGTGAACTGCAAAGGCCTCCCCCTCCCAGTTCCCATGCTCAAGGACCCAGACAAGGCTTACACTTGGTCACCAGGAGCTGCTCAAAAGCTTTTATTCCCTGGGCGGCCTTCTCCCGGGTGTCTTCGTTGGCAGGAGGCCCCTGTGTCAGAGTGTGCGGCACTGCGACATGGCGGGCTGTGCTGCAGGCAAGTGCGGGGCCCAGAGCCCCCTTTCCCTCCTGCCAGCCTCCTGTGCCTGGGACTGCTGCCATGAGGTGGCCAGCGGCTGCAGGAGGGACAGGCAGCAAGGCCTGCCACCAGCAGCAACGGGCTCTGTGATGAGGACTTGCCGACTGGCTGGTGCCACCTCAGGGAAACATGCCCCAGGCCACCTACTCCAAGGCAGAAGTCAGCGTGCAGGGATGCCATCTCCCACCCGGGGACGAGGGGGCTTTACCGAGGAAGGAGAATGTCGCCCTGAAGAACCCATGGACGCCTGGGTCCACTCAGCGCAGGCTGTGGGGACGGAGCCCCTTCCTCGGGGCACCGGGCCGTGCTCACCACAGCAGGGTCCCAGCCACTCACCACTCCGGTGACCTTGTCCTTGAAGTACGGCTTCATGAAGTGTCCGATGTACATGTGCGCGGGTAGGCCCTTGCTGTCCTTCACCCTGGTGCCTTGGGACCCAGACAGGCCCCACAGGATCTCCTCCTGGGACAGAAGCAAGGCTGACAGGGCCCGGCGGGGGCGGGCGGTCAGGTGCAGGGCATGTGGGCCTGAGCTCAGAGGCCTCCTACCTGCTGCTCCCGGTTCTGGGCCAGCAGCAGGCTGACCTCGGCCAGCTTCTCCTGGATGACTTCCTGATAGACCATGTTCAGCTGCAGACAGGTCTCAGGGTCCTCAGGGAGGGCTTTATCCTTGGGGTCCTCCTCGTCATTGCTGGCTTCACCCCACCTCTCTTCTGCCTGGGGCGGGGAGGAGAGGAGTGGAATGCCGAGTAAGGACATGGACGTGAGGACAGTCCCCACCTTACGGCCCCAGCTCGGGCCCACGTTCCAGTTGCTGGGCCCTGGGACACGGAGGCAGCTCTGGCACAAGACTACGGAGTGTAGAAGCAAGAGGCGACCCTGGTGGGTGGCAGGGTCATGGCCAGCAACTGTGAGGGGTACGTCTGGGGTGGGGTCGGTGTGAAGAAGCAAGCCGCTTCCAATGGCTGCAGCAGACATCACCCATTGCTTCCATCCCCGGCACCACGGGAGGAAGTGGTCTGCAGAGCTCTGTGCCCACAGCTGGAGATGCAAAAATGCCCATGGGGCAAAGCACCAACACACCACAGAGCCACCTCAACCCCCACGAGGGGGCCCATGTAGCCCCTCAACATGTGAAGCAACTCTGTACCTCCTGACAGATGTGGTGGGAAAAACAAGCAAACTACAAAAGTCTTTCCAAAAAAAAATCCCAAACAAGAAATGGTTAATGACAACTGGCACCACAAAGTCCCAGCCGGCACTGTCCTGGGTGCTCCTCCACACTCACTGGCAAGTTGGGAAAAGGGAAGCACAGCAGGCATGGGGCACAGCACGCGGCCTTTCTCCTGACCTTGCGTAGGAGGTGAGTGAGTCAGCATGGGCTAGGGAATGCACCAGGCTGTTAGTAGCGGTTATTTCAGTGGCCAGTTTTCATTTTGAGAATAAGTACTTTGTGGCAGCCTGTTGTTATAACACCCGTTACTTTTACAATGCAGAAAAACTAAAAGGAGTTCACACTGCTGGGCTACTTGGGAGGGTGGTGGCCAGCCTGAACTAGCAGCCGGCAGGGGAGCAGCATTACCAAGCCTGGGGGACCAGCGACGTTCAAGTCCTCAGCAGGCAGCGATTCTGTCAGAAACACAAGTGCACCGTGTTGGGACCAGAAGACGGGGAGAGGGAGCATGGGCAGGGAGCCCAGGGAAGAGGGCCAGAGTCACAGGGACGTCCAGGCTGGTGGGCTGAGGCCGGGAGCCCTTCCTCCCAGGGTGGCGCACTCACCAAGAGCTCAGGCAGTTGGCAGGAGGACAGGGTGTGTGAACAGTCAGGAGCTAAGCAATGGGGAACGGGGACCAGCTATGTGGTGGGGTAAAGGCACAGGCCACGCTGGGAAGGAAACTGCACGGCCAAAGGGACTGCCGGGGACACACAGCTGTCTAGCCACGCCCCAAGGAGGCCAGGTGCACGGGCTCACCTGCATCGGAATCCGAATCAAGACTCGATTCCGAGACATCCTCGGGGATGCTGGAGGAGCTGGGGTCCAAAATCCTTTCCAGCTCCTTGATCTCCTGCGATATTTTTTCTCTTTCGGCATCTATGTCCATGACTTCCACCTGCCTCCAAAACACACCACACAATATTAGGGTACAAGAGAGTGCCCCAATCCCACGCTGCCACGTCTCTCTCTGGAATGAGACTGAGGCACAGGCCCAGCCCTGGTGCTGTAGCCGGCCAGCCTTCTGGACCCCAAGAACTTCTTTGTGCTCTGTTTTGTCAGGGGCCAACATCCTGTAAACAAGATATAGTCAACACAGGCGGAGACCAGATGGGCAGCCAGATGGCCCACCAGCCTGGCCTCTGTGCTCCCAGCCCAGCCATGAGGAAGCTGGCGACCCAGAGCAGAGTGCAGGCAAAGTGGCCACCGACTAAGACAAGGCCCCTGGCCCTGTGAGATCTAAACCACAGCTCCAGTGGCGGGGCATTCAGCACTCCGTACGCGGCCTAGACACACAGAGGGCACCTGACAGATGACACAGCACTGGGACAGCACCGGAAGAGGACCCCTGGGGAAAGCCTCAGTCTGTCCCTGCTCTCTCTAGCCAGAAGAGCACCAGGCAGAGGTCTGACACTGCGTAAGCACTCGCTGAAGCAGACAGGAGGCTTTTTCCTTAGGAACAGTGGTGAGCAAAGTCGAAAAGGGAAGGACGCTGAAAGAGAAAGCGGGGAAGATAAGGCACTGGCAAAAAAATATCCCAGAAAAGCACACGCCCGTACACAGGGGTTCAAAAGGCAAAGAAACAGCCGCCCCTGTCCTTGGCATCCCCTGGCATCTGCAACAATACAAAACGCCCGCCAGCAGGCGTCCTCCGCGTGCGCCAGGCCCGCACCTCACTCATGCTGGGAAAAGCTTGTCAACCTGCCGACCACCCAGCGAGGAGGGGTCTGCAAAGCTGCCATCGCCCCGGGCAGGCCAGGGTGGGAGGAGGTGCTCTCTCCTGGAGGCCTGGACTCAGAGGAAGGGCAGCTTGTGTTTTGAAGCCAATGTCACGTCCTCTGCAGCCTCCAACCTCGCCCCATGTCGCTCAGGTGAAGCAGAAAGGTCAACGTCACATGTTCAAGTCCTGAGCCAGCGGGCCGCCTTCCCCGGCACCAGAGCCGCCCCCTTCCAACTGGACTGTCTCTCCAGCGGGCAGAAGGTCAGACTTCCCAAGGGGACTTCAGGCGCACGGGGTGGCCAGGCACAGTGCTGCAACCCGGGCTCAGCGGCTCCCCTCAGGCCGCACCCCATAAACCATTAATGCAAGAAGCCGCTGGCAACCCCCGGGTACGGAGGCCGGGACGGCGCGGCCCAGGGCCGGTCCTGCGTGCGCCGGCCGCGGGAACTCGCGAGGTCTAGGGGTGCAGGATGCGCGGGCCGCCACTGCGCAGCCCCAGCGAGGACGCCGGCCCACCGGGCCTGTCTCCCCGCCGCACCTCCCGGGCTTCGGCAGCCCGTTCCTGCAGACAGCGTCCCCTGCCCGGGGTCTGTCCCACCCGGCCCTCACCTGCGGCGCGCCTTCCCGGAACGCAGATCTCCCAAGTCCAAGGGCCAACTCCGTCGCCCAGGCGACCGCGACACAATACTTCCGGCGGAATTTGAGCCCGCGAACAGGAAGTCCCGCCTCTTGAAGCGCAGGGCATGCCGGGACGGCAGCTGCGGGTTGCTGGGCCAGGGCGATCCACTGCTCAGTGCTGCCCCCGCGCCGTCGGGCTGGGTACTGCCTCGCGCTCCCGCTAGTGGGCACCCGCGGAGGCCTAGGGCCTCTGCGCAGCTTGCGTTAAGGGTGCTAGGATTTGGTTGAACAGCTGTTGCGCACATTTGCGAAGGGCTTTAGGGCTGGCTGCGCGCAGAGCCTGCCTCCCCTGTCACACCACCTCCAAGCCCGCAGGGTGTCTATGCTGATCCATCCCGGCTGAGCTGGGCAGGCCCTATGCAAGCTGGCCAAGGCTCACCAGCAGGCAGGACAGCGGGCCATCAGGTAGCCGGGCAGACCCCAGGGTGGTGCTGCACAAGGGACGCTTGGGAAATGAGCTGGCAGGAAAGCTGTGGGGTGGCCCTGTCCCTTTGGGTGAGCCCAGGAAGTGGGCGTCAGGTGGCAGAGCTGGAGCCCCTGGTTCCTCCAGGACCTGCTATCTCAAACCTGCCCTGTGCCAGGACCTGCTCGAGGCTGAGGTGGGCACTGGGCAGAGGTCGCCATGGATTATAAGCTATACGGTGGCACACTACAACACATGCTGAGACAGGAATCCAGGGCGAGTCCACCTCCTCGTCCCACCTACACCTGAGTGGGCAGGGGTGCAGGGGTCTCCTGGGCACAGTATCTGGGGTCCCATTGTGCTCCTGCCCAGCGGGTGAAGAGGCCCCACAGGCCCCGCTGCCCCAGGGTGGGTCTATGGCTGAGGCCTGGCCCTGGAGCTGCCACCCTCTTCTGAGCTTCCCAGGGCTGTTGTGCACATCCAGAAGAGAACGTCTCCAAACCCAAAATGGGTAGCTACACAGCTCACGCCGTACCTGTAACTTGCTGGTCCCTGCTGTCTGACCCTGACCCCAAGGGCAAGGATCTGGGGGCTGGATGAAAGGGCACTGGTCACCAGGGATGAGAATGACCAGGACGCATGCAGCAGCACTGGAGAACAGCTCTGTGGCCTCGGCATGAAGAATGGGCCAAGTCAGAATGAAAACACAGCATGTGTGAGATTCAGGATTTATTTAAACAAGAATGCTATAGGATTAAACATATTAAAACAAAACCATGTATAGGAAAATAGCTAACAAAGCATAGGGTCCCTGCTGTCCCTCTCCAGGCAGGAAAGAGGATAGCCCCCAGGCCTTGTGCCACCAGGAAGCTCTGCACACTACATTCCTGAATCCTACACATCACTGTACAAAATGTCACTTGAAAAGTAGACCAAACCCTCCAGCCAAAAACGGCTTTTCAAGCTGAGGGCAGATGGCTCCCTAACATGGAATGTGTGGCCTGGGCCCCCCGAATCCGAGTGGGAGGGTGGCAACATCCACCAGGCGGTGCCTCCACACTTAGCCCACTGAGCACAGAGGCTGCCCTGCCAAGGCCTCAGTGTGAGCTGTCAGCCCTGGGGGACTGAGCAACAGCAAAAGGCATGAGTACACATCCCGGCCACTAGGGGTCAACTCGCAGCACCAAGCAGGACCCACTGAGGGTGCCCTGCAGTGCTACGCGTTCTGAGGTGATGATGGAGCTATTTAGTGCAGTGGCTGATTAGTGTTCTTTTTCCAAACCACTAGATTGTATAAAAGTTCCTCCCAGTAGATTATTGAATCTATAATGCAGAATTTCACCAAGGACCGTTTATAAACCACTGGTGCGACACACAGGTGCCGCTCCTACAGCGGTGACCGACAACACTGCGTTAGGTCTTGTGATAAGCACTCGACTCAGTGCAGGATGCATAGCTGGGGCGCAGCTGCATGCTCAGATGAGTGACGGTCATCCGGGTGAACAGAGCCGGGAGCTGAGAGTACCCAGTGGTGCTCAGGAGTTCTCCTCCTTGTCTTTAATCTCAGAAATTCTGTCTATAGATTTAAGGATTTCAGCAACAAGATTCAACGTTTCTGCTCCGGAAACCAGCTGCCTACAATGAAAACAGAGATCGGGGGCTATTACTGTAAGTGTTCACAGCAGTGATGGGAGGACAGTGGCAGCGGGGCTCCAGAATTGGCAGGATGGTCCTCCCTGCCCACGAGTGCACCGCGGGTGACCCACACCAGGCCTGTGGGCTTGACCCCTGGGGGACAGGTGCAGATGCAGGGTGACTTCTAACAGCAGAAACAATGCACATCCAGCAGAAACCACCCAATCGTCGACCCTTCCCAGGCTGGCCATGTGGCCGGGCTCCTGAGTCTCAGCCCGTGATCAAGGGGGGCAGCTGAGGTTTGGGGTGCTGAGCTGTGGTCCCGGTTAGTGTGTTCAATGCATTTTTAATGTCTGGTCCTTTCAGCCTTGGGTGGGGCTGCACGGCGAGGAGCATCTCTGATTGTGTTAATGTGCCAGCGACATTGCTCAGGAGCGTCAGAGGCCTTTTGTGGTGTCCCTGGGTGTGTGCAGTAGGAGAGAAGCTACGCCACTCCCTTTATTCCCAACTTCAGCGTCTTGTGGGTGAAAGAGCTGGATCCATCTGTGATGATGGCCACAGCCCTCAGCGGGAAGCTCCTCCGAGGCAGAAGGTTCCGAAGCTGGCTCAGCTGCCCGGATGGGACTGGAGGGCCACTGGGCCCTCTCTCTCCCTGGAGCTGCCTGTCCAGCCTGGCACACAGCCTGGACCACATCACCCTCATCTTACCTTCACCTGCCCCAAGGCAAGGCTTCCGGGCCCTGGCACTCACTTTATAGATGTGTGTGCGCTGCTCACGACCATGCGGAGGTTCTGGAGGGCCAGGTCGGTGTTCTGCTTCACCACTGTCAGGCTGGCGCCCTGGCCCGACCGCAGGGCTTCGTTCTCCCGCTTGAAGTTGGAGACCTGTGCCTGGGAGGGGCGGGGAATGGTCTCTCAGGACCTTGGCGGCAAAGCGGAGAGCATACCAGGCAACCTAGGCGGGTCACGCTCAGGGACAGGCACAGACTGTCCCTCACCCTAACAGGCCTAAGCAGAAAGCGGTGCTGTCCTACTGGGGCACAGGGAAAACCCCATGATTTTTCTTGACTTCACTCGTATGTGACTGTAAAGAACAGGGAAACACCCTTTCTCTCATTACCTGGAGCAAGCTCACTTCCTGTTTCAGCTTCATGACATGATTTTCTGCCTTCACCGCCCGTTTCTGTTGCCCAAAACACAAACAAAATCTGCGTCACTGAGGGTGTATCAATCAGGTCGCTTCCTAGCCCAACCCCAGCCCCTCCACACCACCCAGGACCGGGGATCCAGCCCACGGAACCTGGGCTCGGCTCTGCACACCGATGGCCTGGGGGACGCCTGGCCCTCAGCACAGGGTGACACCACGCCCAGGGACCCTGGTCCACCCAAGGGACGCCACGGCAGGCTCGCGACGGCAGTGGCAGCCCCTCTCCAGGAGCACCCCGAGCCCAGAGAGAGCCCCGCGTACGGTCATTAGCTCCAGGTTCTGCTCCACCTGCTGCACCACCGATTCCAGGTCATGGTAGTCGCTCTCCTCCTTGATCATCTTCGCTTCCAGCTTCCGCTCAAGCGTCCTCACCCTGGTGGAAGGAAAAATCTGAGGCATTGATTCATGCAGCTATTTCCAAGGACAGTTTTAGTTTAAATGAAAAGCACTTCAGTTTCATTGTTGGATAAAGCCACTCCGAGCTCATGGTTCGACCATGAAGCCCAGGCGTGGAGGCCCACCGACCACCGCGAGTGTCCTTGAGCAGGTCTCGGGGAGCCTCAAGCTCTGCTGGCTGTGCAGGAGTTTGCTTGGTTTGAGTCAGATGTTTAAAAAGCTTTACACAGAGCTGGTGTGGTGATGCACCCCTAAAATCCCCACACTCTGGGAGGCTGAGGCAGGAGGAGCAGAAGTTCAAACCCAGCCTATACAACTTGGCGAGACCCTGTCTCAAATTTAAAAAGGGGGGGAGGAATATGGCTCAGCATGAAGGCCTGGGGTTCGATCCCCAGTACTGGGGGAAAAATGCGTCCTGGAAAGGTATATGATACAAGAACATCCAGACACAACCCTGGGTATTGTCGTCACTTAGAATAGATTTCCCTGGGTGGTAGAGGACATTTTGAGCCAACTCCTGACTAAAAGCTTACATACATTTCAGTTTGAGTTTCAGAGAAGCTCTGAACCTCATTCAGCTTTCTTCTTAGCTTAGAATTTTCATCTTTCAGCTGTAGAGAAAGAAAACCCTCGTTAGAAACCCAGAACATCTCACTCAGGAGCGTAAAGCTTCTGTGATGGGCGCTGCCACTTCTGGGCTTTGATTTCTGTGGTGCCAGGCGAGTGTGGTACCATGGAGCCGCGCCTTGCCTGGACTGGACAGAGGGACAAACACCCTGGGTCACCAGAGGCCCTCAGCACCAACAACAAGGGAAGACCTGGGGCCACAGACTCCAATTCTACTCATGGCCCCTTTAAATGAGTATGACTTTTCAGTCTTCACTAAGAACACTTGGCAAGGTGTCCCCGAGCCCGTGGTGCTCACCAGCCATCCCTGAGCACATCACCACACTCCAAGTGGGCCTGGCTTCCTAACTCGTCTTGGTACATTTTTTTTTTTCCTTTTAAGATATGGTCTCACTTTGTAGCCCAAATTGGCCTTGAACTCACTATGGAGCCCAGCCTGGCCTCAAACTCATGGCGATCCTCCTGCCTCAGGCTCTCAAGTGCTGGGATTACAGGTGTGCACCATCACACCCAGCATAGTCCCCATACTTTTTGGTTGGTGATACTCACTAGGTACCTAAAGCCAACCAAGGGGACAGCTCTCCGTGGGGAAACTCTTGCAGCAGCGGTTACATGAGCGTCCCTTGGGGAGACAGGACGGCCCCAGGACACTGCTCAGCCCCTGCTCCACGCCGGGTACCACCCAGCCCTCACTTACTGCTTCGTAACTTATCTGCAGCGTCTGCAGCTGTCTGTCTCCCAGGGACTCTCCTCGGGCCTCGAAGTCCATGTCTGGACTCCCAGACGGGGATGCTGGGGACACGCGCGAGTCTGTGTCACTCGCTGTCCACAGGAGCAGAGACTCGGGCCCTGCCAGCTCCGATGCGGTGGAGAAGGACAGGTAGGTGCCACAGGGGGATGTGCTGGTGGTGGCTCGGGAAGAGTGGGTCTGCTCCACAGCAGATGGCAGATAGGCCCCATTCCACCCATCCTCCTTGTCTTCATCCTCATCCAGGAGGTCACCTGCCCCAGTCAGGTCTTCAAAGAACGGCTGCTGATAGTCTAGGCTGAAGCCCATAGCTTGGCCGGTCGGGGAGCCGGGGTCCAACACCAGGGAGCGCCTTGAGGCTTCCTGAAACCGCAGAGGCAAACCCTGTAGCCAGAAGCCATCACTGGCCTTCTTCTACTGAGCCTGGAACCTAAAGAGAGGCCCATCCTAGCTAGGCCTGACAGTATAGACTACATTCCCAGCTACTCTGGGAGCTGAGGCAAGTTCGGGGCCAGCCTGGGTAATTTAGTGAGGCCCATATCAAAGTTCACAGTTCAGTGATGTGCCTGCCTAGCCTGCACAAGGTCCTGGGCTCAATCCCTGGCACCACAAGGGAGAAAGGCCCAGCTCTTTACCACAGGGGCCGAGCAGCTGTCAACTCAACAGGGCTCCTCCACAGAAGTAGCAGCAGCCCTGCTTCACGTGTGTCCCCGCCCAGGGCCACAAGGACCAGTGCCAGCCTCCAAGGTCTCAATTCTACCTTTGGGTAAACTCTAGTGTTGCTCATGTCATCTTTTGACAGGCTGAGGTTCTTAGTTTTCAGAAACTCTTTAAAGGAGAATGGATTTGCGTCTTCAAGGTCTTCAGGTTTGTCATCTGAAATAATAAGCATCATGAAGATCATTCAAAGGGAGCCTTCCCCTTCCTCCCTTTCCAGGGCACGACTGCACCTACTGGGAAAAGCCACCCTTGAGATGCCACCTGACCCGGGTGACACCAGGGGGCAAGCCAGCTGCCCCCAAAGAGGGTGAGACAGATGTTTCTGTACGCTCACTTCTCCCCTGTCCCTCACCCTCTGGGCCCCTAGGAACCCCTGGAGTCATTCTGGTGCTGGAACCCAGGGCCTCACTCGCTGGGCAAGGGCTCTGTCTGAGCCACACCCCCACGTCACTCCAGGATCTTTATGACGTGGTGCGACAAAGCAAGCTCAGTAACAGGGGAAGGGGGATCTGCACTTGGGGCTTCAAGCTTCTCAGGGGTTGCTGAGCTTGGGAACTGCTCACATCAGTCCTGATCTTCTCACCCAGTTCACATTCCCCACCCTCCGCACCTGACTGCCACACTTTCCTGCGGCCCAGCCCTTCCTGGAGCCTCTCCCTGGTGCTAGCCCACGTGTAGGGGGCTGCTGTCACCCCACCCTGCTATCTCCTCACCCTCTCAGGGGGACTTTCCACCTCCCTCATGTCCCTCATGTGTAAGGTTCTCATTCCCTATTCACCTCCAGGGTCGAGTGGAACCTTTGGGATTCTACCTGTATCTGCTCTTTTGGGGTCCAGGCACAGCCCTGAGATCTTGTCAGACTGGCAGCCATGTGGCTGGACGTGTGCCTGGCACTGTGTGGTGTGTGACCAGAAAGCGCGTGGATCACCGAACTACTCTACCTCCAAAACGTGTCTGGTGGGCTCCTGATGGACCTTGCTTAGTACATTTGCCCTTTCCATAGCCAAAAGCTGCAAAGAGATATGGTCACCGCCCACATCACGGGAAGCTGTGTGACCACTGCAGTGGCCCTCACTCCCCAGGCTGCTTTGGAGAACAAGCCGGGAGCTCTGGCCCTCGCCGGTGCCCTGGCCTCTCTCTGGGAGCGCGAGGGGCCCTGTGCCCAGCAGACTCTGCTCCAGCTTGGGGCGAGCACAGCTCTGGAGCCGGGCAACATTCTGGAAGTGCCTGGACCCGGACACCGCCGCTTGCTCGCCGTGGTGGCAGCAGGACGAGCCAGGTGCGGCTGTCTCGACACCTTGCCCGCTAGCCCGCCGGGAAGGAAGGCGTCTCCGTGCTCCCGGGCATCGACCTTCCTGCCGGGCTGCCGGGCTCCCGACCCGCCCGTAGCTGGGCAGGGGGCGCTCGGCCGGCGCGGGGCTCCCTGAAGGTTTGCGCCCCGACTCTCACCTGTGTCTCCCACGGACGCCAGCACCGGGCTGGGCACATAGCATATAAACGTCGGCCGAAAGCCGAGGAAGGGGGGGCGCCCGCAGTCTAGCTGGGGCAGGCAAGACCGGCGCTCACAGAACGCAGGAGCTGTAAGCGACAACGACAGCGGCTTCACCCCCGCCCGCCCCCGGCCGCCCCCCGGCCGCGGCCGGGCTCACCGTCCGTCACCACAAGGCTCCGCGCCCGGGACAGCGGGGACGCGCCCGGGCAGCGCGCGTAGCCCGACATCGCCGCCGCTGCCGCCGCCGGTCGCCTAACCCGGGGCCATGGCCCCGCCGGCGCCTCCCCTCCGAGCTCCCGCGGCCGCTGCCGCCCCGCGGACCGGAAGCGCGGGTGGGTGGGACACGAGCCGGAAGCGGAAGTGACGGCAGAAGGGCGGCGGGCGCGATGGCGGTGGCGGTCCTGGTGGCAGCGCGGCTGCTGCGCGGCTCCGGGTACTGGGGCCGGCGGTCGAGGTGAGCTGGCTGTCCTCTGGACGCGGGGGGCCGGGGGGCCGGGGGGCCGGGGGGCCGCGAGCACAGCCCGGCATCGGGAGTCGCCTTGACGCGGAGGCTTTGTGCTACGAAATAGGAAAGGGTAGACAGGAGGGAAAGCGCGGCGGCGGCGACATCTAAGGCAGGAGATGACGAAGGGCGGGCGTGCGGAAGGACGGGCTCCGGCGGTGAGGAGCCCCGCGTTCCAGGAATTGTGACCGGGACCGCCCTGCTAGGGAGGCCGAGGCCTGACGGTGCAGGGTCGTGCAGCCCCACCAAGGGCGCGCGGTGTGGAAGGGCAGGGCTGCCCAGGGGCTTGCAGTGGAAACTGCCCTTAGAGTGACTTCTCGTTACAAGCCTGCTTGGGCGCTTGGCAGTTAGGACCAAAGAACTGAACCGTCTTACTTTGTGTCCTGGCTGAGCCAGGGTCCTGGTCGCTCCGGGCGTTGTCCCTCGAAGCTTGTAGAAGGACACCGCTGACTTAATTCCGACAGAACCTGCACCCAAGTGGACGTTGCCTGTGTGCTCGGCTCCCCTGTTGTAATGAGCTTCTTTCTCTTGCAGATTTGGACTCCCCGCACACAGGCAGTTTAGTAGTGGAGGCGCCTACGCCAACATCCCCCTCTCTACTCCCTTGCCTGGAGTACCCAAGCCTATTTTTGCTACCCTTGACGGACAGGAAAAGTTTGAAACCAAAGTTACCACACTGGATAATGGGCTCCGTGTGGCGTCTCAGAATAAATTTGGACAGTTTTGTACGGTGGGAAGTAAGTACTGTTATGTGTCGCAAGTAGCCGCTCTCATTTTTTTTAACTTGATGTGTTTCAGCTGAGTGTCAGTCTTAATTAGCAAGTCCTCTGTGAGCTGTGCTTTGAGTGGAAGCATGTTAAAAACCGGAAACTCTTCGGGTGTGGTAGTGGAAGCCTGTGATCTGAGATAGGAGGGTGAGGCAGGAGGGTTGTGAATTCAAGGCCAGTCCTGGCATCATACTGACAATTTTGTAAGACCCTGTCTCAAAAAAGGGAGCGGGGGCATAGGGATGTATCTAAGTGGTACAGTGCCCCTGGGGTCGATCCTGTGAAAAAAAGAAAAAACCCTGAGAACTTCGGCAATGGCCATTTTTGTTAGTAGTATTTAGGGTAGGATTTCCCCTCCCTTTTTTTCTACCTTTCTGTAATCCTAGAAATTTTCCTCATAAACCATGGTAGGCCTTCACAAATGTTGGTGCGTACAGTAAGGCCCCGGTTCATGAACACTTCTGTTCGCAAATAATTCTGTTTTCAAACAAAAGCGTTCAAAGAAATTTTGCTTCCATTCACAAACTCCACATTGGATGACAAACACAACATAGGCTTTCCCCATGCAAACACAAATGTGGCCGTCTTCCCGAAAGTCATGGAACAAATTAAGTTTGTGAACCGAGACACCACTGTATACCTGTGGAACTGTCATCACAAGACAGCAAATTCGGCTGTCACCCTCATCTAATTACCTCAGGCTGTTGGGAGTCACAATTTTGAAAGGTTCTGTTTAAATTGCCTATTTTGAATATCTGGTTTAACCTACTTTCTTTTATTACCAGTTCTTATTAATTCAGGATCAAGATACGAAGCAAAATACATCAGCGGGCTTGCTCACTTTTTGGAGAAATTGGCATTTTCGGTCAGTTTCCAATGTGTGATTTTTGAAGGCTGTGCTTAGGATGGGGTGTTTTGGTTTTTGTTGTGTTTTTTTTGAGGGGGTTTTCCCACCCAGGGTAGTTATTTTGATAAATGACTCAAGTTATCAAGTTAATGCTAATAAGGAGTCTTGTAAGTTAAAATGTAATTTGTGTTTGTGTGTTTTGAAAAAAAGGAGTTTTCTTAAAGGCTTTTTTTGCAAGTTATTTTGTCTATTTAAGCTTTTGTGTTTATTTTTGTCAGTCTACTGCTCGATTTGACAGCAAAGATGAGATTCTGCTCACCCTGGAGAAGCATGGGGGCATCTGCGACTGCCAGACCTCCAGGTACACAGCTGTTACACTGGCTTCCTGTGCTGGAGCAAATGAGAAGGAGCCCTGGCTCAGATGGAGAGTGGAGTGGGGGCTGGGACCAAGACCACGGGTGGCGGCAGTGACCCTGGGAAGCAGTCCTGGGAAGGCCGCTGCCCCATAGTTTCAGCTGGGCTGGCTGCAGGCCCGGGTCCCAAGGTGCTCACAGGTCAGGCAGAGGCCATTCACACAGCATGGGCCCACGAGCCAGGGGTGGTGAGGGAGCAGGGGCCACAGGTGAGGAGCTTGGTCTGGATTGGAATTTCAGCATTTTGGTTTCTTGGTTTTTTGGGTTTTTTTTTTTTTATGGTACTGAGGATGGAACTCAGGACCTTGCACTTGCAAGCCAGGCATGGTGCCGCTGAGCTAAATCCCCAGCCCTTGGTCTGGAGTTGGAAGGGAATCAGGAAGCGTGACATTGGGACTGTTATGGCCAGATCTGCTGGGGTGTTCTAGACCCATGCACAGGAGAGGCCTGGGTTTGGCTAGAAGCAGCAGCAGCTTTTTGGGACAAGGAGGAGAACCATGTGGACTGGAGTGTGGCGGGGTGGCTTTGGGGAGCAGTGCACACTCAGAGAGCTCTGGGACATAGGAGCGGGTAGACACAGATCAGATGGTTAGGAACGGCTGGATGTTTCCATCTGAATGCTAAATGCAAAAAGCATGTTAAGCGCTGAGAATTTAGGTGGCACATCCAGTCCTCCAGTCTCCTCCTGATTCTAGTGAACCCCTTTTTTGGTGGGCGGCTGTGTCCTCAGCTTGGGCTGTTGCTCCTGCCCTCGCCCCACTTCCCATGTTTGTGGCCATGCAGGGCCTCACACAGTGACAGACAGCTCGACTGTGGGCCCCTCAGAGCCTGGCCAGCCAGCCTTTCCCCTGAGCCCACCTGAACATTTCCAAGTCAGCCAGTTGGGTCACTTGTCCATGGCACAGGCTGGACAGTGGCCCCTAAGAGAGCCTGCGCTTACCGATGCCTGGGTGGATTGGCTGTGGTGACTCAGCGGTGTCTTTCACTCAGAGCTTCTGCAGATGCTGTGGCTCCTCCTGCCAGGAACTCACACTACTAGGAGGGAAGGGAAGTGAGCCTGCTGGGTCTAGATCACAGTGCTTAAGCACCCCTTGCACACAGCACAGCCCGAGGTGTTGTGCTGGGTGTAGACTCAGTGTCACTGGGTTGTTTCTTCCAGAGACACGACCATGTATGCCGTGTCTGCTGACAGCAGAGGCTTAGACACCGTGGTGGGCTTGCTGGCTGACGTGGTTCTGCAGCCTCGCCTGACAGGTGTGGATGGCACTCGGGGTGGGGGTCCTGGGGTTGGGGCAGGAGGGTTGCCAGTGGCCGCAGTGCTGAGGAGCAGCACTGTGCTATTGGGGCTGGGGCTCACCCTGCAGTAACCCACAGTGTCACCTGGAGAGTGCCAAGGACCAGAAAGTCCTTGGCAAGCCCAGGGCCCAGTGTAAAGCGTGCGCTCTGTGTACACACTCACTGTCATGAGTGCTCAGTGCTCTGATGCATCTCTATCCTTCAAAGCTTTTACTGGAATTGCATGTCAGAAACCCTTACTCTATCTTTACACTGTGGTGGCATGCTGCTGGGAGTCTGCCTTTTTAAGCCTTTCTGGCCTTACAAATGACAGGACTTGAGTCCCTGCTGGGAGGGGTGCCAGAGGGGCTGCTGGCTGTCCTGGCATCTGACATGTGTGGCACAGCAGCCCGGTCCCAGTGTGCCAGGGCTGCAGTTTTGTGTTAGGATCGCAAGGAGCTGGTGGAATGGCCACACTGGTCTGTTCCCCTACCCTAAGCGCCTTTCTTTCCAGACTTGTGTCCTCAGAGCCTCACTTGGAACAGACAGATGAGGTCCCCCAGTGCCTTTCACGGGCAAGCCAGCCAGAGCTTCCAGTGGGACCCCACAGAGAGGAGCACAGGCTGAGGCCCGAATCCCCACTTCCTGTTCTCCAGCCTCTGTCCTGGCAAAGGCAGAGGTGACCACAGCACCTGCCTCCCTCGGGCGTGGCTGGCTTGGGCCTCAGGATGAGTGCTGCAGGTGGCTCACTCGCTGACACAGGCTGAGCCCTGCCTCGGTTCCCTGCAGATGAGGAGCTGGAAATGACACGGATGGCTGTCCAGTTCGAGCTGGAAGACCTGAACATGCGGCCCGACCCGGAACCACTGCTCACTGAGATGATCCACGAGGTAACAGGAGCTCACATGTGCCCCACGTCCCCACCAGGTCTCTGGCTCAGCATGGACTGGAGGGCCCTGCTGTCCTGTGGGCCCTGGGTGTTTACGGAACACTCAGTCTCCTGTGTGTCTCTTCACTTATCCAGTACTTGGCGTATAACCCAGGGTCTGTGTGTCAGGCAGCCAAGCGCTCTGCCTCTTCGCTTTGGGTTAGCCTTTAGTGGTGTTTACATTTTTCTTGCAGTAACGGGCTGACTACCGTTTCCGTCTATGCTACCATTTCCTTTATTTTACTTACTTGGTTTTCTTTTCACTCTAGAGAGGTAGGCTTTGCTACTTTTTTGCATGCACCAGAGAGAGTTGCTGATGCCAGACCACAGCTGAGGTGTCCCTAGGTGTCTGGTTTGTCCAGAGGCTCAGATGGCGCCAGGCAATAGCTTCTCATCGGGGACCCTCACGTGTTCTGGTGCTTCTGTCCTTCCCTCCCTCAGGCTGCTTACCGAGGGAACACGGTGGGCCTCCACCGATTTTGCCCCTCAGAGAACATCGCAAGGATTGACCGGGAAATGCTTCATTCCTACCTGAGGAACTACTACACGCCTGCACGCATGGTGCTGGCCGGCGTGGGCGTGGAGCACGACCGCCTGGTGGAGTCCGCCACTAAGCACCTCCTGGGGGTGCAGCCCGCCTGGGGGGACACGGGGGCTGTGGATGTGGACAGATCCGTGGCGCAGTTCACTGGTGGGATCGTCAAGGTAACGCAGTGCTGTGCTGCTTCTGCAGTGTGCCTCTGGGACCCGTGCCTGAGTCCTGTCAGGTGCGTGGCATCGGCCAGGGCACAGGCCTCAGGCCGGCGGGTAACTCTCCTCTGGTCTCGCTGCAGCTGGAGAGGGACATGTCCAATGTCAGCCTGGGCCCAACCCCCATCCCCGAGCTCACGCACATCATGGTGGGCCTCGAGAGCTGCTCCTTCCTGGTGAGTCCGGGCACAGCAGGCGGCACGCCAGTGTGGGGGTGGCTCCCGGCTGAGCAGCGCTTCCACCTACAGGAGGAGGACTTCATCCCCTTTGCCGTGCTGAACATGATGATGGGAGGCGGCGGCTCCTTCTCAGCTGGCGGCCCAGGCAAGGGCATGTTCTCCAGGCTCTACCTCAACGTGCTCAACAGGTCTGTGGTGTCCTCTGGGCGCCTTGTGCATGTGGCCCTTGAGGCCATGGCACCTTTCTCTGGTATCTGCGGCCTAATGCTGCCTGGTCAGTCCCCTCTGCCCCGGCTCCCTGTCCCCTGGCAGGCACCACTGGATGTACAACGCCACCTCCTACCACCACAGCTACGAGGACACCGGCCTCCTGTGCATTCATGCCAGTGCTGACCCAAGACAGGTGCAAGCAGGCAGCGGGAAGCAGGGGCTGCTGCCTCGGCCAGCATCCTGCCCGGGGGCGGCCGAGACTGATGGGACTGCTCACACCCTTGTTTCCTGCTGTCCTTCGCAGGTTCGAGAAATGGTAGAAATCATCACGAAGGAATTTATCCTGATGGGTGGAACTGTGGACACGGTAAAGAAGGCTGGAACCACTTCTGGACCTGCCCACGGCATCGGACGGGGGTGGCCAGCAGTGTCCCCAGGGCAGTGTGTGTGTCCTCAGCCATCTCTTGAGAACAGTGTAGAGTGGACGCCGTGTGCGGCCTTCCTGGCCTCAGCCTGGCACTGTTCCGGTGCTTGGACCTAAGCTCAGTGGTAGAGCACTTGCCTGGCATGTGCCAGGCTCTGGGTTCAACCCCTGGACCACCAAGAAAAGGGTGTCCACAGTGGATCTTTTAGAGTTTGTCTTTCAAGGTACAGTGACTGCCAGACCCACGGGCTTGGCCCTCCCGGGGCCTCTCTGGGGCTCCCTTGTCCCCAGTTGCAGCTCAGTGCTATGCTATCTTGCAGGCTGCTCCCCAGAAGCCTGAGGGACTGCTGAACAGTTGCTTAGGTTCTGTGCACTGGCCCTGGTGCAACCAGAACCACTTAATCTCCTGCAGCAAAGAGGAACCAGGGGTTTGTCCCTGCCCCTAGCGCAGCCCCCTCCCAGGAAACGGGCCAGGCGCCCAGGGTGCAGCTCCTCCCACCCATGCACCTGTGCTCAGTGTTGAGCACAGGGAGAGCCCTGCCGAGGTCCTGGCTGTCCCTTCGCTGGCTGTGGGTGACCTGACACACGGTGCCTGTGGCCCTCAGGTTGAGCTGGAGCGGGCCAAGACACAGTTGATGTCCATGCTCATGATGAACCTGGAGTCCAGACCCGTGATCTTCGAGGATGTGGGGCGGCAGGTGCTGGCCACCCACTCCCGAAAGCTGCCACACGAGCTCTGCGCGCTCATCCGTGAGTACGGCTTGTGGCAGATGCCGCAGCAGCCAACCCCAGCCCGTCTGTGCCACTCGGCACCTCAGGATGTGACCAGCCCTCCATACCCGGGGGTCCTCAGGCACAGCAGAGTCCCTAGTGCATGTGGCTCACGGCCTCTGCCCATCCTGGTCCCGTGCAGGGCATCTCAGCCACATTTGGTAGGTGGGAGAGCCTGGTCAGGCTGCCACAGAGCTGAACCTGGGGGCTGAGCTTTCTCTGGAGCTGCCTTCCTTCCGCCCTCTCTCACCTTGTCCCGCGTTGGGTGCAGACACGTGGCTTTGCCTGATGCATCTTGCTCTGGCTAGGTGACGTGAAGCCGGAGGACATCAAGCGGGTCGCTGCAAAGATGCTGCGCGGGAAGCCTGCGGTGGCGGCCCTGGGCAGCCTAAGCGGCCTGCCCAGCTACGAGCACATCCAGGCTGCACTGTCGAGCCGGGACGGGCGCCTGCCCAGGATGTACCGGCTCTTCCGGTAGGGTCCCTCAAGGTGCTGGGGACCCAGCCGTGGACAGTGGTTTGCACACATGTGCTGTGGTGTGGCCTGGTGTGAAGGTGCCTGGGTCTGAACAGTGTGCACAGAGGGGTGCTCAGACTTGTGCAGGCAGAGTTACTGTGGCCGCCACAGCCTGCATCTTTTGTCCCTTCGGAAAGGAGTTTGCCAGGTGGGGTTGAATGTTCCTTTCTCCTGGATGGAAGGCGGTGCCCACGCAGGTTGGGGCGCTCATTCTCCCGCAGACTCAGCACCAGAGGCCATGCCAAAGCCCTAGGCTGCAGTCTTCGCCCTCCCCAGCCTGCAGGCTACTCTGGGCAGATCGGACAAAGCAGGAGTGTGCCCGTGCAGACACTGCCGTCTCTGCTAATAAAACCGTGACCACCTCCTGCCACGCTGTCTTCCTTCACTTGGCTAGGGGCAGAGTTGAAGAGGCCGCTCACAGTCAGCCAGTCCTTGGTGACACAAGTCTGTAATCCCAGCACTCAGGGAAGCAATATTCCAAGTTTGAGTCCAGCCTGGGCAACTTAGACTCTGTCTCATGATTTAAAAATTAGAGGGAGCAGGGAGATGGAGGGAAGCTGGGTTCAGTCCCCAGTGCCACAAAATAAAAGCCATTTGATCCTCGGGTCTGTTTTTTGCCAGTACCATGCTGTTTTTATCACAGTAGCTTTGTATAATTTCAGGTCAGGGATTGTGATGCCCCTTGCCTTGCCTTCTTGCCCAGAATTGCTTTTGATTTTCTAGGTCTTTTCTGGTTCCAAATGAATTTTAGGACTTTTTTCTAATTCTGTGAGATATGTTATTGGAATTTTGATCAGGATTACATTAAATCTATACCAATGTTGGAAGTATGGTAAGTTTTACTATATTGGTTCTTCCTACCCAAAGAAAGGGATATCTTTTCATTTCCTGGTATCCTCTTCGATCTCCTTTTTCAGAGTACTGTAGTTTTCCATGTAAAGGTCTTTTACTTCCTAAATTAGATTGATCCCTAGGTATTTCATTTTTTTGGATGCTATTGTGAAAGGTGTTGTTTTCCTAATTTCAGTGAGTTATTTGTGTACAGGAATGCTATTGAGTTTTGAGTGTTGACTTTGTATTCAGTTATGCTACTGAATTTGGTTATTGAATCTAGAAGTCTTTTGGTAGAGTTTTTGGGGTCTTCTATGTAGAGTATCGTATCATCTACAAATAATGCTAATTTAACTTCTTTCTTTCCTACCCTTATTCCTTTTTATTTCTTTTTCTTGTCTAAATTACTCTGTTTCCAGAACTATGTTGAGCAGGAGTGGTGACAGTGGACATCCTTGTCTTGTTGTTCCTGATTTTAGAGTGAAAGCTTTCAGTTCTTGTCCATTCAGTATGATGCTAGCTGTTGATTTGTCACTAGGTGGCTTTTATCAGATTGAGGTAAAGACCATCTATTCCAATTTTCTCTAGGGATTTTTTTTTTTTTATCATGAATGGGTGTTGGCCTTTGTCAAACACTTCTTCTGCATCTGTTGAGATGATCATATGGTTCTTGTCCTTGGCTCTGTTGATGTGGTATATTATATTTATCGATTTACCTATGTTTGAACCACCTCTGCATCCCTGGGATGAATCCTGTTTGGTCATGGTGGTGTATAACCTATTTGATGATTTGCTGCATTCTGGTTTTTCTTTTGTGCTACCAGGGATCGAACTCAAGTCCTTGTGCTTGTGACCGGCCCCTGCTGCATTCTGTTTGCCAGTATCTTATTGAGGATTTTTGTGCCTGTGTTCATTAGGGAAATTGGCCTGCAGTTCTCTTTTTTGTTTGGAGCCTTCTGTGGTTTTGGTACCAGGGTAATGCTTGCCTCCAGGAATCAATTTGAGAGTATCGCTTTCCTTTCAACTCCATGAAAGATTTTGAGCCCCCACAGTGTGCAGGGAAAGCAAGTGGACATGCCTGGGCCTGGCATCGGGGACTGTGGTGCTCCTGAACATCCTGATCACCAGTACACCAGGAGTTGGAAAAACCACATTAGGCGAAGAACTTGTATCCAGATCAGGACTGAAGTACATTAGTGTGGGTGATGTAGCTCGAGAAGGTTGAAATAGTCTTTGCCACCTTCTCCCCCCTAGCTTACTGCCTCAGGTTTTTCCTTAGAAGTCACCTTGTCCAGGAAGCTTCCCCTAATCTAAGCTTATGTTAGATGTTCATCTTGCCCCTCTCATAGCACCCGTGGGGCACGACAATAAAATACAGTAAGCTTTCGAGGGGCATTAGAGTGGCCATGAAGGGTATGAGTGTCCCATTTTAGATGAAGAAAAAGAGGTTGATGAGTTAGAGAACCAAATGGCAGAAGGTGGAGTTACTGTTACCATGGTTACGATTTCTTTCCTGAATGATGGTTCATGCAGCTTTTGTGCTGAGAACAGATACTGTACAAAAGACTTGAAACAAGGGGTCATATGAGAAGAAACTAGGAGACAAGATCGAGTGTGAGACTTTTCAGGTTCTTTGTTAAGAGGCCATGGTACCATGCAAGGAAGATACTGTGCACCAGCTGCCCAGCAATACGCCTGAAGAGTGAGAGCACAACATAAGCCAGATCTTGAGGGGACTGAGCAGTGGGTCAAAGGTCACAGCCCGTGCCTGGTCACTTGGCGGTGCCTCTCTGCCCACCTCGTAGACACCACCCCCAAGTATCTGTAAAAACCCAAACTATGTGGAAAGCCCAGCAGGTTTTTTTGTTTTGGGTTTTTTTGTTTTTTTGTTTTTGGTACTGGGGATCAAACTCAAGACCTTGTGGTTACAAGGCAGGCGGTGGAACCACTGAGCTACATCCCCGGCCCCCCAGCAGGTATTTTTATGCCTGGGGTTTTTTTTTTTTCTCCATGAGAAAGTTAAACAAGCACAAATATAATGAATAAAAGTATTATTAAGCATTTAAAATACTCATCACTTGCTAAACAATAAATCTGATCAAATGGGTAGTATCTTTTAAGTTTATTACCGAAGAAAATGCAGTTGATCTCTTAAATGCTAAAGATAATGATCAGAGTATTCATTATTTTTTCTTTCTGTAAAAAAGAAATTGGAAGTGGTAACACTTATACTCTGCAAAATTCAAAAGGTCCAAAAAAAAATAAATTCAGAAGGTCCAAAGCAGCACCCTGAAGTATAGCTTTCCCTTCCTGTACCCAGGAAATAATGTCTGGTGTCCTGCTTATCTTTGCAGATATTTTATGCCTATGAAGCATGTACATATATATATTTTTAGGGTATGGTAGCATATCATGCACACTGGTCTTTTCTCATTTAATAGGAGACTATAGTCTCAATATAATCTCAGAAAATAGACTTCCTATTCTGTTTTTTTTTAATTGTCATATAATAAATTCACCATCTTAAGTATACAACCAGGCCAAGGGGTAGAATGCTTAGAGGCCCTGGGTTAAATCCTCTTCACCCCTAAAAATAACAAAGTGTAAAATTAACTGCTTTTTAGTATAATCACAAGGTTATGCAACAATTACCACTAATTCCAGGACATTTTTGTCACTCCCTGAAAAGAAATTTCATACCCATAAGCAATCATTCCCTGTTCTGCGCTCCTCCCAGCCTCTTACAGTCACTAATCTATATCCCTGTCTCGATAGATTTGCATATTCTGGACCCCTTGCACAAATTAAATCACATAAATTATGTCATTCCTTTTTATGGCCAAAAAAAAAGGTTTTGAAAAGTAGCAGCATTAGGTCTTCTCTAAAGTCCTTGTAGGATTTAGCAGTGAATCCATCAGGGCCTGGGCTTTTCTTTGTTGGTAGGTTTTTAATTACATCTTCAATTTCATTGGCTGATATTGGTTTATTTAGAATTTTTATACATTCTTGATTTAGCTTTAGTAATTAATATGTATCTAGGAATTCTGACCCATTTCTTCTGTGTTTTCCATAGATAGTTTCTTGAAGGTATTGATGATCGGGATTTCTGCAGGGTCTGTTGTGATTTCACCCTTTTCATTCCTAATTGCATGGATTTGAGTCTTTTTTTTGATAAAGTTGGCTAAGGGTTTGTCAGTTTTATTTCATCTTTCAAAGAACCAACTCTTTGATTCATTGATTCTTTGTATTGTTTTCTTAGTCTCAGTTGCATTAATTTTTGGTCTGATCTTTATAATTTCCTTCCACGTATGAGTTTTGGGGCTTGACTTACTCTTCCTTTTCTAGAAGCTTGAGGTTCAACATTAACTTGTTTATTTGAGCTTGCTCTCTCCCCCGCTCCCCATAACGGGGATTGAACCTCAGGACCTTGAGCTTTTAAGGCAAGCATGACACCACTGAACTAAATCCCATTTTTCTGATATGAGAATTTACTGCTATTAATTTCCTTCATAGGACTGCTTTCATTGCATCCCATAAATTCCAGTATGTTGGGCTGGGGATTTAGCTCAGTGGTTCCACTGCCTGCTTCACAAGCGCAAGGTCCTGAGTTTGATCCCCGGTACCAAAAAAAAAAAAAATTCCAGTATGTTGTATTGGCATTATTGTTTAATTGTAGACACTGTCTAATTTCTTTAATTTCACGTTTGACCCATTCATTGTTCAGGATGTTGTTAATTTCTATGTGTTTATGAAGTTCTTGTGGTTTCTTTGCCATTGATTCCTAATTTCACTGCAGTATGTTCTGATAATATCCATGGAATAATTTCAAGTCCTTTGCATTTATTTAAGCATGTTCTATGAACTAGCTTTAGTATGTGGTCTTTTGGAGAATGTCTCATGCAGCTAAGAATGTACATTCTGATATTGTAAGGTATAACACTATGTAGACATATACTAAATCCATTTCCTCAAAAGTTTGGTTCAGTTCTGATATTTTTTGTGATTTTTTTGTCTAGTTGATCTATTTGTGTGTGTGTGTTGTTGTTGTTTTTTGGTACCGGGGATCGAACTCGGGACCTTGCGCTTGCAAGGCAGGCACCGGAACCACTGAGCTACATCCATGGCCCTAGTTGATCTATTTGTGACAGTGGGGTATTAAGGTCCCCCATTACAACTGCATTAGTGCTTATTTGACTTTTCATGTCCATTAATGTTTGTCTTATATAGTTAGGTGCGCTGGTATTTAGTGCATATGTATTTATGATTATTACCTCTTCCTCTTGGATTGTTCCCTTTACAAGGATGTAGTGACCTTCTTTGTCTCTCTTAATCAATCTTGGCTTGAAATCCACTTTGTCTGCAAATAGAATAGCTACCCCTGCTTTTTTTTCGGTTTCTTATCACATGGAGTATTGTTTTCCATCCTCTGACCTTAAGTCTATGAATTTCTTTTTTAATTAAGTGTGTTTCTTGAATGCAGCATATTGTTGCATCTTGCTTCTTGATCCATTCTGCCAGTCTGTTTCTTTTGATTGGTGAATTGAGACTGTTTACATTGATGGTTATAACTGATAGGTATTGACTTTTCCTTGTTATGTTATTTTCCTGTTGTTTGTTCCCTTTTTCTCCTTTCTGTTTAATTGCTTGCCTTGCCTAGTGGGGTTCTGTTGCATTCTGTTGGCATTCATGGAGTTGTAGTCCTCATTATATCTTTCTGGAATGTTCTTCAGAACATTTGGGAGTGCTACTTTGGTGGTCATGAATTTCTTCAGGTGTTCTTTGTTATTGAACTATCTTATTTCTCTATCCATTTTGAAAGATAGTTTTTAGAGCTTGAAATACTTCACTCCAAGCTTTACTTGACTTGAGGGTTTGTGTTGAGACGTGATTCTGATGGGCTTTTCTTTATAGATGATTTGTTTCTTTTCCCTAAGAGGTTTTAATGTTCTGTTCTTGGTTCCCTAGTAGCTTGCTGTGATCACACAATACTCTGTGTTGTGGCCACAGCAAACTCAGTTCAGATATTTTGTTCTTGTGTTGAATTTCTGGAATCTTGACTATTATGCGTCTTGGTGTAGATTTTTTTTTTGTACCGGGAATCGAACTCAGGACCTTGTGCTTGCAAGGCAGGTGGCGGAACCACTGAGCTAAATATTCGGCTCTAGATTTTTTTTTTGGATCATGGGTAATTGGAGTTCTACATGCCTCATTTATTTGTATGTCAAGTTCTTTTTCCCTGCTTGAGAAGTTTTCTGCCATGACATCTGTGAACAGGTTTTTTATGTCATTTGTGCTATCCTGCTTTTTCATTGACTCCTGTCAATCTTACGTTGCAGTGCTGGTTGTAACTCAAATTGGTCAACTCAAGGCTCAGGCTCCTCTATACAGCCTTCAAAGTCTCTCTCATGTACACAGGCAGATCTCAGTGTCCCTAGAGAGACATTGGCCTGGGATTTCTCAACCCCACAAAGGAAAAGATGTTTTAATGATCTTTCCAGAACTCTTTAAGGGTTACATCTGTATCTGAGACCATCTGGAAGCACAAGTAGCCTGCATTCGGGTTGTAACTCAAGACTTTGATCATAAGTTAAAACTCACCACCACCATCCCAAGCTCCTAGGGCAGAGAAGGTGAGTCGCGTGGGCACCAGAAGCACCCCCCCCCATGGAAATGAGAAGACATGTAAATAAGCCTCAAAAACAGACTTCTGGATTACCTACAGCAACCCCAAAGGGAAATGAGATGGGACAATCTGATACTCAATCACTTGGACTCTCTGAACTGGCAACAAAAGAGGATCTGGGAAAAATGAAATCAGAAATAATTACTCAGATAACAGCAAAGATTTTGCTCATGGTGCAAGATATGATTAATAAATCTAGAGAGGACACAGATAAAAAATAGAGGATCTGAGGAACATGATGGAATCCCAACATAGGAAACAAATGGAATCCATAAAACAGATGAAAACAGATTTCCAGGAGATAAGTTAAAACTAAAATTCTAGTAATAACCCAAGTTGCTCATATGTCATGCTGGTCATAACTTGAGGGTCCACTGTATTCTTTGCATCATCTAGCAGTTGTTAGATTGATTTTTTTGTATTCCTTGTTTTAAGAGATCTTTATTTTCATGGTCACTAACCGCCATACTGTCTTCTGTATCTGATAGTCTGTCCTCACATTGACTCATTCTGTTGCATATACTTTCAGTGGAATTTTTAATCTGGATATCTGTTGAAATCTGTTTCATGGATTTTCTTCCTGCCTTCCTGCCTGTTTGTTTCTTTTCTTTCTGGGATCGAACTCAGGACCTTGTGCTTGTGAGGCAGGCACAGTGCCACTGAGCTAAATCCCTGGCCCTACTGCCAGTATTTAGAACCCTTAGGAAATGACTACTTCTCAGAGATGTCTTCCAGGTGTAGGTGGCTTTTGGGTTTTCAGTCTTGCAAGATCCTACCTTTCAGTTTATGGGGAATGAGAAGTTGCTGGCTATTTGGCCCAGCCCCTGGTTCTTTGGCACTGACCTATAGTATTGTTTATGACATTTAGGCAATCTCAGTCTTGGCACACCAGGAAGAACCAATGAGAGTAACTCTTGTCACCTTGGCTACAGTAATACAGTCAGCAATAACAGCATCAAATACAGCCTATAAAATGACCAACTGGTAACTTAATTTGCCAGCTTTAACTGTATGAGCTAAATTTATGGTTATATAACAAATCCTGAAACCCAAAAATTGTAACAGTACATATGCCCTCAGTATGGTGATTTTATCCTTGGTGGAGAAAATTGTAGGAAAAAATTTCAAAGGGGAAAAATAGAGAAATAGAAGATGAAGAGATGAGAAGCAAGGCTGGAGGACAGAGGAAGATTACACAAACTGGGAAACTGGTGAAGACAGGAGGGAGAGAGAGAGAAGGAAGAAATAACAAAAACCAGAAACTTCACATTTATATGAAAACAAGGACAAACAAAAAGTCCACGGCATGTGTCTGCTGTCACTGGTAGAGAAGTGGGCAGACAGAGTCCAGATCCATGTTGATTACTCCCAAGCCAGCCATAGATTTATGGCAGGGTAAAGGATAATCCCAGGAGGTCTGATCCTTTAGTTCGGAAGCTCAGGCTGGTTTCTGGCTGTGGCTGGAACCTGTTTTGTTCAGCCTTCTACACCCTATGTGCTTCCTGCTGGCTTTGACTTGGCTCCTTGACTTTGTGCTGACTTGCACTCAGTTCTGCCTCACGCTGATGGAGCCATCCCACAGCTGTGCTGAATTCCAAGCTCAGTTGCCCTCTCTCCAAGATGGCTACTGGCCAATTGCCCTCTTCTAAGGGACGTCAGAACCCAAATAACTCACCAGCCGCTGCAGTCCACTGCATCCACTGGTCCATTTGACTGATGCGTTTCTCTGGAGGCCTTGGGTTGGCAGTAGTCACTGTGGCTCTGCAGGTTCAGGCCACCCTTCCACGAAGTCAGGGCTCAGGAAGAAAATGCTGCTTGCTGCCTCCTCCACTGAAGTCTCTCTCTTCCCTCTCCCCATGGGCTTCAGATCCTTGCTGGGTTCCCTCCTCCTCTTCCTCACATTGCTGTATCCCAGCGATTAGGCACCAAATCTTGGAGAGGCTGTTTCCCTGCTGTTCACCACTCAGCCATCTTCCTGGAAGTGCAGCAGGGCTTCTGAGGGGAGCCTAGCGACAGGTGACCATTGTGGGTTGCATGAGATTTGTGTGGCTTGGTTCTTTGGAGAGCAGGCCCAGGGTTGTCTGTCAGTGCAGACAGGGCTGGGTGTCTCAGAGCTCAGGACGGTAAGCCTGTGTTCATTTTGGTCTTGCCTGTCAAACACCTGGAAACCACATCTCAAGGCTTTGTGCACAGTGGGAGCGTCTGCCTGCACCGGTGGCTACAGCACAGTCCCCTGGGGCAGAGCCTCCGGAAGGGATCGGTAAGCCATGGGCTCAGTGGGGCCCTGGCCCCTGAGACTGCCGTGCCAGCATCGGGAGGGTGCCTGCAGCACGGAGCTTGGGATGCACTGCCTGTGGGAATGGATGCCGAAAAGACCAAGGAGCCGGTCAGCAGGGACAGCTCCCCAGCTGAGGAGGCACAGGCCGTGTCCACTGCGGGGCAGTCAACCTGGTGCCTGGCATTCTGGAAACCTAGGCAACCCAGTGTCCTGTCCCCCCCCAGCCTCCGCCCGCCCTGCCAGGACCCTAGGACACACCCCATCCCCTCCTCAGGGCGCACCCCTGCCCTGGTCTTGCCTCCTGCCACCCAAGGTCACCCTGTTGGCCCTGATGGCCAGACAGTGCTGTGTAGCAGGACCTGTAAACACGAGATCTCGCTGTGTAGTTCAGGCTGGCCTTGAACTGGCACTCCTCCTGCCTAAGAACTAAGTTTTTAGAAGCCACTCGTGTCTGGTCCTATTCTACTGTTTTGTTTTTTGCAGTACCAGGGCATTGAACCCAAGGCCTCCAGCATGCTAGGCAAGTGCTTCACCAGAGGTGTAGCCCCAGCCCCCCATTTCCCACTTCCGTATGGACAGTGGCCAGCTCATTGGCATTAGTGTTAAACTAGCTTTCCAAGTAAAAGGTGGTTCATCTGAAACATCACAGTGGGTGATGAGGACAGCACCGCACTGCACTTCCCCCAGTGGCCTCACAGCTGCTGGTCCCAGGCCAAACTACGACACATTCTCCAAGGTCACAGTAAATAGAGTCTCTTTCCATGGTTCGGGTCAAAAAACCTAGAAAGAACCCATGAAACCCTACTCATTTCAAGAATCTTGTTTTGTTTTTGTTTTTTGGGTACTGGGGATTGAAATCAGGACTTTGCAGTTGCAAGGCAAGCATGGTGCCACTGAGCTAAATCCCCGCCCACATTTCGAGAATCTTCCTGACGTGTTTGGTTCACTGGAAATGTGACGCACGCCCTTGTGGTTACGCAGCACAGGCCATAGCTGACCGGGCGGCGGCTGTGCTTCTGTGGGCTCCTGCTGCAATCGGGACCCACTCGCTGTGTGCTGCTTGCTCTACAGTGGACAGCTATTTGGGAAGCAGATGCTAATAAAAATTCTACTGTGGGTTCCTTGGATTTGCTCGTTCTTCCAGCTCGGCTGGGTCTGAGGGAATTCCCCACCACCCCCGACCCAGGCCGTGTGCCAGACTGAGGCCCTCGTCAGCAGCTGACAACCGAGACCAAGCTGACCCCCGGGTTTCACAGCCTACAGCACTGTGAGGACAGGAACGCATACAGACTTCCTAGCACTGTCTTGGGCTGGAAAGAATTTAAGATTCAATATATGCATTTATTTAAAAATACAAATATGGAAAAATAAATAATTTAACAGGCTGGATGGATGTCCCTAGGCTTCTCTATATTCAAGTCTACGTTCTTCTCCAGAGATGGGTGGGGTCCAAGCCCTCGAAGGCAAGGGCCCGAGTGAGGCAGGCTGCTGGCCTGTGTCCCAGCTGGGCAGTGGCAGCACCTGGTGTGAGATCGCGGAATGAGTCTTGGCCTATGGTGAAGGGGGGCGGTCCTGTCCTGGGACGGCCACGGGGGCTGCCACAGGGTGACCATCCCAGCTGAGAAGGGTCTGGCTTTGGTTGTGATGCTGCCTCAGCCTCAGCAGCTTCTGGGGTGCCCAGGGTCCCAGGGGCTGGAGGGCACCGGCTATGCCTTGACTTCCACAGATGCTGGTGGGGTGCGGGCTCAGGAGGGACAGCGGGGATGGGGACACTCAGGCCCAGGGCTTGGGATGTGTGCACAGGAAGTTGAGGGGGAGCCTGCAGCCCTCACTGGCAGAAAGCAGGGACCCCCTACCCTCCAGGGCAAAGCGGCTCAGGCGTCTGCCCTGCGTGGGGCTGCAGCCATGACACTGCGGGACGCAGAGGCCCTGAGAGAAGCCCCATCCCGTGGAGGAGGGGTCAGGACACCAGTGGGTGTGGGGTGCCAGGCCCCGCCGCTGTCCTGGGGTTTCCCGGTGAGAACCAGGGTGGTCTCGAAGCCATTCATCGGACCCCGACGGGGGATGCCACAGAGCAGGCCCCATCTCTTCCAGTGACTTTTGGTCGGGTGTCCTGAGTTGCGGGTGATAACGGGTCCTCTTCAGTGACTTCAAGACACGGTGCAGACAGTGCTGGAGCTCTGGTTCTTCAATGCTTGCTGCCTCTGGATTGCTTTTGAAATCCGCCTTTTAATTCCTAGCAGGTACAGCTCTCGGTCAAACTTGCCGGCAGCCAGCGGAATGCTGTGGAGAGGCGTGACGCTGTGATGAAGTGCCCATGTCCCTCAGCCATGCGACAGTGAACCCCAAGGGGCACACGCAGGGGTGGGGCCCCGGTCAGGGTGCTGCCCAGGGCCCCTGCTTTGTCCCTCCAGCTGCACCTGAGCCCTGGCAAGGTGCCAGGCCAGCTTTCCTGTGCCCTCAGGCCCTGTCCAGGAGAGGGTGTGGCCGGGTGGAGCCACACGGCTCCAGAGCCAGCCCCGTCACAGGATGAGCCTCCGCCTGCCACCAAGGGGCGTGGGATGCGGGACTCACATCAGCCCTCTGTGTGGCAACGTGAGAAGACCACTGCACGCAGCCTCATCTGTCACCGGCTCAGCACCCGGCACCACTGCCCCTGGGCCGAGCCCAGCTGGGCCCGAGGGGGACAGAGAAGCAGGGACTCACTTGTCTCGCCCGGGCCGCACTCGCACCCGGAACAGACCGTACACGGGGCGGTGGTCAGACGTCTTGATCCCGGGGCAGGAAGAGTATATCACTGGACAGATGTCCCCTTTGTGGCGGCTTCTGTACAAGACCCGGTCCTTGGGGAGAGACGCGACACAGGGGCACTGGTGAAGGCAACCCTGCTGCTGTGCGGCCGGGCCCTGGGCACCTGGGCTTCGGCACCACAGGGAGCCCCGCCACCCGAACCCAGAGCTCCGGGGCTGCCTCCAGGTCCACTAACACCACAATGGCCTGGAGTGGAACCGGGATGGGGGACAGAGGGCTGGGCTAGTGCCTCCGGCTCATTCACTCCAGGTGCTGACAGGGACAGGGAGCTGGGGCCTGAATCTAGCTGTGGCTGGGGCAAGTGCCCGGCTCTTGGGGTGCTTGTGGGGCCACCTGCTGGGCCTCGAGACCTCACGGCGGGGGGGGCACCCTCAGCGAGGACTGTCACTGGTGAGGCCGGCTAGAGCGCAAGTGCCTGGGCACAGTACAGGCCTTTGAGGGAGGCTGCCTGTGTCGCACTGGCATCGGGCAGCAGCACGGGGGGGCGGGCATACCGTGTATGAGGGCGTCCTCTGCTTGGAGGTGCTGTCGTAAGTGTCCTTCCCAAGGTCAAACTTGTAGGAAGGCAGGAAGACGATGTCCGGCTCCTGGAAGCCCCTGAAGACGGACCCTGCGAGGGGCCAGCGCTCAGCCCTGCAGCCCCTGCCCGCTGTCCCCACTGTCCCTGCTGTCCCCGCTGCTCACCCCTCTTCATCTCCCTTGTGAGCTGGTCCTGCTGCAGCAGCACCCGCACGGCCGCCTCCCGCTCCTGCCTCAGCGCGCCCTCCACCGCCGCACGCCCGCCGCCCAGGCGGAAGTTGAAGTCTCCAAACCAGAACACCGCATCGAAGCGGGTAGTGACGTCCGCTGGGCACACAGGACAGCGTGTGGGCACCACCCTGCCATGCCTGCCGTGGCCTCAGCAGCAGGCTGGCAGCCTGAGCCCAGTGACAGGGATCTTCCTGTGACGCCCTCCCCTAAATCACAGCCAGGCAGTGGCTCCGGGGCAGCACCCGGCCCAGGCTGGTGACCAGGAAGAGGCCCGACAAGCTGCCAGCCTGGCCCCACCTCACCTGCACTGGAGCGGTAGGGGTTGGTGTCTGGCACGTTCCTGGGCAGGGCCAGGGCTTGGACGGTCCTGCTGTAGTCCAGCAGCCGCTCTGCCACCTTCCCGTCTCCAGCTGTGGGGACAGACTCAGGCTGGGGGCCTGGGCTCAAGAGACTCGAGTCCCTGCCTCGGCAGGGCTCTGACCACCTGCCCAGTCATCGGCGTGGGGCTCCCCACGGAGCTGCCTTGGGGGGCAGCGAGGCTGCTTGGCAGGGACCTCACAGGGCACCAGGTCCCATAGGGCACAGCCTGTGGCCTGCAGGGCACAGGGCTCCGCAACCAGGACCCCTGAGCAGAGGGAAGGGGCGAGGGGCTGGCGACTCACAGGTGAAGTGGGAGGTGATGAACAGGAAGGAGGTGCCGAAGAAGGTGAAGCTGGCGCCCAGGGCGCCCTTGGTCTTGATCTGGGACACGATGCGTGTGGTCACCGTGGCGCACTCCACCTCTGTGGGGGTGGGGCAGGGTCAGTGCCCTGCGGCCCACGGTGGCAGGAGCCACGGCGGGCACCTGGGGCTGCGGGACCCACCTGAGCAGAACCAGATGAGGTCCCTGCGGATGAACAGGCACAGGTACAGCACACCGTGGGCTGTGGAGGACAGCAGCACGTAGCGCGGGCCCAGGGTCTCCTGCAGCCGCACCTCCCACTCCCGCCTGTGGTGGAGATGACAGGAGGTGGGTGCGGGGCTCCTAGCCCTGCCACCTGCCTGCAGCCTGAGCCCTGGAGAGGCTGGGGACCCCGTGACTTGACCTCGCCTTGCAGTGGGGATGCTGGACAAGCCGAGGGGCGCTGGGGGCCACAGTCAGAACTCCGGGAGCAGCAGCCCAGGTCCTCACACTACCGGTGAGCGCCAACCCCAAGCCCCCCCAAACCCACCAGACTGCTGCCACTGCTCCCTGCCAAGACCTCTGCCTGCCTCGAGTCTCAGGCCCATGAGAGCCACAGTGACAGGTCCCCAAGCGCTGTTCTCCGGGGCACCCACTCCACAGCGCCCAGACTCCTCACGTGCCTCAGGTGCTGTCAGGTCATGTGGGCCAGCAGGGCCCTTCAGGGGCTGCCCAGAGCGGCTGGGCATGGCAGCACACGCCTGGGAGGCTGGGCTGCTTAGGGAGGCTGCCTCAGAATGAGCAAATGAGAGCAGGGCTGGGGATGGGGCTCAGGGCAAAGGCACTGCTCTCACTGCCCTTACACTCCCCATCCACTACCTGTTTACAAGAAAGCAAACAGCTTTGTTCTAAGTTCTCTGGGCCTGGGGCAACCACCCCCCCACACACACAGGGTGGCCCTACCTGTCAGAGCAGCCCTCCTGCACACCGACGACGTACAGGTCCTGGGTGTAGTCGGCCGCTGCGGGCAACAACAGCTCATCCAGGCTGGGCGGCAGCTCCTGCAGAGAAAGCCACATGGTCTGCCAGGCCCAGGCTCCCTGCAGGCTGGGAGGAGCTGGGGTCCCCGCTCTGCCACCCTGAGTCAGTCACAGTGTCTCCTCTGAAGGAGGGGAAACCAAGGCTGTACGAAGAGGTGATCTGACCACGGACTCCCACGGAGCCGACATGCCACACGCAGCCCACCCTACCTCGGTTTCCTTTTCTTTGCACCTCAAGTCTGACTGAGGTGGTGTCTGTAGTCCCTCCTGCTGTGGCCCAGCTCATGGGCACCTGGCCCCCAGCCTGTGCCACCCCAGCACATCCCCCGACTCCCAAGCCTGGCCCCTCAAGGAGCCTCGAGGCCAGAGGTGCTGCTGGGATGCTGGGTCTCCCGAGGAGGTGCCCTTCGCACCCCACCTTCCCAGCCCATGCCAGGGTTGCAGGGGCTGCACAGGCTCAGGCTCCGAAGAGCATGGCACCTCGGCTGCTCACCTTCTGGCCCTGCATGTTCCAGGTGACCACGAAGAGGGCCACGCTGCGGTCAGGGAAGTACTGGGCCAGCTCATCCGCCCCCAGCAGGGCCCCGCTGGCCAGCAGGCTGCCCTCCAGGTAGCTCCTGTGGGGACAGCTGTATGAGGCCAGGCCAGGATGGAGGTGCAGCTGGAGGCTTGGGCTCAGCCCCTGAGTCTGGAGCACCGCAGACGACTCGGAGCCCTCGGAATGGGGCTCCCAGCCAGGGAGCAGTGCCAGGGTCCACCTGCTGCACAGGCTCAATGCTCCTGGGATGGGGACGTGACAGTGTCCCCATGCTGTTGTGGAGATGACACCTGGGAGGGCAGAGGACCTGAGATGCATTTGCCTGCCATAAGCAGGCAGCAGGAATGGGGCTGCCTGGCTCTCCAATTTTCCTGCAGGCCAAGCCCGAGGGGGAGTCTGGAGAAGGTGTAAAAGGCTGCGTGTGAATATGCCCGTATCCAAGACACACCTGTCATCCCAGCTCCTTAGGAGGCTGAGGCAGGAGAATTGCAAGTTTGAGCTCAGTCTGGGCAACTTAGGGACACACTGTCTCAAAAAGAAATAAAAAGGGTAGGGACATGGCACAGTAGCAGAAGGCTTGCCTAGCACATAAGAGGTTCCAGTAGCGAAAACAAAACCATGATGCAAATGATCAGACCGCCAAGCAGCGCTCCGATGTCCATAACACAAGGCACACTTTGCTGAGGACACACTTGCCGGGGACACATGCATGTTCCCTCTGTAAGGAGATGCTGCATGCACACAAGTGCAGCCCTGTACCACCTGCCTGGCACACCCCGGCTCTGCCACCAACATGCAGGATCTGGCACACCCATGTGGAGTGACAGCGCACCTATCCGCCCAGAAACTCTGAAGTCCAAATCACACCTGCTGCACCCGCTCCTGGCTCACCAGTCTTGCCAGGTGTCCACCTGCTAAACGCTCCACCCCAATAACTGAACACCCAAAGGATCCATACCCACCCGCTTCCTGGACCCGGGCCCAAGCCCACCTCTCTCCCTGGCCGTGCACCAGGGCTAAGGACAAGCTGCTCCCCACTAGGGCCCAGACGATGTCCACTCTGCATCTGCTCTGCCTGTGTCTCTTAACTCTATGACGAGCCAGGCGTGGTGGTGCACACCTGATCCAGCACTTGGGAGGCTGAGGCAGGAGGCTCGCCATGATTTTGAGGGCAGGCTGGGCTACACAGTGAGTTTAAGGCCAGCCTGAACTACATAGTGAGACCCTGTCTGAAAAAACAAAAAAATTCTATGATAGCTCCCGTTGCGCCCTCCAGCCCCACCCCAAGCCGCCCGTGTGCTGGGAGACCCAGTGGTCTGTCCCACAGAAGTCCAATCCCTGCACGGCCTCCACAGGTGCCCGTGTGTTGGGGACACTCGACCAGATTCCTTCCTGCATCCAGGCAGGGGCCTGAGGGGCGCTAGCTCCGCCCGTGCCAGCCCCAAGATTGCAGAACAGAGGAGCCCGCTCGCAGGACCAGGACCCCTGCCTGAGCCATCCATCAGCTGCAGTGGGAGCCCCGAGGGGTCAGCTTTTCAGAGCCTTGCCTCTTGCTGCAGGGACACCACAGGCCTGACTCCTGCATGTGACCCCGCCTCTCTCGAGGGCGCTTTCCCCAGGACGTGGGGAACAGGCCGCAGCGAGGCCTGGGGTGTGGAGATGGTGCTGTGGGTGACAGCAGGCAGCTGGGGACACCAGGGTGCAGCGGCTTCTCCAGGGCTGGGCTCACCCAGCAGCTCGCGGCTGACCTCGAGTTGCCCACCCGCCGGGCCCCACGCTGCTGACACTTCCGTAGTGGGTCTCCTTGCTGTGTCTGTCCTGCTCACCGTGTCACTGCCCTCCTCCCAGGTCCCAAGAGAGAGGTCAGCAGCATCAGTCCATGGGCGTCCTTGTGCTTTTCAAAGCCCCAACTCACTGTCAACTCCAAGTTGCTAAGAAAATCTTACACCCTTTTCCCGAAAACAGACACTGACTCTCAAACGTGGTGTGGTGGCGCACGCCTACAATCCCAGCACTTTGGGAGGTTGAGGCAGGGAGACTGCAAGTTCAAGGCCAGCCTGGGTAAGATGATATCTCCAAGTAAAAACTAAAAAGAGAGCTGCAGCTCAATGAAAAGCCCAGGGTTCAATCCTCAGTACTGCTTAAAAAAAAAAGAGAGAAGAAGAAACAAAGAAGGAATGGAAAGACTCTGTGGCACACTGGGCAGGGGATTTAGCTCAGTGGTTCTGGCACCTGCCTCGCAAGCTCGAGGTCCTGTGTTCAATCCCTGGTACCAAACAAAAAACCAAAACTGTGGCACACCAGTGCAGCAGGTGCTGCGAGGAGCAGGCTGGCCCCAGGTGCAGGGAGGTAAGGCAACCTGTGAGACTGCAGGGACTGAGGGGACCCAGGACATGGCCACCCCAGGCCCAAGGACTGGCTCTGTGCAGACAAAACAGGTTAAATCTCTGGGTCACCCGGGACTTACAGTGGCCTGAGCTTCCAGGACAGCACACGAGTGAGCAGCCACAGCTGGAAGAAGGGGAAAGGAAGGGTCCCCCAGACCCTCAGGCCGGGCGGCCAGCCCTGCCTCCAGAGCCAGGAGAGCCGGGATCCCTCATGTTCAAACCACCTGAGCCACTACGTCTGTGGTCTCTGGTCCAGGCAGGCCTGGAGGCCGAGGCAGGAACACTTCCCACCTCTCCCTGCATACACCCCCTGCTGGGCCACAGGAGGGTTGGGGGCCAAGTGCCCCTACCAGGCCGGAGCCCAGGGCCCAGCACAAGAGCAGGCCTGGAAGGGGAGCTCATGAGTGGGCACAGGCTGCGATCTGTCACGTCGTCACAAAGCATGGGAGGACCAGGACTCCGGACAGCACTGGCTGTGAGACTGAGGTGCCCTCCCTGACCTGCGTGTGTCTGCCTGGGGTCCCTGGGCCAGGCAGGTCTGCATCTGCCTAACGTCTGGGTGAGATGCCAGCCTGTGTCCAGCCAAGGCGCCCCACAGGAGTCCTGCAGGAGGCAGCGGTACACGGCGAGGTCATTTATCCAAGTACACCGGGCCTGTGGATGGTGCCAAGCCACCCAGGGTATGGGGTGCCTGCCGCCCAGGGCGCTAATTACCAGAACACGGCTACAGGAGGTGAGGCCCTACCTGCTGCGGACATCCTTGGTGCGGATGGGGGCCAGCAGGCTGAAGGACTTGGCCGAGTGCAGAGAGTGGTCGTCACAAGCCAGGGGGCTCTGGGGCTGGCTGGGGCCCAGGCTGCTGTGGGCGCGGAACAGCCTGGTCGGTGTGCCCTGCTCACGGTCGGCCTGCTCCGAGTCCACCTGGCTTGCGGTCCTCAGGGCTTCGGAGGCCATGGTCATGGTGGGCTCTGAAGAGGGTGGCGGGTGTGGGGCGCGCAAGGTGGCCAGCTTGGGGGAGCCCCCGGCCAGGGTGGCCTCCCTGTGCAGGAGATCCAGGGAGGTGCTGACCCTGCCCGAGAGACGCCCGCCCCAGGAGGTCAGGCTGCCTCCCGCGCTGCTGACGGCCCGCCGGGGCTTCGAGATCTCCTGCAGGGACGTGCTCAGGCAGGGCAGCGGGAGACTGCGGGCCGGGGTCCTGGGAGCTGGGTTCTGCATGGAGCCCCCACCGGGGCTGGCCTCGACCCGGGCGGCCAGGTCCTCCTGGCTGCTTCGGAACGGCCTCCTTCTCCAGCCCCTGTCATCGAGGGACAGGGCTCGCTCCATCCTGGGACGCATCGCGGGGTGTGGGGTGACAGGCTTTGCCGTGGCCGGCGGGGTTTCGCCATCGACTTTCGCGCGATCGTCGCGAGGGAGCGTGGGGCCGTCCTCGGGGGCCGCACAGCAGGCGGCAGGCGGGGACCCCGGAGTCGGGGGCAGGTCCTGGGCTGGGGTGGGAAGCTGTGCCTTGCGCATCATGCCGGCCTCCGGCTGCCCGGGAGCCGCGGTGTGACGCAGACACACGGCCTTGGACGGCATGGTCGGCGGGCCGGGCTTTGCTGGGGCAGCCGCTCGGAGGACGCGAGTCAGGCAGGCGCGGTCAGAGGTCGCGGGCGGCGCCCTCGGGTACGGGCGGCCACATCCTGGGTCCCGGTCCCCACGCGCCCTAGAGGGAACCCGGAAAACTGCCGTTAGTCCCCGGGCCCCTCTGGGACTGCTCGCCGTCCCTGAAGAAGGTCCCGGCGAGGCGACCAAGCGGGCGGCCGAGGAGCCGCGGGGAGCCGATTCGCAGGCGCTCCGGCCGTCAGAGGCACGCGGGATGCGGCTCACCTGGCCCCGCTCTCCGTGGCTCTGCCCCGGCGGCCCAGAGTGGGGTCACGGCGGACACGGTCCGCCGAGCAACCGCGGCGCCCACGCCCGGGCCGCCGGGAAGACACCGCCCCACTCGCCACGCCCCACCGAGGGCCGCGCTCCGCGCACAGCGGCCCCTGGCGGCCGGAGGACCGCGCCACGCCGGCAGCGCCCCCGCCCATTTCTCCTGGCCCTGGCCCCAGATCACTGGCATTCACTCGTCCCCAGAACACAAAGGACACCACAGGGTTAGGTGCTTGAGAGGCCAAAATATTTTATTTACCAATTTGCATTTAGGAAAAATAGCAGCTCCTGCCTCGGAGGAAGCTTCTTAGATCAAAAGTGGCTGGCAGTCGATGCGGAGCCTGGGCAGGGCTGGACTGCAGGAACCCAGGCGGTCCGGGCGGGGGATGCTTCCCAGTGATGGGCCGGGGGTCCAAGCAGCCTCGTCTTGAACCTTCTGGAAACTACTCTGGGGTCTCGCCTGGGGAATGAGGTGAACCAGGAAACTGGGGAGGGCTATGCTAAGCTAATTCCACATTCTACTGTTTCTCTACGTAAAATACCAAACGAACCGTTCATGTTCCCCCAGCAGAACCTACCACATTACCTACTGATTTCATAAATATCTGACTCTCCCCATCACCTCAGTCCCCACAGGTCAGCGAGAGAAGTTTTTTTTGGTACCGGGGATTGAACTTGGGTCCTTGCGCTTGCGAGGCAGGTGGCGGAACCACTGAGCCAAATCCCCAGCCCTAGCGAGAGAAGTTTTAAGAACAGTCACCGGGGCTTGAAGCTCGGCAGTGCGTGGCCCGGTCTGGCGTGGGCACTTGGTGGGAGGCCTCTGCGAGCCCCTTCTCTGAGCCCGACCTCACTGGCGTCTCCAGGACAGGCATCCGTAGGCCGGCACTCGGGGTGGAACCCAGACCGGCTGCTCCAGGACAACAGCTCTCCAGATGATAGCGCCATGCCACCGGCTCAGGCACATGGAGTCACCCAGCTCCTAGTTAGGCTGTATGTCTTCATTCCCAGAAACAGGCCCGCGGTCACCAGGGCCTCTCCCTGCTGCCACCCACCGCCAACCATGGGAGTGCAACAGCCAGGCCACAGCAGATCGGGGCCTGCTCCTCTCAGGCCGAGCATCCACTCCTTCCTCTCGTGATCCTCACAGAAGTGTGGGACCGTGCCAGGCCCCAGCTTCCCTTCACTGATGCTCCCAGGTGTCTGTGAGTACCGTGTCCCTAAATTATACTTAGCGACTGAGGAAGGAGAATCATCCTTTATGTGAAACAATTTGGGTCAGATTCACGTAACCAGCATCCTAAAGGGACCATGGAATTAACTTTGCAATAATGAATACAGATAGGGCAGGAGGAGGGAGACGCACAGTATGACCGGCTGAGTTACTGCTGTGTCTGCCTGGGGACCACCAGACCCTGGGTGGCCTGTCCAGCTCTTGGGAGAAAACAGTCATTGCAGGGTCCCAACTGCAAGGCCAGATGATGGACGGTGCTAGTTGAGTGCTGGGTATCTCCGCTGGCCAATCCTCCCAGGCCTCGAGCTCCCTGAGGTGGCAGAGGCCTGGAATAAAGGACTGGTAATGAGCTCTACGTGTCACCTCAGGGAGGCAAGCCCAAGGGGCTGTGGGGTGGGGTGGGCCTCAAAGAACGTGGCTGGGGACAAAGCGCACACTCAGTGTGGGTTCCCAAGGCTGAGCACTGGTGAGTCAGGCCCAGGCTTTGGTTTACGGAACTGGGCTCCAAGCATCAGTGTTTCCTAGCACACAGGGTCACAGAGCTAGTTTTTTAGGCCAATCCTGCAGGGATTGTCCAGTGAGCCCGGGGCAGACAGTGGCTTGGGGCCTGTCTGTCTCTGTGGGGAGCAGGGATAGCAGTGAGGCCAGTGTTCGCCCTTCCTCCCTCAAAAGACCTGACTGATGTTAAGAACAAGGAAGGAAGGAGAGGAAAGATGCTCCGATCTGGAAGTTGCAAAGCAGAGGGATGCAGGTGGCAACCGTGACGCAGCTGGGAGTCTCAGCCAAGCCAGGGTGGGGTGAACTGCACATCTGGGTGCCAGAGGCCAAACCCAGCTCTCCTCCCCTGGGCAGCACCACCTCAACCGCCAGCTGGACTACAGCAGGCTGGGCCCGAGGTCACAGATATCCCTTCAGGCTGCAGTGCCCCACGATGCAACACCTTCAACTTAGAAGAGAAGGTTTGCCTGAGGGTTCCACCCACCCAGCCTGAGCCAGCACCCAGACAGCAAGGGGTCCATATATAGACAGCTGTGCGCCCTGCCTCAAGATCCCGCTAGAAGTGCAGCACCAAGACACAGTGGTTGGCCTGGGGAGGAACCAAAGGACCCTGAACCGGGTCCCAGGGCCTCAGAGGAGAGTGCTGGGCCACAGCCTGCCAGCTGGAGGCAACACCCCAATCCCAGAACAGCACATGCTGCCCAGCTACTGGACCAACTCGGGACAGCCACACTCCTGTGGCCCCGGGAAGAACAGAGGTGCTCACTGGGGCCCGCCCAGCGCCTGGTGCAGGAAGCTAGGAGCAAAGGCCGGGGCCTGCAGAGCCTAGCAGCAGTGACAGGAGCAGACACCCAAATCAGTGGTGGGAACCCCCAGAGGGACAGGTGGTGGCACGGACAGAGGACTGGTGACCGAGCCTCTTCACACACCTGCTGGGTGCAGCTGTGACGGGAAGGAGAGACCCTCTTAGTTGGACAGGCAAGGCCACTCACCTGGGTGGGGCTGTAGAGGGGTGTGGCCCCACTGCCAGGGCCTCCTGCTGCACGTTGGTCGATGGGAGCCTGTGAAGCAGAGAAGTCCCTCAGCGAGGCAGCACTGCACAGTGTTGCTGTCCCGGATACGGACAGGACCACTCCTAGGAAGGCCCGAGAATGCACTCAGGGGCAGGCTGGGCAGTGCTGGCAGCACTGGATGTCATCGGGGGTGGCTCACAAGAAAACAGCAAAAATCAGAGCGGCATGCAGAGCAAAAGGCTTCAGACACCAGCACATGCAGACGGCACGGGCACGGTGACGTCCCATCAGCCCAGCGGTTAGTAGGCCTGGAGCTCGCCCTGGAGAAGCCAGGGGCCAACGTGCAGCCACCAACAGCCCTGGGAGCCTGTCCACTGGGCCCACGACACACGCCAGAGATGGAGTTTCTCTACTCCGCACGTGGCCACATGGCCAGCAGGTCACCCCTGCTGACCACAGACAGACGCCCTGAGGCAGGAGGACAGCTCCCTTCCACTGGGGTGTCCTAGCCGAGGACAGTGCGCGGCCAGGCCACAGGACCAACACTCGGAACCCCGGGCCAGGAGCAGAATGACAAATGGCATTTGTGCACCCTCCACTCGAGGGCGGTTGAGGAGGAACACTGTACCCTAGTGGCGTGCAGCATGGGTCAGACATTGAGGTTAGTGACAAGATGCATTGGGCGAGGAGGGGACACAGGACACACGAGCAGAGGCCTGGCAGCCTGGTACCTGCTGGAAGTGCTGGCCCACTTCCCGGGACAGCGAGCTCACCGAGCTCCAGCGCGACAGCTGCGGACAGCAAGAGCAGACACACAATGTCACAGGCCAGCCTGCAGTGAGCCACCACTCGTCAGCATCAGGGTGCGGCAGGGCCAACGGGACACAGTGAGCCCACAGCCCTCTCTGTGGTCTGTGTAAGAAACGCCCCTCTGCCCAGAGGGCTGGGGGTCTGCCTGGCTCTGGGGCAGGCCAGCTTCACCTGGTGCCACCTTGACATTCAGGACACTCAAGCCACATGGGACGCTGACGGAGCGGGGTGGACGTTGGCCCCCCACCCTCTACGTGGAGCTCCCAAGTGACAGTGGGGAGACAGGTGTGAGCTTTCTCCTGGGATACAACTTGCTCTTCCCTACTCGTTCCCATAGCTAGGTTTTTTTTTTAATAGGGTTTTTTTCTGCTTCTTGTAGTACTAGGGTCTGAACCCAGGGCAGTCACCTGGGCTACATCCCCAAGGATTTGCTAAGTTGCTCAGGCTGGGCTTTTTTTTTTGGTACTAGGGATCAAATTCAGGACCTTGCGCTTGTGAGGCAGGCGGCAGCACCACTGAGCAAAATCCCCGGCCTGAGGCTGGTCTTGAATTTGAAGTCCTCCTGCCTCAGCCTCCCAGAGTGCCGGGATGACAGGTGTGAGCCACCGTGCACAGCTAAATCATTCCCTTAGTTCTTCCCCGCCCTGTACCGGGGATCTAATTCAGGACCCTGTGCTTGCAAGGCAGGCACGGCGCCACTAAGCTGCATGCCTGTTCCCTTTCCCTCAGTTCTTACAGGGCGAAGCCACCGGGCAATGGAAACGAGCTGCTGGGAGGGACCTTGAGGGGAAGTGTGTGCCGGGGCCCCTACCTCGCCGCCCTGGGAGCGGTCCAGTCTGGAGGGAGGGAGCTCAGGACCCGGGGGCAATGCTGCCGAGCTCAACACCTGCCGAGGACACGGGGATGTGACGGCGACCCAGCCCCAGGGAGCTGAAGTCTCTCGCACCAGGCAGAAAAATACGCCCAGGTCACAGGCTGGCCCCAGCCCGGGCTCCTCTGCCAGTGGGCATGAGGGGCACCTCCCCAGGACCCTGCCCACCTGTAGGCTCTGGGCCCCAGAGGCTCTGACAGGACAGCAGCCTAAGCCTTCTGAGTGGGCACCACCGTTGCTCCCATTACAGAGAGGAAGCAGCTCGGAGGAGGGAGGGCACTGCCACAGCAGGGGCTTGGGACACCCAGGCCCGAGCTGCTCTGCTTCACCTGGGGCTCACCTGCCCTTTGTAGGTGAAGATACGCTCTGTCTAACTTCTGCTGCTGCTAGGTAATTTCTTCTTTTTTTAACTTGGGGTAATTTTATTTTTTTCTCATTTTAAAAAATAGTGGTGAAATATGCATCTCTGAAACTTTCCAGCCTAAGCAGTTCTCGGCACAGGCAGGGCACGCGCGTGTCCTCGTGTGGGTGGCTGTCACACCTATCTCCAACGTTTCCTTCCTGCCTCCTGGTGGAAACTGTCCCCAGCCCTCCTATGTCCTGCCACTGTCCCTTGTGAAGCCTGAAATGCCAGAAGCACAGCACCACACATGTGTACATCCTGGGTGCCACATGCAGAGGGAGGGGACCCTGGCAGGTTCTCCCACGATTTCCACCTACCTTGGGGTCCTCCACAGGCTCCAGATTGGCCAGAGCCCCAGCTGGCACCTGCCCCCTACTGCCAGCCCCATCTGCAAGCGGCGGCTCCTCTGCATCTGTGAGAGAGAAAGGCAGGGCCATCAGGCACCTGACCCAGGGGTCCTTTCCCACAGTCAGGGGAGGCCAGGGCTGCTGAGCGCAGGTTCCGTCCTCGGCCCCAACCCACTGTGGCCACTCAGCTCAGAGAGACAGGGTGGATGGCAGAGGGAGTCTGCTCCATCTAGTGCTGCCTACCTGGGCTGGGTACGAACACATTAGGAGGGATCGGGAGTGGGGCGAGCGGAGCGAAAAAGTTTGCAGGAGCAAGAGCCAGCTCACTTCGCTGGGCGCCGCCTGGGTTCAGGACGTCCACGTAGCGAGCCCTGGATCCACCTGCCGGGAAGGTGCATGTTCACCTCGCTGTGTCCCAGGACAGCAGGCCCCCACCTGTGTCAGTACCCCAGGTAGTGACCCTGACTGATAGGTGGGACGCATCTGTGCCCACAGGCCGACGAGCGCACTGCCCAAGAGCCGGGTTCCAGCCTGGGGGCTTGGCCTCCTCCACACCACACCTGCTGGCCCTCAGCCCTACGGCTCCCAAGCTGGCCGAGTCCTGTGCACAACAGGGTGTCATTACCTGCTTTCCTGGAAAACACGTTCACGGAGGCTGCGGGAGGACCACCTGGCCCAGGGGGAGGCCCCTGCAGGGCCCTGGGTAAGGCTGTGGGAGGCGGGGGCGGAGCCTTCTTCTGCAGAGGGAGAGACAGCTCAGACACCCGCCTGGCGCCCAGAAAGCCAGCCAGGACTCCCCAAGAGGAGCCCTAAAATACACCGGCAACAAACACCTGAAATCACAACATACCTCCTCTTCCGGCTCATTCAAGTTCACCCACTGGTTTTTCTTTTCATCCCAGACAATCTGCCAAGATTGTAAGAAGAAAAAAATCAGCAGGCCAAAGCTCAATGGGATCTGGACCTGACAAGGAGGACATTCGCTCGTGTCTGCTGGCCCCGAAACACGGCGTGAGTCACCGGTGATAGGCGAAGCCGGAGCTCGGGACACTCACCGATTTATTCTTGTCGTCTGGCAGGTAAGCTTCCGTCCTCTTCTTCCGGGGAAGCCAGCGGGAGAACCAGGACTCACTCTGAACAGAAAACCACCAGGACCCGAGATGCTGATCCGGGGCCGAGGAGGACATGGGCCCCAAGGGGCTGGAGCCAGAGTGCAGTGCCAGGGCCGGGGCATCAGGCTCTAGCAGGGCACTTTCGTATGAGGAGGGGAAAGGCTCTGGAGTCAGCCTGGGGTCAGCCGCGCAGCACTGCAAGTCACTTCCACTTTGCACTGTGCACTCAGAATGGGAGATGCCCGGGGTTTTTTTTTTTGCTTTTTTTCAATGAGTTACGGGGGTGATGCAATGTTCCTAGCAGCACCACAATACCAGGTCGATGCGCAAAGGGACAGAGCAAGCCCCTGTTCCATCTCCCAGCTCCAAAATTCCACTAAATACATGGTCCTCAGACTGGGAACAGGTCAGACATCAGACTGATAAGAACAGATACTATGGCTGATGAGGCCGAAAAGTGACACACACACACCCTCCGTGTATGCCCCCCACCTCCCTGGTTCTAGGGCCTCTCCCGGCCCAGACAAGTGCTCGCCCTACACAGTGCCCTGCTGCAGTCCCATCTTTAAGAAACAAAACCCAGAAGGGCGGCAGCCTTGAGGAATGAGCTGCATGGGCAACCAGGCGCTCTCCTTGCCGAGGGGGAGGCAGGCAGCAGAGCCAGGAGGGCCTTAAAGCAAAGCTGCCCCAGCCCCCCACCCCAGCCAGAGTCTGGGGAGAGGAAGTGTACTCTATGTCCCACTTGTTGAACTTTGTTCCCATTATAAAGGAGAAAAAAGCAGTACCAGCTACAGACACCCCCAATTCCAGTCTTTTTATTTTTTTCTTACTATTTGGGATTAAACCTAGGGCCTCTTGTATGCTAAGTAAGCCACTGAGCTACCTCCATAGTCCTTTTGGGACAAGGTCTTGCTAAAGTACTCAAGATGGCCTTGAACTTTGCATCCTCCTGCCTCAGCATCCCAAGTAGCTAGGATTACAAGTGTGTGCCACCATGTCCAGCTCCCATTCTGTTGTTCTAGGAACTGGCCGGGGGGGGGGACTTGTCCCAGGGGTCAGCACGTCTGCTTACTCTGAAAGCTACTGGAAGCACTGTGTGAATCTCACTCTTCAAACTCACTATTTTCAATGAAACTTGTGTTTCTTTTCACAACACTTGCCACACGAGCATAGTCTGATACCCCAGATCCTCTGTGAAGGCACAACCGTGTTCTTAAGACACCAATAAGAACACAGAGGCCACCAGTCGGGGGGTGTCCACCTCACCAGGACTTGTACCGCGGCCCGGAAGGACTCCCACAAACGAGTAAGGCGATCGACCCACTAAATATGAAGGACGACCGCTGGGTGTGGTGCTGTGCACCTGCAACCCCTGCTACTTGGGAGGCTGCGGCAGGTGGGTTCCAAGTGCGACGCCGCCTGGGCAACTTGGCAAGACTCAAATAAAAAGCAGAAAAGGAGCTGGGCGTGATGGCATACGCCTGCTATCTCAGCACTTGGGAGGCTGAGGCAGGACTGTGAGTTGTTGGACAGTCTGGGCTATACAGGGAGACCCTGCCTCAAAAAAATAAGTTAAAGGGGCAGGGATTTAGCTCAGTGGCACCACGCCTGCCTTGCAAGCTCAAGGTCATGAGTTCGATCCCCGGTACCAAAAACAAACAAAAACAAGAACAACAAAAAAAAAGTTAAAAAATTTAAAAACCAAAATAGTCTGAGGATGTAGCTCAGTGGTACCCCTGGGTTTGATCCTCAGTAATGCAAATAAAACAGTTTTTAAGAAAAGCTAAAGACTCGAACAAACGCTATGCAAAGGGTAGAGAGCGCAGGTGTCTGCCAAGGCCCTGCACCAAGGCTGCCGGGATGAAAGCAAACCACACAGAGCCCCCAGCCTGCCAAAGCCAGGAAGCTGGGGTGCAGGAAGCTGCCCCTCTGTGGCCATGCAACCCGCACAGCGTTCGCCTAAGCTGAGCATGCACACGGGGTCAGCAACACTCCTGGCTGGGACAGGAGTCCGACAGCAGCTGGCACCCGGGCCAAGGTGGCAGACGGACCCACAGGCACTCTGTGGCTTGGCTGCCACACCAGGCCGAGCCTCCTGCACACGCCACGGCACACAGCACACACACGGCCACGCTGCCACCACACAGGCGGCTGCCGGACTCCACCAGGTCCTCTGCAGTGACAGGCAGGAAGCGTCCTCACTGACCAGGAGCGACAAACACAAAAGACTCCTCCAGCTGCCATGCCCAACACCCTCGCAGTGTGGATGACACACAATGCCAAAGAGGACCTCCGAGGTCTGCTCTCCCTGGCCCAGGAGCCTCACCTCCTCCTGCGCCGCCCACCTCTGCTGGCTGGATGGGTACCCGGGGCCCTGCTCTACCTTCTTGGGTTCTTTGGTCTCTTTCCATGCTGCCGGCGCTGCTCTCTTGGCTTCAGGTGCAGGTGTCAGAGGCAGAGCAGGCTGTGGTGGTCCTGAGCCAGCGCTATCCCAGGCTGGGGACGTCTCCAGGTCCTGAGCCATCCTCGGGGAGCCCTGTCCCAAGACAACATGGAGCTGGCTCTCCTGGGCCTCTTCGAGAGGAAGCGGCAGGGCAGGGAGGTGCCACCAGGGTCCCCGAGGGCAGGGGCAAGGGGAGCCACGCCAGCCACGCCTAACAAGCAGCTCCCCCAGGAGCGCCGCGGTACTCGGAGTGCACGCTCAGTACCAGGAGGCCGTCACTGGCCAGGAAGGGCATGAACCGGAGGGTGGGATGCAGGGGGATTGGACAGTGAGATCAGAAGGTGAGATCAGAGCCTGGCAGGCAAGGTGTGATTGAAACAATAGAAGGGTTTCTTCTTTTCTTTGGTACCGGGGATGGAACTCAGGACCTTACGCTTGCGAGGCAGGCAGCGGAACGACTGAGCTACACCCCCGGCCGCAATAGAAGGGTTTTTGAAAGTTGCCAGTGTTGTGATGACACTGCTGTCAACACTTAGACCCTGACTCTGACTACTTTTCTGGGCACAGGCAGGACATCTGAATCCATGGGTGCAGAAGGCTCCTCCACAGCAGAGGAGCTGCCTACAGACAAAACGCCCACGGGGCCAGTGTCTGTAAAGAAGCTCCCGGATGGGTTTGTGCAAGAGCCTTGGGACCAAACACCTCTGCTAAAACCAGCTGGGACTTCAGGGCCGTGAGTTCTAGTGCACAAAAGGCACCAGGGTCAGGGAGGGGCCCCACTTCAGAAAATTAGACAATGTTAGTGTATTTTGCTATTCTACTTAGAGGAGTTGTTCTTTTTCCACTCTTGAGTTCTCCCCATCTTTTCCTACCAACGTTTTCACTAACTTTTCATATTTTGAGGATTAAAGTGATTTTCTCTTTAAGAATCAAGTTAAAAGATAATTTCATAGCCTTCATTATTTCCCTCCTCACAACTGAAGAACGTACCTTGTCTATAAACTTCTCACAAAGCATGGTTTTAAAAAGAAGCAGGGAGAGCTGGGGATTTAGCTCAGTGGTTCCACCGCCTGTCTCGCAAGTGCAAGGACCCGAGTTTGATCCCCGGTACCAAAAAAAATAAAATGAAGCAGGGAAGTACCAGATTAGCAAAGTTTCCGCCAAAATCCTCTTCGCTTGGCTCGGGCAGTGAGTTTCGGACAGGTGACTCCCGCGGCGCCATCCCTACTGACACAGGAAAGAGGGCCGTGACACCGCCACCCTGTGCATGAAGCGGGACCTGGGAGCCATCTGAAAGGAAGACGAAAGTCTCCCAAGCGTGCTTTAAAGCCACGCCTGCTTCCCTTGGTTCACCCAGATCCAGGGAGGCAGGTGCAGATCAGGGGGAGGAGCCTCCAAACCCGGCCCCTGCCTCACACGGGAATCTGCAAGGGCAGCCTGTGGACAGGCCCACAGATGCCAGGACCACTCTGACGCACCCTGAAGAGCCGTTATGCTTCCCGACATTATAAACCTCCCGGCTGTAACTTCTGGGACTTCTGGTCCACACAGTCTCTGCCTCTGGTCACCCATGGAAACCAAATCCAGCCTAGCTCTGCCCTCGGGATGCCACCTGGCAGACACACCTGGGTCCGGGCTCCGGGCCTGCAGCAGGGGGCCACTGTCCTGCAGAGACGGGGCGCCAAGTGGCAGGCCTGGCCCAGGGTACAGAGCCATAGGGTCAGGCCTGGGGGTCTCTGGGAAGCCGAGTGCAGGCTCCTGGGTGCCCAAGGCCAGTGGCACTGAGAACATCGGCACCCTGGCAGGGTGGGGTGGCTGGCCACCAGGGAGAGTCTGCAGAGCTGTGGGGACAGTGGAAAAGAAGGCAGTCACTGGGGCTGGAGGAGCCTAGTGCACATCGTGGACCATACAACTCTTCCCAGTTACTCTGGGCAGCCACATTCTGAGCAGGGAGGCTGAGAATACCCCTCACCAGTGGTGTGCAACGAAAGCATACTTACTCCTGGGGTGGGGCAGGGTGGCCACAGGGCCTGGGCTCCGCCCCAGCATGGCTGATGCAGGCCACTGTGTGGCCACCAGGCACAGAGCCCTGCTGGTTCACCGAGTCCTCTCCCCCAGCACCAGGAGTCACAGGCCACCCATGGCACAAACATACCATCCACCCAACCCGTGGCCAGGGGCCGTGCCCGCCGGCACACGCTGGCCACCAGCTGCACTGGTGACAGAACAGGGTGCCAGGCACAGTGGTGCACATCTGTGGCCCCAGCCGCTTGAGAAGCAGAGCCAGGAAGATCACTTGGGCCTGGGAGTCTGAGGCCAGCATGGGCAACTAGCAAGATCCCATCACAAAAAAACCAAAACATTCTGGATGGGAGATGAACCAAGAAGGGGATGAAGGAAGCGCTGAGGAGAGCTGCGGGGTGGGGGGTCTCCAGGGGAAGAGGGTGGCACCTGACTGGGAGGGCCTGATTCGGGCTGGGGCCCGAGCTGCAGGCCCGTGGGCCACTGCGAAGACCTGTCCTAGCCAGGCAGGCAGACGCAGAAGGTGGCCAGGGCAGGAAAGGCACTCACTCGCCTGACCAGGCAGAGGTGTGGGGTGCACGTGAGAGGACCGGGGGGCAGGGAGAAGCAGGCTGTGGGGGTGAGGGGCCCCTGTTCTGACAAGGTAGGTTTGGGAGGCTGCAGAGAAGCATGAGGCTGAGAGGCGGCCAGAGCCCAGGGGCCTGGGCCGGCAGGGCAGGGGCATCAGTGTGGCCAGTTCTGAAACCAAGCGAGGAAGCACAGAGGCCAAGGAGGCCAAGAGGCCCCCGGACACCCAGTGGCCCACAGCGCCTCCATCCTCCGGGCAGGAAGACAAAGGGAGACCCTAGAGAGCAGGCTGGCCCTCCACGGGACTCACCTGAGGGTGGCAGCTGCCCGCCTGGACTCAGGCCCTCTGGGCCGGGGAGCAGGGAGGGCTCAGTTCCCAGCCCCACCAGCCGGCCGAGTCCTGGGCCATCCAACTGCTCCACCTCAGAGCCTGGCGTGCTGGGACAGCGCCAGGGTTCAGCTCCATCCTGGCTACAGGGCACGGTGCCCTCCTAAGGGAGGAGAAGCAGGAGCTGCAGCCCAGGCACCTGCACACAGCCCTCTGCCGCCAACACGTGCTACCCCCCTTCAGGAAGAAGGCAGCCACCCGATGCCCGTGCCGGGCGGGCAGGGAGGAGCTCTAAGAGCACACACATGTGCTTCTGAGGTCACAGCCTCCAGATCAAATGCCTTCCACGTGGAAACCACAGGGCGCAAAGCGACTGCCACACTCCCTGGGCAGCCCCCGGACAGACTGTGCCTGTGGGAGCCAGCCGGGCCTTACCTGGATCTGGCTGTGCACGTGCTGCAGCTGGACCAGCCAGGCGGGCTCCATGAAGGACTCTTCCTCTGGCTTCTCCTTCAGCTGAGGGTCAAAGAGGCACAGCTGGGAAGCCACCTAGAACCCCAAAGATGGCAATGAGGAAGGCCCGTCCTCTGGGCCCATGCTGGGGGGGATTGTGCTCGTGGGCAGTGGATGTCTCCCTAGCGTGCTGTGTGCTGGCACCGAGCCCATGAAGCTGGGTGAGCAGAGGAGTCCAGGGGTGGAGACCTCCAAACACACACGGCTCTCTCAATCCTGTGCTCAGCTGATGCAAGGAGGTCACGTTCCCCGGTGGTTCCTGGGGATGTGGTGGCTATGTGTGAGGCCGGTCTGGCACGTGCTACTAACTGCTGGAGGCAGTGGACATGGACATGGATTCAGGACTGTTCTCTGTCCTTCTGTAGAGGTCTAAGATTTCTGCCCTCTCAGATTTTCATAGTTATCACATGGGTGCATTTTCTAAAACAGAGCTACTGGTGGGGGAGCTATCCCAACGTGTCAGCTGGCCATGCATCTCCATCAAACAGGTGAGAGGCCCGGGGATTTAGCTCAGTGGTTCTGGCGCCTGCCTCGCAAGTGGAAGGTCCCGAGTTCGATCCTCGGCTCAAAAAAAAAAAAGAAAAAAAGTGAACATTAATTATCAGTTCTTTGGGGCCGGAGATTTAGCTCAGTGGTTCCGGCGCCTGCCTAGCAAGCGGAAGGTCCCGAGTTTAATCCCTGGTACCAAAAACCCCCCCAAAAAACCAAAAACAAAACAAAACAGGTGAGAGGCCAGGACCCCAACCCTGACCTCCAGGCTAAACGGCTCAAATGTGAACGACATAGGGTCCTTCTGACTTTGAAACCACCACTGACTCTCTGTACTGGCACAAAGTACTGCTACGCTGAGACTGCAGAACACAAAATGCCTGTGCCAGTGTTCAGCTATGCCAACAGGTTCTGGGCACCTCCTAGAGTGAGCACTTGGATTGTGACGCTGACCCCACAGGAAACCCCAGGGCACCCTCAGGGTGCAGACCCACCTGGACCAGCTGGCCGATCAGCACGGGCGAGTAGATGTCGGGCTGTGTCACGATGCTCTTGGCAATCACTTCGCAGTAGTGGAAGGCCTGGGTGGCAAGCCCCATCTCGGCCAGGCGGCAGCAGTAGATGAATTTAAACACCTAGCACAATGAACACAGCTTAGCTCTCTGGGGCTTCCCTGCCTCTCCTAACAAGAGCCTGCAGCTGTGAACTGCTTGCCAGGCTGGTTCACCACTGCCCCACCTGCCCACCACTAACAGTACTTGTCACCATGCTCCAGGACATCATCAGGTCAGAGGACACCACTAAGCTCCTAAGAAACACAGCTGGCCCCCTGCAACATGCTTCCTTTCTTCTTCCCTCTTTTTTGTGGTCCTGGGAACTGAACCCAGTGCCCTGTACATGCTAGACGAGCGCTCTATCACTGAGCTACACCTGCAGCCTGCCTCAACCCCCCCAAAGAGCCAGAGTCACATGTGTGTGCCACCACACAGCGAACTGGAGAAAGCCTCACTTCCATATGGTTTGGTTTTCCAAGCATTATGGATCAACTGCCTCCCCAGGAAGACGTCCCAGAAAGCTGTTGGGAGCAATGCTACATAATTTGGGGGAAAAATCATTTGATTAGGCCTAGTTCTCCTGCCTACAGGCCAGCTATGGCATTTCGAGACAAAACTCCATTTTGGCGTCCGGCACAGCTAAGACCTCAGTGGTTGGGTGATGCTGTGATGCTTCAGGACAAGATTACAGCAGCTGAAGACAGCCTGGGAGGAACCAAATCTTCATCTGCATAGGTCCTCATTGTTCTTGGATTTCCGCAGCCCCCCAGTCATCGGTTACACTTGTTTCTCCCGATGTGGTAAGCTGGGGGCTTTCGTCTTTGCCGCCCAGAGCAGCACTGATCAGGCCCAAAGCTCAGCTTCTTCTCCAAGTGTCATTTCTTCTACCTTTCTTGTTTAATAAGTTAATTCACCATGTGCTCTCGTGGCTCACAGGAAACTAGGACTCACTGCAGAGGTTCTAGTAATGTCCCCTTTCCCTGTTCCCTACAGAAAACTTCATTATTTGCATAAGGATTCAAAAGGGCAGGTGAACCCAAAGCTGGTCAGCACTGGCCACCACCCACACAGGAAGGCTGGGGCCACATCCTTCCGCTTACCTGGAAGTTAGGTAAGCAGCAGGTCTGGGCCCCAAGGGACTGAGCATACTCGTAGGCTTCTGTCCTTTGAATAGCCTCGTTGGTGGCAAACTTCGAAAATGGCAAGCTGTAGGGGAAGTGAATTATTCAGATTGGAAAAGTGGCCAACTAGTGGCACCATCAGCCTCGGAGCAAGTCACCCAGAAGTGTGTCCCCCGGGGTGACAAATACAGGCAAAAGGCCAGTGATTTCCTAATGAACTACAGGACAGGGATCTGTCCTTCTTGAAGGCAAGCAGACACCGCGTACTTCCTGTTCCTCACCTGTGATTCGATCCAATCAAGACGAGCTTTGTGGTTTTCTTCGTGTACACCCCAAATCCAACCTGGGCCATGAGGTAGCAGAAGTGTGCAGCATCCAAGAGGCCTTTGGAGGCTGGCAAGAGACAGAGCAGCTGGCTCAGCCCCCAGAGAAACAGCCATGGGGGCCCTGGCCAAGTGGCAGCTGAGGCCCTGGTGACTCCTGGCACAGCCCCTGTAACCTGGCTGGCACCCAGCCTCGTGCTGACCCACCAAGGGTGTCGCCCATCGTGGCCATGGTCCTGGACTCCACATCCACGTTGTTGCTCAAGTTGGACAGAACCATGGCAAGGTGCGGCCTCCAGTCTCCCCACTTCTCATCTCCACAGCACTGCGACGAGAAGCAAACAGAAGCAAACCCTCGAACCTGGAGTGTCGCTTGAATGTCCTCATGGTTGAGCCCACAAGAAAGCAGGAGCGAGAGATGAGGGACCAGGCACTCACCGTGGATGCGGCAGGCATGCGCCCAGACATGAGCTGGTAGACTGTCTGCAGGGGGTCATTGATGGGGAGGCTGTTGGCAAACCTAGGCAGACACAGGAATGTTGAGACCTGACTCTGGCTCCACCTGAGAGCCCAGCCTAGGCCCCGAGCTTATACTTAGTTGCCACACAGATGCTTAACCTCAGCAAAGCACACCCAGGCCCACCTAGGAAAGCCACCAAGTGAGCCGGAGGAGTTCCCTAGAGAGGAGGAGGTTCCACAGAGAACACAAAGAACCCGCAGTCAAAAAAGAAAGGTAAGGATCCCTTGCCCGCCAGCAGGAGCTGGGGAGGCCATGTGGGCCTAGGAGCCGCCTGCAACAGTCCCCAGCACAGCGGGCTATGCGCGGAGCTACCCACCTGGTCATGACGCGGGCGTGGGTCCGGCTGTCCATCTTACTGGCCAGGAGCAGGGCGTGACCCCACAGGCCATTCTTCATGGCGGACTCCAGAGCATCCTGCAATGCATTTCAGGGCTCACTTGAGCCAACAGTCACTCCGCGTTTGCCCGTGGCTGGGACTAGAGATGTCACCATGCCTCACTGTCCCTAGCTTCCAAGTCCCTGGCCGGGACAAGGACTGCTATCTCCATGTCAGTGTAAGACACGGACCAGGTGGAGCCAGCCAGCAACACCCGGTCCTGGCCACCCAACTGCTGGGAGCCACACCACGTGCTCCAGCCCCCCTATCTGGGTGATCGCACACCCCCACAAATGACCTGGCTCAGCACCACATTAACACAGCTGCCCTACTCAAACCTTCGGGGGTGCAACGGCACTTCTGGCCAAGAGGAAAAACGTGAAAGGGAGGTGAGTGTTAAGCTCACCAGGTCAAATAACCCCAGTTACTTGGTTTTTTCTTTTTTTCTTTTTTTGGTACCAGGGATCAAACTCGGGTCCTTGTGCTTGCGCAGCAGGTGGCAAAGGCACTGAGCTAAATCCCTGGCCCCACTTGGTTTTTTTTTTGAGGCAGGGTCTTGCTATTAGTGCAGGCTGGCCTTGATCTCACAGCAATCTTCCGGCCTCAGCCTCCCAAGTGCTGAGACTACAGATGTGCACCACCACACCTGGCTCCCAGTCACTTGTAAAATGTCCATATTCCAATTCTACTGATCCAATATGAGGGGTTTTTTTTCCAGTGCTGGGGATCGAACTTGAGACCTTGTGCTTGCAAGGCAGCTGGCAGAATCATTGACCTACATCCCTGGCCCCCAATATAAGGGTTTTTTTTTTTTTTGGTACCGAGGATCAAACTCGGGTCCTTGAGCTTGCACAGCAGGTGGTGAAACCACTGCGCTAAATCCCCGGCCCTATAAGAGCTTTTAATGGGCACTAGTGCATGCCTGTGGCCCCAGCTACTTGGGAGGGTGAGGCAGGAGGACCACTTGATCTCAGGAGTTGAAGGCCAGCCTGGGCATCACAGAGGAGCTCCATCTCAAAACATAACTCTCTGAGCCGGGCTGTAGTTCGTGTAGCGACCCAGCAACACTCTACCTGCTCCTGCCCCGCCAAAACAATAGAGACCTCAGCTCTGAGTCAGTCACGGTGCAGGTGGACAATGAGCTCCATGCACGGCACCCAGGCCACGGTGCCACGGCCGCCCCTCAGCACACCCTGAGCTGGCTTCCGCTCCCCCGCCACACCAGCTCAACCTCAGTCCCTCCACTCTGCCCAAGCAGAGGAGCGGCCACAGTGCTAACGCCTGCGAGCGGCCTGGGGTGAGCCTGTCTGTTTACACTGCGGATCGGGTCCGGTCGAGGCCTGGCCCGTGAGGACAGGGTTAGCCGCCTCCTGCACACTGTGCACCATCGCCCCAATGCTCTGCAGGACAGAGCCGCACGGGCACGGCATCCCCCCTCGCGTCTGGAGCCTGTGAGCCTGACACAGCACAGCTCAGCTGGGAACTCCTCAGGCCGCCCAAGATGGCAGGCCCGGGCCACACGGGCTCCCTGCTGCTCCGAGACACTGGCTGGCCTCTGCCCTGCCAGGCGCCAGCCCAGGCCCACCGGGCACATGGCGCACCCGGCACCATGACCGGAGACTGTACCTTCTTGCGGCCGTAGAGCAGCAGCTCCCGGAACCTCTCGGTCTCCTTCTCCAGGGTGCTGGTGACCGCCGCCTGACTGTCCATGAGGAAGGAGAGCTGGGCCTCGCCAGACTCCTCCTCCTCCTCCACTTGCTCCACAGCCTCGTTGGTAAAATCGATCAGGTTCGCCTCGTTGGGTGACTTCCCAGGAAGCCACACAGTTCTGTGGTCTCGCAACAATAGCTCCGCAATGTCTGTTCCCACCACGGTCTGCAGGGTCAACAGGGACAAGATGGAGACGACAGGAGGCTTTCCTACAACAGCTTCCAGCAGGCAGGACCACCCAACTATCTCCACGAGTGGACACATTAGGACACTGGGGACCAAAGCTGGGCTCTGCACCCACAGTCTGCCACGAGGGTCAGCTCCTCAGCTCGCCACACGCCCCTCTCCCCTCTCCCTTCCCGCCATCCTCCTCACGATGCTCTCCTAGCGGGAGCCGGGTCATGGCAGGCCACAGACGGGGATGGAGCCCAAGACCTAAGGCCAGTGGGGAGAAGTGCGGCAGGAGCCCAGGGCACAGACCCCATTCTGCCGGCACAATAGGATAATGAAGTTCCAGAGAAGACTCGCAGATTCTTTGTCAAGTAGATTCTCATCCTGTAAACATTTTGTCGCTTTGTTCTGTGCAAAGTTAATAACGTCCACTTTGTGGGTCTCATCTCTGTAAGAAGAACAAACGCTTGGTGAACACTGACACCGAGAGCACAGGCCCAGCTTGGCAGCTGCCACCAAACCCTTGCCAAGACACCTCCCCGGAAACTCACTTGCCCAGGGGTCCCGGGAACGCACGCAGCTCCTCCTGCTCTGCTGTGTGCTGCAGCAAGGTCTGCAACAACAAGAGACACCGCACCAGCTTAGGGGGCAGCCCGGCAGCCACATGGGAGGGGTGCCCCTTAAGCTGCCTCGCAGGCTCCAGCAGGGCTTTCAGTGAAGCAGGGAGACCCAAGTGTAGGGTTTTCCCTCAGAACTAAAGCGGGGTCCCAACACCAGGGACAGGGGAGGCTCAGGGGCCGCAGAGCACAACCAGCCCCACCAAACCCAAAGCAATATGCAAGCACATGTTCTCAAAATCAAGGCGCTAACACAGCAAGAAAGACGGTAACTGTGTTCTGAGGGAGACTGACGGCAATGTGTCTTTTACACATTTATTAATTTTTTGGGGGGTACCAGGGATTGAACTCAGGACCTTGCGCTTGAGCTGCAGGCGGCGGAACCACTGAGCTAAATCCCCGGGCCCTATCTTCTTTTTAATTAGAAAAAAGAAGCTAACAAAGACAGAAAACTGAGCCCAATAAAACCAAGCCTAACCCAAAGCAGCTGCTTGAAATGCTGACTTCTGGGAGCACAGATACAGACAAGCACCCCAAAGCCTTCCGGTGGACGGTCCCCAGGAGTACCATCTCCCAAGGCCTCGCTCCCAGGACGAGTGGCGGCCCAGGCCCGCAGTACCTCCATGCTGTGGACCTCCACCAGGGCAGGCTGGCCTTCGGAAGGCAGGTTGGGGATCACCTTGATGAGCTGACTGCCAGGACCGAATCTAGCACAGAGATGTGGCACTGAAAACTTCTCGGGAGACGTCGGTCTCGACGGAACTGTATTTGGGCAGACAGGACAAGAGACAGACAGCTCGCGACTTCTCTGTGTTCTTGCACCTGACCCACTCCTGGCAATGAGGTGAGCTCAGCCTCAGGCTGCGATGGCGCAGAGCACCCGCAGAAACCGTCAAAGGCCCCAGGCAGAAAAGGAGACTCTTAGCTGAGCTGAGGCCTTAACCAACTACGAGAGCAAAGCCACCATCAGACTGCAATTTCACACATTTGTGGTTTTGTTCCATGAGAGAGCACGGGGCCGAGCACTCTGGAGGGGAGGCTGGAACACAAGCCCCCCCGGGGCGGCTCACTGCCTGGTCGGCGCCGGGAGCACGGAGGGCCACTGCAGGATCTGGGGCCAATGCATATGGGGACACACAGGCAGCCCTCAGATACACAGCCAAAGTGCACCCTGAGGGAGGAGCGGGGCCAGGCTCTCGGGTCCTGAGCCCAGACTGCTCCCTGGTTCTGACCCCGGGCGGGTGGCGGGTGGCAGGTGGCGGCTGAGCCGCTGGGCCGCACCTTGCTCCGCAGCAGGCCAGGTGTCCACGGGATAGCCATACTCTGAAAAGCCATGAGCGCCACTGAAGTTGCTGCCGTAGGTACCGTAGGCGAAGTCTCCATGAAAGGAGCCTGGGGGAGGGGGCGCCTCAAAGGATTCGGCAGTCACATTGTGGCTTCTGTAGATCTGACTCTTGGGAGAGAAAGCACACGGGGTGAGCTGCGCGAGCACCAGGAGGGCTGGCTGCAGGCTGGGAGCGGCGCCGGGCCGCAGTGAGTACCTGGTGCGAGTGGGAGCTCAGACTGCTGCGGCGGCTGGGCAGGCTGTGGGTACTGTGCAGGCTGCGTGCCGAGTGCTCACTGTGCACGCTGCGCCTGTCCACCTCCTCCCCATAGGGGTCCCTGTGCGGCTCTGCGTCATCATCGAAGCTCCCGGTGAAGCGAGGGTCGTACCTCCAGTGGTCATCGCCCTTCTCAGGCCTGCAGCCAGCCAGCACCAAGCACGGAACGGCAGAGGACACCCACTGCAGGAGCCCCCAGCCTCAATGGCCCTCCCAGCTCACCACCCATCACCAGGCACACGGCCGTGTGGGAGAACAGAGTCGGCCCAAGGTGCGGCAACCCTCTCTGGGCTGAGGCGGGGGGACAAAGAGGCCCTCAAAGAGGGGCCTGGGCCCAGGCTCTCCTCACAGCCCAGAGCTGGAGCCCCGGGCGGAGCAGCCCAGCCCTCCTCTCCCAGGAAGTGATCGAAGCAGATGCCCTGGCCACTACTCTGATACAGCCCAAGACCCAAGGGTGGAGTGGCCAGCGCTCAGGCCTGAGCACCAACCTGCCGCCGCCATGGGAACAGCTATCCTTCCGGGGCGGGTCGTACTCGGAGCTGTACCAGTACCTCCGGTCCCAGGTGCGGGGGTCCCGGAATTGGGAGCCATAGTAGCGGTCCCAGCGGCCCGCATCTGCGGGGAGAGTGCAGGGATCAGAGCTGGCCCACACCAAGGCCCAGCAGGTCCCAGGGACGTGGAGCAGGCGCCCGCCGTGTCCTGCTCCCAGGCTGTTCTCCATACAAATGTTTTTGCTTAAAAGAACGAGCCGGGTACAGCAGTGCACAGCTGTAATCCCTGCTACCCGGAGGTCGAGGAAGGAGGAGCCCAACCTGGGCAACTGAGCAAGTCCCTGTCTCAAAAGAAAAGTTAACGGACAGCTGGGGATGGGGTCAGTGGTACAGCGATTGCCTAGGAGGGCAGCCCTGGTTTAATCCCCAGTGCTGTCAAAAAAGTGAAACAAAACAGGGCTGGCCAGGGATGTAGCTCAGTGATGTCGCCCCTGTCTTGCAACTGCAAGGTCCTGAGTTCAATCCCTGGTACCAGGGGAAAAAAAAAGAAAAAAGAAACAAAAGCAAACCTGCTAAAAGTCTTACTTTCTTTTTCATAGCTACTATTTTTCTCTTGTGATGCCGGGGATCAAACCCAGGGCCTTTAATACGCTAGACAAGGTTCTGTTACAGCTACACAGCTACACACCTCCAGCTTCAATTACTACTGATTGTTAACCCCAACCAGGTGTGGTGGTGCACACCTGTTATCCCAGCACTCTGGGAGGCTGAGGTAGGAAGACCTCGAGTTCAAGTCCAGCCTGAGCAACTTAGCAAGAGTCTGTCTCAAAATAAAAGTTTAAAAATAAAAAGGGCTTGGGATATAGTTTAGTATGAAGGCCCTGGGTTCAATTCCCAGTGCCACACACACAAAAAAGCTAATTCCTGGATTATAAAAATTAATTCCTTGATTATAAATTCCTGTGATCTTCCTGTGAACCAAAAGATTTTAAGAAATAATTTTAACATTAAAAGCTAAGTTTCTTGCTTGGGGGGGGCAGTACCAGGGATTGAACTCAGGACTTGTGAATGCGAGGCAGGCACAGCGCCACTGAGCTAAATCCCTGGCCCCGTTTTGTCTTTTGATATAGGGTCTGCCTATGTGGTCCAGCCTGGCCCTGAACTCACGATCCTCCTGCCTCAGCCTCCCAGGTACCAGGGTTACAGGCGTGCACTACTATGTCCAGCTAAAAGCTAAGTTTGAAAAAGACTGTGAATGCTGTCAGCAAGCTGGAAGGACCACTTTTGGGAAATGCGTGCAGAATCTCCTTAAAACAGGTACCAGCATTCAAAGGGAAAAGAGCCGTCCTGAGAAGCAGAAGGGCCAGGTGGGGGCAGCCAGCGGAGTCACAGGGGGCTGCAGCTCCTCCAGGACACAGCTGTCCGCAGTCCATGCTGGGCCAGGCAGGCGTGGAAGCCCTGCGAACGATGTCCCAGGAAGTGTCTTGCCCTGGCAGTGGACAGGCCCACATGGCTGGGTGACCAGAGCATGGCTTTCCACCTGCTCACATCTGAGCAGTCCCAGAGCACAAGGCAGCCACAGAGCTTCGGATCGCTGTGCAGCTGCCAATCGACAGAGTCGCACGGGTGCCAGGGTCAAGATTCACGCCCCAAGGAAAGCATCTAGTGATGATTAATCCCAACCATGGAGCAGTGCCAAGGCGTGCAGGCCACCACACGCTGCACACCCACGGGCCGTCTCTGGACAGCGCGCCTGTGGCAGTGGACTCTAACATACCTCCATAGTTGTACTGGCCGGAGTAATAGTTGGCATAGTAATCACTCTGGCTGCTCCATCCACTCTTGGAACTGTAGTACCCTTCAGGGTACCCTTGCCTGAAAAGCACACAGGGCTGTTAAGCATACATTACCCCTGAACACATTCACAGTAAAGACTATAAACTACACTCACAGCAGCAGGCATTCATCAAAGCACTCTGGTCATGAAAAACTCTACTCAGAAAACCCAAATGGAGCCAGGTGTCGTGGTGCACACCTGTAATCCCAGCTATGCAGTAGGCTGAGGCAGGAGGACTGAAAGTTTGCAGCCAGCCTGGGATACTTACTGAGACTCTGTCTCAAAAAGTAAACAAGAAAGAGGCTGGGAGTACAGCTCAGTGGTACAGTGCCCTTGCTGGGTTCAACCCCCAGTATTGCCCCAAAAGAAAATCCAAAAAGGGGTCAGGGATTTAGCTCAGTGGTTTCGCCACCTGCTGCGCAAGTGCAAGGCCCCAAGTTCGATCCCTGGTACCAAAAAAAAGAAAATTCAAAATGGTAACAAGGACGAGGTCATGAATTCCCACCATGAGGTTAACAGAATTCAACTCAGCAACATCCCTACCTGACAGGGCTCAGTAGAAGTGAGCCGACCCTTCTGGTGTCCAGTGCCACATCCCATAAAATGTTTCTCATCTGCTCAGCAGGAGAAAGCACCCAGCCTATAATCACTCGAAGCTCCCACTGCAACAGCCGTGTGCGTGAGTCCAGCCGGCCCTGAGTCCCCACCGAGAGGGGCCAGCATGCGGTTCAAGACAGGCCTGGGGCCTGTGCCCAGGCCACCCACAGCCTCACCCAGCCCCAGCCCCATGCGCCTCACCAATCCACAGCCCTGCCTCTCCTGACAGAGAAGGGGGAATTAGCAAAATGATCAAGTACAAGAGAGTCTGGTACTTTCAAGATCCCTGAAAGTATTAAATTGTTTGTTTTTGTTTTGTTTGTTTTTTGGTACCGGGGATCGAACTCGGGTTCTTGCGCTTGCACAGCAGGTGGCGAAACCACTGAGCTAAATCCCCGGCCCTGAAAGTATTAAACTGTGTTTTTAGTTTTCCAAATAGCAAGCTTCATGCACTATTTGATTTTTTAAAATGTGACTTTTCTCAGCCCCTTCAAGAAAGGTCACTCAACCCAACACCAGAGAGGCCCGGCCACTGGTGCCCTGCTCCTCATCTGCTCCGCCACAGTAACGCTGGCAGCCTGCCTGAAGGCTCTGGGTTGCCCAGGAGACCATACTGCTCTGCATGGCAGTGACAGAGGGAAAGCAAGGGCGTGCCATCTCCTTGGAAGACACATGACCTGCAGGGACCTGACCCGCCCACACAGGGACTGCACTGCTCCTGCCACGCGCACTTGTGGGCAGGCACCCATCTGGGAAGGGGAGAAGGGAGATTCTGCCCAGGATGTGACAAAATCAGGCTGAGGACACTCCGAGGACCAGACAGATTAAGGACGAAAAAGCCCGCAGTCATGGAGAGGAACCTGGCCTTTCCACCTTCAGCCTTGCAAGAGAATCCCCTCAAGAGTCTGCAGGTGGCAGGGGAAGCCAAGCACCCGGCTCTGCCTCCTCCTCCTGCTCTCGCCCTGCCTGCCCTGTGCACCCCCTCAGGCTCCCCACCAGAAAGCTGTGTTAACGCAAACGCTGCTTCCCAGGCACATGGTGGACAATGGCTTCTCACAGCTGTCTTCTTTTTTGGCAGTGCTGGCGATGAACCCAGGGCCTTGTGTGCAAGGCAAGGGCTTTGCAGCAGGCCACACCCCAGCCAGAGCCATCAGCTGCACACACCCACACGTGTTTGGCGTGCACCTTTGGAGCGAGGTACACCAGGGCCGGCTAAGTGGGCAAAGGTTCACAGGCAGGGCCTTCTGTCTAAAATGCTCAGGTTTTCACACGTCAGAGCCCAGCGTGCCTGCCAAGAGGCACCACTCCAATGAGGAGCCACAGCAGCGACCAGCACCCACACCCCGTGACTTCACTGAGTCCACCACCGCCCAGTCAGGAGTGCACAGGTCAAAAGCAGCCGGTCGGGGCTGTGGGGATGCCAGCAGACCGCAACCTGGTTACGCAAAGGGCCCCTCAGCGAAGGCCCCATGCTGCAGTTCTCCCACTCTCTCCCCTGCAAACTGCAGGGAGGGGGCCTGCTCGGCCAGCACAGGACACACGCAGGTCTGACACCCACAGGCCCTGGGCCGAGGAGGCGGCACTGGGCACAAACCACGGGACCCAGCCTGCTGGATGGAGGACTGGGCCGTGTCTTGTGACCCATCCTCCCAGACCAGTAACAGCAACCCCAGTCTGAGAGCCCTAAACGCCCACCAGCAAGCTGCCAGGGTCAGGGCCGTGCCTAGCATCAGGAAGGCTCACCGTCCAAAGGTGGGGGCCGAGGATTTAGCTCAGCGGTTTCACCTCCTGCTGCATAAGTGCAAGGACCCGAGTTCGATCCCCAGTACAAAAAAAAAAACAAAGGTGGGAGTGCACGCAGGCAGAGGTCACAGCTTGCAGCTCACGAGGGCCTGGCCTGCCTGGGGGTGGGGCCACAGGCTAGGTGACGAGCTCAGCCCAATTTAACAATACCCCCTGCCATTTTCCACACTGGTAAGATGCGCACAGGTAGCAAGAGGCTTGTAGAATTCTCTATGGAATTTTCCAATCACTATGTCACCATCACGCAAGCATTAGCAATGCAAGCATCAGCCTGCGGGGAGGGAAGCAGCTGCAGGGTGCAGTGCCCACCTGGCAGGGGGTCGGTCTGAGCAGTGACTCGCTCGGGAGCTGGGCCGCTCAGGCTCAGGATAGCGGTAGTTCTCAGTGTACGCTGATGCAGAGCTGTCGTAGGGCCTGTATCGGGGCTCATACAGGCCATAGATGTCCTGTGGGAGGAGGAGGAACACGTTAGACCCCATCCAGAACAGCCATGAGGCAGCTCTAGCTGCACACATTCCCAACAGCAGGACCAAAGCAGGCTCCCTTCATGCACACAGAAACCCATCTGGTCCGCGACACCTGTTGTCCCAGCACTCTGAGAGGCTGAGGCAGGAGGACTGTAACTGCACGCCCAGAACAGTTAATTTAGCAAGACCCTGTCTCTAAAAAACAAAAAGGGTTGATGTAGCTCGGTGCAGATGTGCTGGGTTCAATCTCTTAAGACCACAAAGGGTAGGGAAAAAAAACCCAACAAGGCAAAGTCCACGTCAACATCCGGGCAGCAGAGCTTCCCCAATACTGCAGCCCAGCCCTGCTCAGGAGGCCCCTGGGTGGGCCTGGAGGCCAGAGTGTGGCCGGAAGGCACCGAGGTCTCTGCTGACTGAGGTAGAACATGTGTCCCACCTCAGTTCCTGCCTCAGGTGGGTAACAGAACCAGGGCTCTGTCTGGATGGGCCCTAAGGCCTGGGCAGCCTCAAGAGGACTGTATGGGACTCAACCAAGGCTCAGCGTCCCATGGCAAAACCACCAGGCCTCAGCCTGTCTTTAAGGAGGGGCCAGCTGGACGGGAGATGGGAGAGAAGCGGTGAGTGCAGGTGCAGCACCAACTCATCCCACTGCGTCTACACCGCCAACACCATAGCCTCATGAAGTCCCGGGCAGGGGCGTGCTCTGCCCATGACTGGAGACCATGAAGACCAAATGAAAGGAAGCGGTACCCAGCTTGGCTTCCTGGCGAGGGCCCGGGGCTCCCTGCACTCCACTGCCCAGCTCCAGCAGAGCTGAATGCACAGCGCTGAAATATCAAAGCCCCCGGCTCCTTCCTTCCGAGCCTAGGACGGCAGGTTGCAGGTGCTCACACAGACCAGTGTGAGGATGCTCTGGCCCGGGAGGCATAGCCTGGGCCAACACTCAACCAGCTGGCCCACATGCGGCAGGCCCATGGCTCCCAGTGGCACTGCCTTCTACCTCAGGGACGCTGGATCAGAGCCAGAGCTGAGGGGAAGCAGATAACAATCTAGCATGTCCACTTGGACCATGCTTTTTAAACTGCTGCAGGATTAAAGAGAACCTAAATCAAACAGCAGCCATGAGCTTGCATCACTGTGAAAAGAGCAAAGGAAGAACATGGCAGGGCCTCCACCCTCCTGGGGGTATCGGCCCATATCTGAGAGAAGTTTAAGGACTTCCCATCTCTCTTTGCTATAGCCTGCAGATTAATACTCCAGATCTAACTTTACCCCTCGATATTTTCATTTTGGTTTTGGTACCAGGGATCAAAGTTGGGACCTTGCCCTTGCAAGGCAGGCAGTGGAACCACTGAGCTAAATCCCCAGCCCTCAATATTTTTATTCTTTAGGAGAAATGAAAACAATTCTAGTTATTCCTATTTCTTCCTATGCTACCACCACACACAAACTTCCCAAAATGTACACTGCAAAACTATGCCCTATAGAGATCCAGCAGAAATCCCCTGCAAGTTTCCAGGAAACAAGGAGAGCTTTTTGTCCCCTAATTGGAGACACTGGGCCACACAAAAAAGGCACAATACTACCAGCAACCCAATATGCTAATGCTCAGTGGGGTCCCTTAAGAGGTGCATGTGAGGGGCGGGGATTTAGCTCAATGGTTCCGCCGCCTGCCTGGCAAGTGCAAGGGCCTGAGTTCGATCCCTGGTACCAAAAAAAAAAAAAAAAAAAAGAGGTGCAAGTGATGAGGGAGGACTCTTCCAGCGGCAATGGGTGGGTCTGGGTGAGGCAGATGGGTCATTATAGGGAACACATGAGAAAGGCCCAACAGGTAAAGCAAGGGAGAAAAGTGCCTAAGCATCAGTGTTCACTCTACCTGGTAACAGAGGGAGGCCGTCCCAGGGTCTGATGGGTATGGCGCTGGGTACTGAGCTTGGTAGGCATCATACAGGGGTCTGTAATAGTAGTAGGATGCCAGGTCCTGAGGTGGTGGGCCGAACACACTCGAAGGTGGTGGCTGCAGCCACGGCTGCTCAGGCCGCGCTCCTGCCTGGCTCGAGTTGGTGGACGTGGCCGACACACTGGAGGACTGAGGTGGCTGAGGCAGCAGCTTCTGGCCCACATCGGCCAAGGCTGAACTTGCTGGTGGCTGGGCTGAGTCCTGGGACTGTCTTCCTGTAGGGGGACTTTCTGCATTTGAAGCTGCTTGGGGCATCTGTGGGAGAGAAGCCTGTGGCTGAGGGGCCACCACCTCTGCCTGGGTTCCCAGGCCTTGCTGGTCCTGTGCATCTTCCCTCACCTGCTGGTAGAAATGGCCTGGGTCATGCACCCCAGGCCCCAACTGTCGGGGAGGATTGGCAGCAGCCTGCTGGGTGGCTGGGCCCTCCAAATGGGATGGGCTGTACAGTCTTGCAGGATTTTCCAAAGTTCTACTCGGTGTAAAGTCTAAGCCTCCAGCGGCCTCTTCCCGGTTACCAGAGTGATTTGCCTTAGTGCTGCTTGGCATCGAGGTACTGCTGGCAGGGGGGACTAACATCACACCTGTGCCTCCAGCAGGGCTATTAACAAACTCAGGAAGAACCTTTTCTGAATTATGAGTCTTCTGCCTTTCTAGCAGCGAGCTCTTAGAAACTGGGAAGGACAGCGGCTGCACAAGCAAGTTAGAAGGCTGATTGGAGGCCATTTCAGAAGAGCCAGACCCATGTGGAACATTACTTTGGCTGAGACCGTTAGGCAGAGACAAGCCAACCACAGCGCCGTGTGTGACTCCAGACAAAGCAGTGTGCTCACCAGGATCAGCACCAAGAGCCCAGCTGCTCACCGTGGATTTGTCCCCCACCAAATCATCTCCCCAGGACTGATTCTTCTCAGCAGGATTTAGCAAGGACACAGAAATATTAAGGGGCTGAGCCAAATTATAGCTTTGATCAGGCTGGGCAATCAAGACCGGCTGATTTTGCAAAGCCTCGGTGGGTGGTGAGGACAGCAAACTTGCATAACTGGAACTTGCCTGGGACTGAAGGGCTTCGTTGCCACCCACCTTGGGAGGGTTCTCCAGGTTCTCAGAAGCACCCACGTGGGCTTGGCTCTGCAAGGGGTGGGCAGGGCCTGGCTTCCGAGACTGCTGCCCAGGCAGCCCCTCTTCTGGAGGCTGAACAACCGCCAGTGGCTGAGGCTTTGCAGGTACATAAAGTGCAGGAGCAGCAGGGGCCAGAAGCACATTGCCACCAAAGTCTGCCAGCTCATTCTGTGCCCACAGAGTCGTTGCGGGGCTCTCGCACTTCGCGGGCCCCTGGGCCCTGGCTAAGGGCCTCTTCTCCAGAGTCGGGCGCACCGCATCCAAGGGAGGTGCCGTGTGTCCAGCTTCCCCAGTCTGGGGCAGAGGTGGGGGGCAGGCCTGGGGTACAAACAGTGTCTCCATGTTGTCTGGAGGTTGCTCCAGGTTGCCCAGGGAGGTGTCGGGTGGTGTGGCCACAGATCTGCACTTCTTCATGTGCTCATGGGTGCCCCTCACTTCACCCACCATGTTGGCGCGATCCGCCTCAACCGGCTTCACCCCAACTGAATGGGACTTTACTGGCTCAAAAGAACTATTTGCGCTTGTCTGGAATATCCCTGTAGGTTTTGGGGGGCTTGGGGTTGAGGGCTGGGACAAGGTGCTGTAGTAATTCTGGCTCCCACCGACCTCCTCTAGCTCGCCTCCCACAGGAGAAGAATCGATTTGCTTAAAAAAACTGCCTGTTGTCTCATCTTCAGGCTTTCCCACTTCCTGCTGGATGAACGTGCCCACCAGCTCCTGGGACCTGGCCGATCCAGGGAGACTCCGGTGGCTCTGGCTACTGTAGCTGGATGACATGCTGTCAGATCGCACTGGGTGCACGGGTGTGTCCGGGGCCTCGAGATTCAGCGCCCCACCTCGGGTGAGGCCCACGATACCGTGCCTGGAGACAGCTGGTGCGGGAAGGGGCCCATATCGGAACTGGTCACTTGAGGAGGAGGCGTCCAAACTTAGTGGCTCACTGGGCAGAACTTCTTGATTCTGAATGAATTCTAGGTTTTCGACATTCTCGTACTGTGAGCTGCTAGCATCACCAGTCCCTGCATTCTCTGTGTCACCCCAAGTGTCACTAGCAGCACTGTTAGTGGTTTGTTTATCGTTTTGGATGCCTGCAGACTGAGGGAAGTAAGGCTGTGCGCCTCCCTCCTGCTGCGTGGTCTCGCTGTGGGATCCCTGGAGAAAGGCCTGGTGGACGCCGCCAATGACGTGTGCAGGGCGGAGTGGATGGCCCAGTCCCGGGCTGGGGGAAAAACCATCAAAGTCCAATCGGCCAACAGAGCCTGCCTTTTCAGATGAGAGATTCTCCTCATTTTCGGTCTCTTCCCCTTGGAAAAACATGGAGAGCGTTCCTGAGGCTGTTTCCAGTGGGGCCTGGCCAGTCCCAGCCACTGGGGGGTAGTGAATGTGGTTTTCCGGGCTATTTCCCAGGGTAAGGGGATTCCCAGGGGCAGGGTCCTGGAAATGCTCTTTACTCAGTCCTGGATTCTGCCTGAACTCCTGGCTTTCCCACATATTCCCAATCCTGGACTTGTGCCCAAATGAATTTTCAGGGTGGAAGTTATCTGCTAAGTGGTTTCCACTTTGCAAGGGGGCTACCTCGCTTCCTCTGCCACTGGGCAAAGGTGCTAGAGATGCTAGCTGGGCATGGGGCTCACAGCCAGGCCCATGGTGCAGGCTCGACGGGGCAGGGAAGTAGGGAGTGCTGGTGGCCTGGGGCCCCATGCTCTGGACAGGTCCTTCTGGGCAAGGTGAGGGATGCTGCTGGGAGGGCTGGGGGCTGTCCTGCACTGGCCCCCACTGCGCTGGCATCTGTGGCCGAGGCTGGGGCAAGTACGGGGATGCTGCTGCTGCTGCTGCTGCTGCTGAGGCCACGCCACCCTCACTCAGAGTGTGCCTGCTCAGAGCCTGCTCCAGCCCAGTCCCACTCCCATGCCAGTGGCCCCCATGAAACGGGTCAGGACCTCCTCCTGGAATGTGGTGGGTTGGATGCAGCGGAGTCAGAACTTCAGGCTCAGAGCTGAAACCAACTTCAGCAATCCGGCTCATCTCATGCCCTGGCAGCGATGGAGGGATGGACACAGCTGGAAATGGATCTGCTCCGGGCTGTGACAGAGGTCCTGGTGGAGGCTCCTGGGGCCCTCGGGTACCATCTCCAGGACTGGCATGAGGCGCAGGCAAGCTAGGCCACTGAGAAAACACTGGCAGGGCTGAGTCATGCCCAGCAGGCAGGCTGCTCCTGGGAGAACTGTCCAGGGGGCTATTCTGGAGCACCTGTCTACTAAAAGCAAACGGATCCGTGACTGGTTGCTGTGGGCAAGGTGGAGCCGCCAGGGCACTGCTACTGGCCGGCCTCCTGTAGCCACTGCTACCCCAGAACATGCTCCGAGGAGTCCCAGCCGGAGGGGGTCCAGCCATGCCAGGTGGGAGCGTCTGGGGTGGTGGCTGCATGATGGGTCTCTGACACAGGAGATGCTGCTCACAGAGGAAGCAGGGTAAAGCTCCTCCTTAAGATGAGCTGGAAAAGAAAAGAAAAAATGAACTTGAAGTCCATATAGTTAAAAGTGCTGACTGCAATCAAGAAAACTATGAAAAAAGAGAAAGACCAGGGAGAGCACTTCCCTGGTGGGCACAAAGCCTGAGGTTTGATCCCCAGGATGCAAAAGAAAAAAAGACGGGGTTCGAGGGCCACACATGACTTTCAGTCAATGAAATCTTGAGGCCGAGCTCTCTCCCAGGCTCCAGCCCAGCAGGGAATGCTCATCCTTGGGAGCTGCGCTGGGGACTCTGGAGCGAGCAGACTTAGAACACTGCAGCCTGACCACTTGCGGCCCAGTGAATTGAGGCTCCCACTCACCCTGCCCACTGCCTCCGGGCCCCTCACCAAGGCAGGGGCGAGGTACAGGTGCCTGCCAGTCTGCAATCCTCCCAGAAAACACTCGCTAATCCTTCATGTTTCCCCACAAAGCACTGCTGGATCCAGAGAGAAGCAACTCCACTATCAGGATGGAGAAAGCCCGTGTAACATACTTTCCACACATGCTAATTTTGAATCTGGAAAACAAGATTGAACTTCTTTGCTCTTCTGGCTTCTTTAATGAAAAAGCATTATATAGTACTGAGTTATAAAAGCTACTAAATGTTTCTTAGTTCCCTGCATAAAATGTCTCACTTTTTGTATAGTGACTGGTTTCCTCTGAAAACTGCAACAAGGTTGCCCGTGACCCCTAAAGTTGTAACTAGGCCTGAGAGAAATCTCAAGGATATTTACAACAGATTCACAACTCTGAGGTTGACTGAATTCACAAATTTCCAACCGGAAGAGTTCAGACCTCTTCTAGAAAATAAAGGGCAATGGGCCAGGGATTTAGCTCAGTGGTTCCACTGCCTGCCTCACAAGTGCAAGGACCCGAGTTCAATCCCTGGCACCACCAAAAAAAAAAAAAAAGAAAGAAAAGAAAGGGCAAAATCTCACCAACTGTTGGTTGGTTTTGAATAAAATACAGTAAACCCAATCTTCACTAGCTAACCTGTTCTTTCAAGGCAGAAATTCAAGTTCTACACCTTGCAAGTCCTTATCTTTGCATCAGTCCATCTCCCCAGATCTGCTTAGCTAATTTAAGAGAAAATTAAACTGAAGGGAGAAATTTTGGAAGGCCTTTGGAGTTTAATCCACACTTCTCTCTTAGTCCCCAGAGTCTTCTTGATCAAAAGAAAACAATGATGTTTGTGTTATAAGTAAAACCACCTATATATGTTTCTAATCCCTTCCTGAAAACTAGTCCTATAAATCCATTCATTCACTGATATTAGCCAGGTGTGGTGGGACATGCTTTATGATCCCAGCTACTCAAGAGGCTGAGGCAGGGGGATCACAAATTCTAGAAAAGCCAGAACTTAGTGGGACCTTGTCTAAAAATAAAGAGTTGGAATTGTTGCTCAGTGATACAGTGCTCTTGAGTTCAATTCCCAGTAGCTCTAAGAAATTTATAAAATAAAAATAATTCACTCAACACTGCCCACATGGTCAATAGGGGACCCTTTCCAACTGCAAGCTCACTGAAGTCCACTCAAGTTCCACACACCCTCCAAGGACCAACAGAGCATGCACTGGTTCTGAGATGTCACCCTAAGACAACACTTAAACCTCACTCTCTAGGGACCAGACGCACAGGCCCAGCCTCCTCCCTCGGCCTTCTCCAGGTGTCCACCCAGTGGCAGAGCCACCTGCACCCAGCAAGTCCTCCCACTAAAGGCAGGACACAAACTTCCGTGTCCCTCCTGAACCCTGGCTACAAAGAGGAATGGGCTTCCCAGGCTGTCCAGTTAGTTCGTTGTTTTAAAGATTTAAAATAAAATGAAACACAGAGCACAGATCTAACAGGATTTGTTCCTCCAAAATTACTCTGACGGCTGAGTGGCTCAGGGAAGCCCCTTCCCCTCTGCAGCACACCAGGTGGAGATGCACATAAACCCCAGCCATAAAGATGAGAATATGATGATTTTTTCCTCAGGTCATTGACGGGTTTAATCTTATGAAACTGTACATAGGGTGGCTACTTAACAGGAAATCTTAGACTTAAATGTTTTCCTTGCAGGAATTTAAGATTATTTTCTCAACTCTACTAGACTAAGCCTGTTTCATAAGCAAACATTATCACCTACACAGGAGCCTCCCCAGCCCCCAAACTGCGACGGAGAGCTCTATGGCAGCATGCCAGTTTCATCTGGAACAATCTTATGACTCCAACGTTACTCTTTTTATCCTCATCACTACTAACAGAAAAACAAGGAACTGCCTATTATTTAAACACAGAGGACTACAGTCAATTTTATTCTGTGCAGCAAGTCACCTGACTGCCAAGAGGCACCTGTTTCAGAGACCTGCTGATCGTCTTTAAGATGCATTATTCATAAACCCAGCTTTTTAGCTACCCGCTTTGTATCCGTGGAAGTACTTACCCAAGGCCATCTGCAGTACGAGTCTGGGACTAGAGGACTGGGTATTTAAAACCACCCCCACCCCCTTTTTTTCTCATTGCCACGAGCCTCCAGCTGTAAGTGTGCAGACCCAAAGGAGCACTAAGAAACCACTCAGTCTCCGATTATGGTCTCCTTCACAGTGGCTGCTAGTGGCCCCATCAGACTAGGGACACAAGACCCAGCTCCAACCTTCCCAGCCAGAACTGGAACCAAAGACACTCAAGTGTTGAAGAAGGCAGAGAGGCCTAAACACTGCTAAAAGTGACAAAGACCCACAAGCACACTCTGACACTCATGAAGGATGTTTACAGAAGAACGGAATCAGTCACAGGAAGAAGAATGAATCACTTCTTTGCAAGACACCACCAGCACAGAAACCTTAAGAAAGGAGTCAGGGACAAGAACTGCAGGCAGGCTGCATTATGCTGAAACTTCAAAAAGTACCACACAGAAACTACTGGCTGTGGTTCTGCTGCTTCTTACTACATAAAATAGCTCTCTGGCTAACACCTGCATCCTACAGATTTGAAAGGAAATCTTAATGAGCATAGCTATGCCCAGTCTACCAGCCATTTAGAGACGTTTTTAAGTGAAACGGCAAAAACGGATTCCAAGTGGCTTGGTGCGTCTGGCAGCTCCGTTGTAACATCTGCATTCCTCTACCTCTGATGGAGAGCACCGTCCTCGACCTCCCTTGCGACATCCTGGCCACCCTGCCAAGAGATTACAAATAACAGTATCGCTGCTCCTCGGTGCAAACGTCAGTGCACCCACATCGCTGAAGAAAGTCTTCCGGCCAAACACCTGCAGAACCTCTGGCACAAAAAACACGCTCAACCGCCACAGAAACTTTCCAGGGGTCCCTTCGGGTTAAAAAGCGAGGTGCTGAGCGCAGGCCAGGCCCGGACACTGGGTGCCTGGCGGCCCTCGGCGGGCGGCGACGGTGGCTCCTCCGCGCCGCGCGGGGACAGGCCCCAGAGACGGCCTGGCCGCGCCCCGCCCGTCCGCAGGCACACCCTCGGCGACACGACGGCTGCGCCCTCGCTGGCCCCGGCGGCGTCCCGGGAGACGGGAGACGCGCTGCCTGCTCAGGGCTGGGCCCGGGCCCGGCCCTCCGCCGCCTCGCTCCGCCGGCCAGCCTCCGCTCCCCCTCGCCCCTCACCCTCGCGGCCGTGGCCGGCCTCTCAGGCGCCGAGGACCGAAGCCCACTCGGCAGCAGCAGCGACAAGCGCAGACACGGAAACCTCCGCAGCCATCTTGGCACATCCGGCTCCGGTAGCCGCGCCGCTGACGTGTCCGGCGGAGACGTCACGCGCCCCGCCCAGTCCCCGAGTTCTTCAGCGCTCTATTTCCCTGGTAACGCCCCCTTTGCCCCGCCCCTACCATAGTCCAGTCTTTCGCCGCTTTGTCACGTCATGGCCCCGCCCCGGCCCCACCACCCCTTGGCCCCGCCCCTCGCCCACCTGCCCGGCCAGTTGCCCCGGGACGTTGCTCTGGCTACGCTGTCTCCCACACTTCTCTCATTTTAGGATGTCAGGAGGGACGGGACTCTTTAATCATGACCCCCAGAGGGAACTGGCTTTGAAGGATCGAAGTGAGCAGTTCCACGCTCCCCGCCCTCCGAGAACGGCTGCTCCGCGAGCGAGCCCTGCAGCCGGCGCGTCCCTCCCTTTCTCGGTTTAGAGGCCGGCGGGGCGGCTGCGCATGCGCCGCTGCTGCCCCTCGGGAGGCTGGTTTCCCAGTTACCTCGTGCGGCGCTAGCGCCTGGAGCCCGGAGGCTGGCCGCGCCCACCCCGGCCCGCAGCTGCCGGGTCCTCTCGGCTGCCCCAGGATGCAGCCCCCTGGCTGAGCGCGGGACCCGGCCGTCTCGCTGTTCCTTGCAGTAGGGCGCTCAGAGTCCTCCACCAGGCAGCGGTGACACGGAGAGGTCACCGAGCTGGCCGTCCGCCGCTGCCCCTCCCTCCCATCGCTGGCCTGGCATCCAGCGCCGGCCTCCGTAAGGGCCTTGGGAAAAGAGGGTGCTGTCACCTGCACCGCTGCCCGGGAAGCCGAGGCAGAGCTGCCCCCTCGCTCCTTCCGGGGGCGCCGAGGAGGCGCGTCGGGAGGCTGCCTGGTGCCCGGCGTACCTGGAGGCAGGAAAAGGAGGGTGCGTGGTCTTGCTGCCTGTCTCGGGGACGCTGACGAGGGAGCAGCCACGCAGGCAGAGCTTGTCTGACGTGGCACCTGGGCCACTCAGCTATGCTAACATTTGCCTTGCAGGAGGCAGGTTCCCGGTGTGTTTGAACACAGGCTCGGGAGCATGTGACAGGCTCGACCCAGGCTACTTAACACAGCCAGGAACGGCCCCACATCCTCCTGTGGTGAGGCGTTCTGCAGCCTTTGTCCCATCAGAACCCTCTGCATAGCTGTCATTGTCTGCCATGGCAACAGAAGGGGACACAGAGGCAAAGCCGGCAGTTCTCACTCTTTAGGCTCCAGTGACCCTGCAGTGGAGCCCAGGCCTGGCCCCTGGGTCCCGACAAGACAGGGTCCTGCCCTGGTGGCCGTAATGCCAGCCTGCTCTGGAGTGAACCCAGGTCTCAGCCCTGAGCCAGACCCTCAGGGCAGGAGTGCTGGAGAGCCGTCTGGTCCCTAACAGGGGTCTCGGGGCTGCTCTCCCCTCCTTCCCTCTTCCAGCAGGAGACCATGCTCTCTGCAACCTGGCATCCTGCTGAGTTGGTCAGGCCTCTGGGGCGCAGAGCCAGGGCCCTGCAGTCACAGCTTGCCACTTAGACACTGTGCGCTTTGTTGACCTCCTTCACCTGCCTTGGCATCAGGCTCATCTCTTAAGAGACAGCAGAGCAAGCACTCAGATGAGTGGGGTGCTGTCAATACATAGGCTGGCCAGGCCAGTGGGCCTGAGCCGGGACTCGACTGTCAGGGCAAAGGCGGTGCAAGGTGACCGGGGTGCACTCGGAGGTGCCTGCCCACCACGGCCGTCACTGCCCCTGCCTGGTCCTCCTCCCGGCTTCTCTTCCAACCCTGTGCTTGAAGGCTGCACACGAGTACCTCCAGCTCCTTGCAGCTCCCAGGCGGGTCAGAGTCATCGCCCAGAGAGAGCCGCAGGACCCGGCTCATGCGCATCAGTCTGTGCCAGGAGTTGGGCAGTCCTGTCCGCCATCCTGGTACTCAGTCACTGTGTTCTCAGCACGGTCCAGTGTGATTGCCACTGGGCCTGGCCTGGGGCTGGCCCACACTGAGCTGGGTCCTGAATGCAGTGTCTCACTGGTGGTTTGTTACTGCATGTTAAAATTTTTTGATTTAAAATATACTATTGGGGGGCCGGGGATTTAGCTCAGTGGTTCCGATGCCTGCCTCACAAGCACAAGGTCCTGAGTTCGATCCCCGGTACCAACCCCCCCCCAACACACAAATATATATACTATTAAATTTACTTTCACCTGTTTCTTTTGTTTTGTTTTTTTTGGAACCGGGGATTGAACTCACGACCTTGCACTTGCAAGCCAGGCACGGTGCCACTGAGCTACATCCCTGGCCCGCCTGTTTCTTTTTAAAAGGTAGCTACTAGAAAATGTAAAATTCCGGGTGTGACTGACATACTATTCCTACCAGCCATGTTGGTCTAGAGGGGTGCACATGAGGTGAGAGTTGAGATCCCACACACAGCACCCCCATCTGGGGCTTGACCCCACCTGGGATCTGGCCTGGGGGTGGAAGCTGCCATGTGGAGCGGGCTGGCCGAGTGGTCCAGGCCCAAAGTGCACAGCAGTGGGGGGAGTCACCGGGGGCTTCGTGCAGGAGGAGGCAGAGGGCTGAGGGGGAGCAACCCGAGGCAGAGGCAGGTATGCCTGGGGCTTTGCTGGCTGTGTCTGCATCTGCTCAGGGGCCCTGCAGTGCATGGCCCCTGTCTGTGGGCCTCCCAGGGGCGAGCGCACGGCAGGAGTAGGGAGGGATGGGAGGGCCTGAGGCCATGGCAGCAGCCAGGAGGAAGCCCCGGCCTTTTCCCACCTGCTCGCCACCCGCAGTCATGGCAAAGCCCCCCAGACACGCACCACTCGGGCACCGCCTCACTGTTGAACTGCAAACAAGGCCCTGCATGTAGGAGGGCTCAAGAGGCTGAGGCAGGAGGGTTACAAGTTCAGAGCTAGCCCGGGGTACATCGGGAGCTCAAAGCCAGCTTGGGCTGCATTGCGAGACCCTGCCTCAAAAAAATCAGAGCCCAAAAGATTGCACTGTACTCTGTCCAGTGCATCCCAGGGCAGACATGTCGCCAAAGGGCACTCCTCTGGAGAGGTCCTGGCCAGTGCAGGCTCCCAGCAGAGGCGGGCACAGCACCCTTGGTGCCCACCTAGCTGGACAGCATAGTTGAGATGGCCTGTGGGCATCGGAGCGAGGGAAGCTTCCAGAGCTTTTCGGCTGGGAGTAGCCCCATCTGCTGAGGCTTTAGAGAGAGCCCTGCGCCTGGAGGCAGCCTCAGCAAGGCTGCTGACCCTGTGCACCCCACACGGGAACCTGGCTCTCCTGCAGGCCCCAGGATGGCATCCGCATCCACCAGTCACACATCAGCACCTACACATCACAGCAGGAGAGCCTGGGCCTGAGGCTACAGCGGCCAGTGGCCAGGGCTCTGGGAGGCTGCGGCCGGAAGGGGCTCTGGGGTCTGAGGTCACTCCTGCTGCAGACTCTGCCCAGTCCTCTCCTTCCTGAGTGTCCACTCCCCAGTCTGAAGGGCCTGGGCTGGGTGGCATGTTCCTACCAGCCCTCCCAGCCTCACAGGGACACGGAAACCTCTGGGCAAGTCACCACCCTCAGCCTCAGTGTCAGGAGCCATGGGCCAAAAGGGCACTAGCGGAGTATAGTCACCAGGGGGAGCCAGAGAGCCATCCCTGAGTGGAGTCCCGAGCTTGCTGAGGAAAGATGCCGGGTCTCTCCCAGTGGCTTTTTTCCTTCAGGGCCACCTCTCGTGATGTGTGGATTTACACAGAGCCCCAGAACAAGGCCGTGAGAAGATGTGGTGCAGGTGAGACACAGTGAGGTGTAAAAAAGAATTCACGGTGGTAACAACCAGACCGTTTCTAAGTCCTGGCCGGGCAGCAGCCAGCAGGCGGGAGCTTCCTGTGGGCAACAGAACCATCCACAGCCCCACGGGGCGCTCCAAGGGGGAAGTGCAAACACAGACCGGCATGCCAGAATCCCGGCGGTGGCTGGCCCGGACCCTCCGAGCAGCTGTAGGCACAGACCCCGGAAACAGCATGTCCCCAGCGCTGTCCCACACGTGCACTCCTCTACCCACAGTACATGTGCCTCCAGGCCCGAGACCCAGGGTAGAGGATGCCCAGCCCCAGGGGCCTCCTGGGACATGGTGCTTGGTGTGTCACTCTGCCTGGGACGACGCGCACCCTGCAGTGGAAACACCTCTGGATTATCGGTGCGATGGTGCCGTCCCCCAGCAGAGTGTCCTGAGCACACGCCTCTGCCCATGTTCCCTGTGTGGCTGAGGACTGGGCTGGGCGACCACGGATGCGTGGAGGGATGGCTCCTTCGCTCAGCTCCACCCAACCTCCACGTCCTGCTACTCGGGGAGCCTGGCAGGAGCTGGGTCTGTGGCTGCTGGTGCTCTCAGTACCCTCTGTGGACTGCCCAGGACTGTGCAGAGCCACACTTGGGGTTCACTCCAGCAACAGTGAGAAGTGAGACACCAGCGCCGCAGCTTGTTCCTCTGCTGGTGACACCGGTGCCTGGGGCACCTTGACCTTCCAGAGCCTAAGCCTGCACTGTCTGAGGCAGGGCCCTGTGGCGTGGCTGGCCACACTCCAGTCTGGAGTGAGGCTCATGCTGGCTCAGGTATAGTATCAGGAAATACAAAATTTTAAAATGTGATCTCTCCCGTAGGCTGTTTATATTGACTATTGTTTTGAGACAGGGTCTCCCTATGT